GATAGATAGATAGATAGATAGATAGATAGATAGATAGATAGATAGATAGATAGATGGCATGGAGTGAGTTGAAGATGAAGGGGTCATATCTGGAGAATAAAATTTAAGGGGTGAGAGAGGATTATACTAGGAGAAGGAGAAAGGGAAAGGTAGAATGGGGTAAATTATCTCACAAAAAAAAACCCAGAAAAGAAAAGGCTGTTACAGTGGAGGGGAACCAGGGGAAGGTGAGAGGAAATGAGTGAATCTTGTTCTCATAGGATTTGACTTAAGGAGGGTAATAACATACACACTCAATTGGGTATGGAAATCTGTCTTACCCTACAGGAAAATAGGAGGGGAAGGGGACAAGAGAGTAGGGAGATGGTAGAGAGGAGGGAAGATTGGGAAAGGGGGTAATCAGAAGCAAATACTTCTGAGGAGGGACAGGGTCAAAAGAAAGAATACAATAAATAGGGGGGTGGGATAGGATTAAGGGAAATAGAGATAGTTTTTCACAGCATGTGTACTATGGAAGTGTTTTGCATAACTGCACGTGTATAGCCTATATTGAGTTACTTGCCTTTTCAATGAGGGTGGGTGGGGAGGGACGAAGGGAGAAAATTGGAACCCAAAGTTTTAAAAACACATGTTTAAAAAAAAAGTAAAAAAAATAAAAATAAAAATATAAATGAGAAAACAAAGAATATTGGTTGAAGGATAGCTTTAAAAATGGCATGTTGAACTTGTATTTTTCAAGGGAGAGGCAAACTTTACATGGTACAGACTGACAATTGTGAATGAAATCTTCATTTTCCATTCTGTTTTATCTGTGGTAGTGCTCATCTGCTTTGCTATTTGTTAAATTCAAAATATAAAAGATTTTAAAGATTATTAAAAGAACTGGGAATAAAATACGGTATATCAACATATTTTTAAAAATTAAGAAAGAACTGAGGATTTTTAGCCTGGAGAAGAGAAGACTTAGGGAGTTTTCCTCAAGTGTGTGAAGGATCTCATATAGGAGGGATTAGATTTATTGGCCCTAAAGAACTAGTGAATCCAAGTAGCAGAGACAGATTTTGGATGGATTTAAGAAGAAAGAAAACCTTCCTAGCAATGAAAACTGTCCAAAAGAAAAACGGGAATCCTCAGGAGGTAATGTGTCTCCTGTACCACTGGAGGTCTTCAGACAGATGATGGATTGTCTGGGGTGCATACAGGGGATTCCTGTTCAGGTCCTATTTAGAATAGATGAACTTGAAGGTCCCACTCAACTGAGGTTCTGTGATTCTATGACTGTTTGTAGGGAATGCAGGTAGCAGTATTGTTTTCTATTGGAGGGAAACCATAATTGTTTCCCTCCTATAGAAGAATTTATGTGTGGCATAGGATCAGGACAACTGCCAACTCTTTCAAGGCTATTGCATTCACATGACTGATTATGCTTATAAAAATTCTTTGCCAGTGAGTAGGGCTTCTAGATTCTCATTGAAAAAAGCTCAAGTCCCAGTCAGCAGCCAGCTACATACTGAAATACTGTGAAGCATCCTTTAACAGTATTTCAGAAGCCTATACAATTTATTATCACTTCTCTTCCCTTTTATTGTTGTTATTGAGGCAGTGTGGGTTAGTGGATGGAATGCAAGGAAATATGGGTTCAGATCCTATCTTATTATCTATATGACCATGAGCAAGAAATTTGAGCCTTGGTTTCCTCATCTGACTTCTCAAGTTTGTTATGAGGATGAAATATAATGTTTGTAAAGGTCAACTGTTCTTGTTAAAAACACTTTAATCACCCACTTTATTGTTTACATTATTAAGAGTTGATGATGCTCAGTCTATGGTTGGTGCTTAATAAAAGTTTGTTGAATTGAATTAAATGTAGTCATTTTCTTTGAAGTAATAGACCTTTATTCAGGCCTTGCCAGTTCAAATCTCCCCATCAGAACAAACTGCTTATTACCTAGGAATTATCTGGATGACTCAGGAGTTAGAGTGCTGGACCTAGAGTCAAGAAAACTCCTTTTATGAGTTCAAATCTGGCTTCAGACATTTGCTAGCTGTGTGACTGCGGGCAAGTCACTTAACCCTGTTTGCCTCAGTTTCCTCATCTATAAAATGAGTCACAGAAGGAGATGGTAAACCATTCCAGTATCTTTGCCAAGAAAACCCCAAAAAGGGTCATAAAGAGTCAGACATGACTAAAAATGGCTAAAACAACAAAGGAATTATTTATCCACTGCAAAGGGCTTTGTGTATTAGTATATATACCCTGAGATTTCTTCCCATTATACTGATTCTTCTAGCCTTTCCTATTCAGGGAAAGGGCCTGAAACATCCCTGTGGATCATTCCTATTTTTTAAATATCAGATCAATGTCTGGTCCTGATTGATTAATCATTTAGTCAATATATATTGGTTGAGCATCTACAATGTGCCCAGCACTGACCTAGGTGCTATAAGGGATACAGAAGAAACTTAAAATATGATTGCTGACTTCAAAGAGCTTTCAATTTATCTAGGAAGATAGAACTATTATACACAAAACAATTTCAGAACAATTACATGCTCCATTTTATAGTATTATATTGGAAATGTAGCAGTAATATTGAGAATGCTTAGATCGGGGTTCTTAGCCTCTTTTTTTGAGTCATGAACCCATTTGGCAGGCTGGAAATGCCTGTGAACTCCAGAAACAATATTTTTAAATGTATACAATTACAAAGTAAATCAATTATATTGAAATGGTCTTTCTACCTATTTATCCATCCATCCATCTATATCTTTCTCCATCCATTCATTCTTCTATTTATCCGTAGCTATTTATCTATCTATGAATCACCTATTTAATTTTCTATCCATCTATCACTGACCTGCACAACATATGGCCTGCTTGGGCACTTGAGGCCCACCAAAGGATTCAGGTAGCCCACAGAACATGTAGAGGATGTAAAAGAAAATTAAAGAAAAAAAAAAAGAAAAAAAATAAGATGTAGCCATGCCCCGCTTAACCCACCTTCCACTAGTCACTACTGTTCCCTTCATGTAACTTGGTGGGTGAGTTGCAACTGTGCACTTTCTCCTGTTTGTCACATGACCTGCGGCAACCAACCATCTTTAGTCTGTCTCTAGCTACCTTTACTTGGAAAGTGAACTGCTAAAAACCTATTTCCAGCCCAAAAAAGTTTAGCGTATTTTAATTTTGGCCCTTACCTACTGCCAAGTTGTGCAAGTTTAATCTATCATCCGTCTCTTTATCTAGCCATCTATGAATCATCCATAGATCCATCCATCCATGCCTCTCTCTCTCTCTCTCTTTCTCCCTCCCTCTCTCTCTTCTCCCCCCCCCCAAAAGTTGACAGATCCCAGGTTAAGACCCCTGGACTTAGACCATTAGCTCTATGTTATCAATGACAACCCTTTTTCCTCTCTATCTTTGCCTTCTCCCCCCACCCCCAAACCAAAGTATATAGCATACATGAAAAGGAATAGGGTTAAATAAGGTTAGAAATGTAGGTGTTTCTGGATTATGCAGGGTCTTGAATGCAGAATCATAGAATCTCAGAGTTAGATGGGAACTTAGAGGTCACCTAGTCTGACCTGTAGCTGCACAGTCAGTATCTCCAGTGCTTAGTGTAATGCCTGGCACATAGTAAGTGCTTTATAAATGTTTATTGACTCTGACTGACTGAATAGGAGTACTCTTTACTAAATCTGAGACATGCACTTCTGCTTAAAGACTTCCGCTAAAGGGGAACCCATCATTCCCAACACAGCCCATTCCATTTGGGGGCAGCCAAGGATCCAGAAGGGCATAAGGTCCTTGAGCGTAGGGACTATTTTGTTTTTTGTCTTTTTATCCTCAATACCTAGCACAAATGCCAGGCACATGGCAGATAATTTTAAAAAATACCTCTTCAATTGAATTGCTGAGGATTTAGAGGTACACGTGACCTTAGAGGTCATATAGTCCAATCCTCTGCTTTTCTAGATGAGAAAACTTGTTTCAGTTTTATTTTATATGTAATAGGGTTTTGAGCAGTGGAGTAGCAGAAGGAGTGTACACAAGGAAAATTAATTAAAATTAATCTGACAAGACAGTGAAGTATGGTTTGGATGTGGGGAGAGCAGGACAGTTTTGTAGTAATTATTTAATAATTAAAAAGAATGCCAATGAGAGCCTGTATTACAGGCTGGTAATGATGGTCACAGTGAGGAGAGAAGAATTGAAAGATATTACAGAGAGAGAGAATTCACAAGACTTGACATCTATTCCCTTTATGGCCTATGACAAATTACTTCACTTTCTGGTCCTGTTTCCTCATCTGGAAAAAGTTAGGAGTTAGACTGGATGATTTCTAAAGTTTCTTTTCAGCTGTAAAATTGTGTGATACCATGATCTATGATTGGGGTCAGATAGGGGGTCCAGTGGATTGAGCACTGGGCCTGGAGCCACGAAGACTCATTTTCCTGAGTTCAAATCTGGCCTCAGACACTCACTAGCTGTGTAATCCTGGGCAAGTCACTTCACTCTGTTCTCCTCAGTTTCCTCATCTGGAAAATGAGCTGGAGAAGGAAATGGCAAACCACTTCAGTATCTCTGCCAAGAAAACCCCAAATGGGGTCATGGAGAGTCAGACTGAAATGAATGAACCACAACAGCAAAATGATCTATGATTGATTTAGTTTGGTACAAGTTGGTTTTACAAGTTGGAAATCTAAGTAATTCAGGGCTGTTAGCTGGGCTAAACTTTCTGTTTATAGATGAAAGCTATGAAAAATATCTAAGAAAAAATAAGGATGTCATGCAATTTGGGACCATTTTGTTGATAGACTTTTTTCCAAGTTCTTTGGGTTTATGTCAAACTCTAATGTCATTCCATCTCTGTAAAATTGTGGTTCTCTCTGTTCTTTTCTGTGTATTTACTCCTCCATAAAGTGAGGGAACATGGATTAGGAGATTTATAAAATCTCTTCCAGAACTAAATCCTATGATCTGATACTCCTATTACAGCCTGACTCCAGCCTTGTAGACATAAGGCCAAATAATATTCAGCATCCTACAATGGACTTGATTTGGAAAGAGAAAGCCTTTAGTATATTTTAGGATGTGGTTTCTGTGTGCCTCAAAGCCCCTGTAAGTTTTCATCAGAGCTGTTGAAACTGGTATTTTCTGTACTAAGTTCACTGTTTGCACATGTATCCATTTAGTGGAATAATTAAAGCTAGTGTATGTGTGTGTATATATACCCAGACATACATTCACATATATGGAGAATACTAATTACTGTTAACAGTTGTGTAATTTAGAGGCTAATGTTGAAATGCCTGTAGGCAAGAAATACCTCAGCAATTGTTCTTGGTTCTTCTATTCTTTTATGCAATGAAGGAAATTCCCACAGAAGGGTTAAATCAACAGAGGTGTAGTAAGTATATTTGCCATCTCTTCTCTGATTTTATTTTTAAAATGAATGGATGGTGTTTTTAAAACAAACTATTTTTTCCTTCCTAAACGTAGCTAAGCATAGAAATTAGTCAGATATAGTTTGAAATTTCTAGTTAAATATTGCCTTTTTCATAGTAACTATTCATTTCATAACCACGTTGAGCAAACTATTTTTGTAAATACAGTGAAAACTTTGTTATCTTGTGTCTTGGTTGTGCAGGTTAGTTCGAGAATTCCAAATAACTAAGAAGAAATTCCTCTCCCCCAGCACAGTTTCTTTCTTTCTTTCTCTTATCTACTTCCTTTGATTTTCTCCCTAAGATCCCTAAGTGACAGAAAAAGCACTTATTTAAATAAAACCTGTGTAAGAGATCTTTGGAGCAAGAGTCTTTTTTTTTTCCTCCTGCAAAGTTTAGGAGCAATGGGCAATAGCAGTACTAACCTTAGCTAATCTCAGCCCATCTTCCTGCTTTTATCCGGTTACCACGGGAAGGCCTGAGTCAATTTGTATTGGACAACATAAAAGCAGTGAATTTCTGAAGTTTTCTAGTTAGTGAATTAGTAAAATGGTGAATAATGCAGCTGCAGTACATGTCTTACAAGTTAGGAAAAGTGATCCCAGGCATACATCAAGGAAGTAACATTTAGAAAGTTGAGAATTTACTTCATTAGTTCATTGATTTAAAGTTGGGGGGGACCTGGGAAGTCATCTAGCTCACCCTCGTCATTTTATAGATGAGACCACTGAAGATGAGTTCGAGTGACTTGCCCAAGGTCACACAGGTAGGAAGGGATGGATCTAGGATTCAAACTTGGATCTTTTGCCTCCAAGGCAAGCCACTCTCCATAACAGGACTTTGGCTTCAGTCTCTGACAAAACAGAAGAGGTTAGGATCACCAGGACACATTCCTTTTGTTGTTGTTCAGTCATTTTTCAGTCAGTTCTGACTCTTTGTGACCCCTTTTGGGAGTTTGCTAGGCAAAGAGACTGGAGTGGTTTGCCATTTCCTTCTCCGGATCATTTTACAGATGAGGCAAATGAGGTTAAGCGACTTAATCCTGGACTGTGCCCAGGTTTACACAACTAGTAAGTGTCTGAGGCCAGATTTGAACTCAAGTCTTCCTAACTCCAGGACCGGCAAGCTTTTCTACCACTGGACAAAATTGATCTTGGAAAACAAGTAGGATCATTATCAGTCATTTAGCCTTTACTAAATGCCTACTGTGTGCCAGGTACTTTACTAAGCACTGACAATACATTAAAAGGCAAAAAACAGTCCATACTCCCAAGAGGAGTTTACAGATTACTATAATTTTTTTCAATTTTAATTACTGGTTGGGTTATATCATGCCTGTTGATTCTGCTATCTGACTCTTGAATTTTTACGAGATACTAATTTTTCTGATTTTTCTCTTCAATGCAAGGTGTGAAAAATGCAGATGTAGCTGAACTCCAGGAGATTGCTTCTGAGCCTGACAGTACTCACGTCTACAATGTGGCAGAGTTTGACCTGATGCACACAGTTGTGGAAGGCCTGACAAAGACAGTTTGCACCAGAGTTGAAGAGCAGGAAAAGGAAATCAAAGGTATAAAGTTAAACAAATTACTTTTTTTAAAGAAAGGGTTATTAATTTTGAACCACCAGTAAAATCTGCTATCAAACATGAAAATTTATAAGTTAACTCCCCTTTTTGGTGGATTCCTAAAGGAGATCTATGCCCTCAATCAATTAAAGCAATTAAGCATTTATAAAGTGCCTACTATGTGCCAGGCAATGGTGATACAAAGACAAAAAGGTAATAGTTCCTGCATTAGAGCATCTATGTTATCTACTGTAAGAACTAAAATATAAAGAATGAGAGCAGAAAAAGCTGCATCTTGGCTTTTTTTTTTAGGCTACTTTAACCCCTGGATGTTTTTTTCACTGTGATATTTGTTGTAGTGAATTTACAAGAGGCTTTTCAGTGTTCCTGGGAATTCATGGTACTGCCAAAAAGCAGGTTTTTCTGACTTATAGAGATGTTGGCAAGATAGAAAAACCCATATGATCTTTTCCCCAAAGCTGTCCCCTTTACTGATCTAAGAGACAACCTGGAGAAGGGTTATGGGGAACCTCAATACCTATCTCTTCTCTACTTCTCATTCTCTGAAGTTCCAGTTGACTGGGCTTCCTGATTTGGACCCATTTTCTTAGGACTCAATAAACTTGACCAAAAAAAGATATATGAGAGTTCTGTAAACTCTGTAGAAGCTTTCTAAGCTTGGAGGAATGAATTATCCATCCAGAGAGCAGCCATCCTACATGGGACCACTCATTCTGCTCACACTCCTTATAGTCATCAATTATATGACATTCCAATAGAATGTAAGGTACTTTAGGCCTGGGACTGCTTCCTGTTTGTCTTTTAATTTCTGTCCTATAGCACAATGCCTGGAGTAAAGTAGGTGTTTAGTAAATGTTATTGAATTGAATTGAATCTGGGTAGATTGTCACAAAGTGCCTTGAGATTTGGAGGCATGAGTCACGGGAGCTCAGCACTTTTGGGTTACAGAAATCTGACCAAATGGATAGATACTGGTATCACTGGAAGACTCAATGTTTCTTACAGTGGTTAGAGAGTTTTTAAATCAGCCCTCAAAAACATCACTTGCACATTTCATTTTTCCCCAACCCAGACTCCATCTTTGCTATCCCTTCATCCTATTAATACTTTTTCAGCAGGTTTTGTTTAAAAGTTTGGTGACTTTTTGTATCATATACTTCTGCAGCAGCTATCTAAATTCATTGAATTAAAAAGTCTAGACCAACAGTGAGGAACCTCCAGCCTCGAGGTCTCATGTGGCCCTCTAGGTCCTCATGTTCAGCCCTTTGACTGAATCTAAACTTCATGAATAAGGCCCAGGTTCCTCACTCCTTATCTAGACTTTTAGTAAAAGACAAATCCCCATATTTCAAGGTGAGTTCAGTTATCACCATGGCAAGGACAAACCAGTATAGATTGAGAAATTGATCCTTGAAATGTTCTTTGTAAGTAAAAGATGATTATCAAAGTGAATTTTGATTGACTAGGGAATGGAGAATACAGAAATGTATTGGAATAGCCTCAATAATTAATAGAAAATGAAATTAACACAACAAAACAATCGAAACAATAGTCCAAATCTTGGTCCTAGAAGATGAATGACAAAATATACTTCCCTTATTTTGGCATAAAGGTTGAGGGACTATTGGTGAGTAATGTTGCTTATGCTCTCAGATGTGGTTGCTTTCAGTTGGTTTTATATAACTGTTTTTCTTTGTTACAAGGAAGAGCTCTAGGGGAACAGGGCATGTTGAGAACTGATTGTGGTATAAAACATGATCAGTGCCAGTAAAACTTTTTTTAAAAAAGAAAAAATTGCTCACATCTAACTTATTTCTCTTAGAGCATAGCCAAGACAATTCAGCACTTACCATGTGCCAGCCACTGGCTGAGAGCTGGGAATACAGCATAGTATCTGGCACATAGTAGGTGCTTAATAAGTGCATCTTGACTTGATTTTTCTAGAGGAAACCTATTGTCAACAGTCATGTCTTGTTAGAACCATTGCTAACTTTGCCTTGATTCAGCCGAACTATACAGGAAATATCATTTTGAGGATCTTGTTTCTTTTTAATATTCCTTCCATTTAGGGTCATTTGTAACTGACATTGGAGCTCCTACAGATTTAGTCACATCTGAAGTCACTGCCAGAAGTTTTAGAGTTACCTGGACTCCTGCCCCTGGAAAAGTAGAAAAATACAGAATTGTATATTATCCTACAAGAGGTGGAAAACCAGAGGAGGTAATGAGGGTGACATATTTCCTAACTGAAGGTCTTAAATCTGTACTTAGTAGACAAATGCCCAGTTAGGGTGATGGTGAGGGAGATTAGATATCAGGGTTTGGAGTTTGGGGGCTTTTTTCTTGTGCATGTTCAGGAATCAATGCTCTTTTTTGCCATATGAGTAGACAAGTAAGGGAAAATATTACCTCCATGTAGACATGGAAACGAACTTCACTCAACTTAACTGGTGAAAAGGCAAAGAGATTTCATTCTCCTAGACTATAAACCCCTTCAGGGCAAGAAATGGGATTTTTGTTTGTTTTGGCCTTTCTTCTCCTCCCCAGTGCTGAGCACATTGCCTGACATATAAGTATTTAATACATGTTTGTTGACTGATTGGCTGACTCTTTGTATTAACCAATCAACAAATATTTATTAAGCACTCACAGTATACCAGGCACAGTGCTAGGCCACTTGGGATACAAAGTTGAGAGAGCCCCTGATTTCAAGGATTTTTCATTGTACTAGTATATATAGTAATCTACTTACTTGGTCCTTTCCACAAGCCCTTTGTACAGAGCAGCTACTTAAAAAGGTAATTAATAAATGTTTATCATCTTCATTTTGAACTAGTTTGTTACCTAGACATTTTTATCAATAGAACAGTGGGCCTGTAGTCAAGAAGACCTGAGTTCAAATTTGTCCTCAAACACTAGTTGTAGGGTAGCTAGGTAGACCAGTGGTTGGAATGCTGGACTAGGAATCAGGAAGACTCATCTTCCTGAGTTCAAAACTGGTTTCAACACTTATTAGCTATGTGACCATGGGCAAATTACTTAACCGCCTCAGTTCCTCCTCTGTAAAATGAGCTGGAGAAGGAAATGCAAACCACAAAAAACAAACAAACAAACAAAAAGATTTAGTGTCTTGATTAACCAGTTCAAAAGTGAAAAGTTAAAGGGAAATTCTTAAGTTGTTTAGCTAATTAGCTGGCATAGCCCACTCCTATCACAATCTTTACTGACTATCCCCTAATTGTATCACTTAGACAACTCTCTGAAACTGTTCACTAATCCTACCTTGAGCTCCCTGCCTTCCGTAAAAATTTCTTTGCCTTTAAAACATTTTAACTAGTTAGTTTACTAAAAGCCTATTCAAATGAGTCTTGTAGCATGGAGGCACCCTTATGTTCTCAAAGACTATACCAGTTAAGTGAAGGCACTGGCTACCCTACCAAGCTAGAAAGTGTTTGAGTAGGGGCCCAAAGTTGGACCATTTGTCTCTTCCCTAAGGACCAGCCTAGCCTATTTCAGATAGGCTTATTGCCAGAGTAGCCAGAGGGTAATGAATGTTTTAGCCAGAACATTTCTTGAAGACCATCTACTGATGGCATAGGGGTTGTGATCTGTTTTGGTGTAGGGAGTATCCCCGCTGATGAAATCACAGATCACTCCAATCCCCTCATTTTACAGATGAGGAAACTGAGGTCTAGAGAGGGGTTGGCCAAGCCACACAGATACCAAATGACCGAATTATGATTTGTATTCAGGTCCTCTAACAAAAAGTCTTTACACTCCAAAGGACAGCCCTGAGGTATTACAGGCAACCTTTTTTAAACTTAAGGACTAGAGTCCTCTTCTTATTTGGAGCTTTCTTTCTGCTTTGGGTGTGGTCCTTTGAGGTTTTTTCCCTTAATGAAATGAGTGCTCCTATTTATGTGGCCACATAGTCAATCCATCAGAATCCAAGACTTGGAATTCCCTGGACATGACAGGAGACCAGTGTGATGCAGAAGCAGCTGGGCTCCAGATTCTCTAAGGTTTGGCAAAGAAGGGGCAGTCCACATACTGCCAGACCATTGCATGCTCCTAGCTTCCTATTCACAATACAAAGATTTGTCAAAGAATCTGGTTATTTTAAAAATAAATCCCCTTTTCCTTTTGTTCTAGCCTCTGACTGACCTCAGCATGTTTTACAATCGTCCATTTTTATGGCAGGATTTTATGAGTGGCTTTTTTTCCCCTACATGTCAGATAAGCAGATTATAGTTTTTAAATCATCGGGACCTTATAAAATGAAGTCCTTTCAAATTATTTTATATTTTTTCCTTAACCAATAAGCCCCTAAAAGACTTGATCAAGCTGTACATTGCAAAATGTACATTTACAATGGAGTGGAAATGATTTGTATTATCACTGGTTTGTGAGTTGCATAAACTTTGCTCAGCATAAGTGAACGCGTCCCTCGAGGGAGGGGTGTGCCAGTTTGTGTTGCAGATTGAGGAGGCTATACTGTCAGGGTGGTAGAGGATGTGTGGCAGTTGGCAGAAGACATCTAAGGATATTGTCTATCTTCATGTCTTGTAGCTGTCTGCATTTACTCCTGTGTGTGAGATCACATTGGTTTACTGACTCAACTTCTGGTGACATTTGAAAATAGATTAATTTCTTTTTTTTGTTCATTTGTTTTTGTTTCTTTTTTTTTGCTAGGCAATGGGGTTAAGTGACTTGCCCAGGGTCATACAGCTAGTGTCAAGTGCCTGAGGCCAGATTTGAATTCAGGTCCTCCTGACTCCAGGGTCAGTGCTCTATTCATTGCACCACCTAGCTGCCCCAATAAATTCATTTCTTATCTCATTCTTTGGACTCTTCTATAAACAGGTGGTAGTTGACGGGATGGAATCTACTGCAGTGCTGAAGAGTCTGATGTCTTTAACAGAGTATCAGATAGCAGTGTTTGCAATATATAGTACCACTGCCAGTGAAGGACTCCGGGGAACTGAGATGACACGTATGTATTCTGACCCTTCTCTGTACAACATTTTCCAAGCTGGAGCTCTTTGTGGCTTGATTCAATGAGCCTTTGCTGATGCTGTTCTCCCATGCCTAGAATGCCTGTCTTCCTTGCTTCTGCTGCTTGGAATCTTTAGCTTCCTTCAAGCCTCCATAACAATTCCTAGCATTTCCATAGGGCTTTACATATTATCTCACTGATCCTCATGAAAACTCTTTGAGGAAGGTGCTATTATTATCCTAATTCTATGGATGGGGAAACTGAGGCTGAGAGAAGTTAATTACCCAGACATGTTTTTATCCTTGGCTAGATTTAGTGACTTGATTAACCAGTTCAATAATAATCCAATTCCATAAGAATTTAATAGGTGGCTGCTATGTGACAGGGGCAGTTAGGTGACACAGTGGATAGAGCACTGGGCTTGGAGTCTGAAAGACCAGAGTTCAAATTTGACCTCAGACACTTACTAGCCATGTGACCCTGGGCAAGTCCCTTAACCCCGACTGCATACAACTGGAGAAGGAAATGGCAAACCACTCTAGTATCTTTGCCAAAAACAAAACAAATAAACAAACAAACAAAAACAAAAAACAAAAAAACAAAAAACCCTTGATGGATGGTTGATCCACAGGGTCGCAAAGAGTTAGACATGACTGAACAACTGAGCAACAATGTGACAGGCACTTAGTAGAAAAGTTAAAGGGACCTTTTTCCAGGGTCATGTAGTTGGTATCTGGGGCAGGATTTGAACTCAGGACTTTTGGACTCTACGTACAATACTCTATGCACTGTACATCCTAGCTGCCTCCACTCAGATGCTACCTCCTACAGAAAAACTTTAATGATTCTTTTTCTTAGTGCTTTCCAGCACTAAGCGTGACAGTGCCTGGCACATAGTAGGGGCTTAATAGAGGCTTGTTGACTTTCTTATTCATTAAATCACATTTGAAATGTTGTATCCCTCCCTGCCCCCATTAGAATGTAAGTTCTACAAAGGAAGCACTCTACCCTTTTTTTTTTTTTTTTGTATTTCTAGCCTCAGAGAGATAACATGGTGTAGGGTAGAAGTGTTATATTTGCAACCTGCTAGTTGTTTGTAGCCCACAAAGATCACAACCAGATTAACATGTAATCGGGAAATGTTTAACAAAATAAGTAAAATTATAATGCAACATAGATAATGTTAACTTGTGGTTTTTTTAGTCAATATGCTGCCCATGTGAGTTTGATACCACTGGTTTAGTGGACATGTCTGCTTTCAAAGTCAAGGAGATCTGAGTTCAAGTTATACTTCTGATACATACTGATTGTGTGACCCTGGTCAAGTCATTGAACCTAGAGGTGCCCTAGGCAACTCTCTAAGACTCTTAAGTTACAGAAAAATTGTAGAGCTGCATCAGGAATGTCAGTCTACACTGGATGTTTCCTACACCAATGAAGTCATAGATCTGGACCAAAAAAATCCTCAGTGCTTGTGGAATTGATTGAATTGAATTTGCTGTTCAGTCACAGCAATAATCACATAATTCATACTATTCACTGGAAGGTCAAATACTGAAAGTCAAACCTAAATACTTTTGCCACGTGATTAAAAGACAGGACTCATTGGGAAAGACTCTGATGTTGGGGAAGATTGAAGGCGAAAGGAAAAGGGGCAGAGGATGAGATAAATAGATAGTGTTATGGAAACAATGAACATGAGCTTGGACAGACTTAGGGAAATAGTGGAGGATAGAAGAGCCTGGCATGCTATGGCCCATGGGGTCATGAAGAGTCAGACACAACTAAACAACTGAACAACAACTCAATGCTGGTCAGACCATAACTGGCTTAGTATATTCAGTTCGGGGCACCAGATTTGAAAAAGACCATTGACAAACTAGAGTGTGTCCAAAGGAGTGTGACCGGGAAAGTGAGAGGCCTAAATGCATTTCATAGAAAGAAGGACTGCAGGAACTGAAGATGTTTGGCTTGAAGAAAGGATTACCAGGAAGAAATTTGACAACTGTCTTCAAATATCTGAAGGGCTGTCATCTAGAAAAGAGGGCAGGTTTGGTCAGTGTCACTTCAGAGGCCAGAGCCCATCATTGGAAGTTACACAAAAAGCGTATTTTAGCTTTATTTAAGGGAAAGCTTCCCAATAATTAGGACTGTCTATGCAAAGTAACAATAGAATGGAATAAGTTGTATCACAATGCAGTGAGCTCCCCTATTACTGAGAGTATTCAAGCTGAGGTTTTATTAGTCAATCAATCAATAAACATCTATTAAGTGCCTACTCTATGCCAGGCACTAGGTTAAGCACTTGGGATTAAAAAAAAGAGAGAGACAAAAAGCAATCCCTGCCCTCATGGAGCTGGCAATCTATTTATGATCACCTCTCGAGGATGTTCTAAAGGACATTCCTTTGCTGGGTGGGAGAGATTGGCTTATGTGATTTCCAGGGTCTTTGCCAACTTTAAATTTCCTAGTCATAACTCAATCTTTTATGTTTTCATCTGAAGTCAGGGCTAATCAGAGAAAAAATTTTAAAGTTTGTCTCCAAAGTCTAGATGGTGCAGTGAATAGAGCACCAGCCCTGGAGTCGGAGGACATGAATTCAAATCCGGCTTTAGACACTTACTAGTTGTATGATCCTGGGCAAGTCAGCTAACCCTATTTGCCTCAGTTTTCTCATCTGTAAAATGGTATAGAGAAAGAACTGGCAAACTGCTCTAGTATCTTTGCCAAGAAAGCCCCCAATGGGGTCACAAAGAATTGGACACAACTGAAAACAATTGAACACCAACACCACTACAAAGTCCCATTCTTACCTCCATGTCCTCTTTGCCTCCTTTTCTCATTTCCACCTTCAGCCCATATTCTTCTCCATTTGTCTGGGACACCCCTCTATAAGCCCTCTATCTAAACTTGCCCTCCCAGACCTGATTCTAAAATTATATCTTCCTCATCCAAACTTTCCCATTGGTCTCATTCTTTGAGGGAGATGCTCTCAGCCACTTGGCTGGAAAAGATATGATTACCTAATTCACGCTAATGTGTTAACAGCTTATAATAATTTAATGCTTACTTCTCCTGGAGATACGTATAAAACCTAGTAATATTTCATCCACAGCTCTCCAACAGTATCCAGTGCAATCTATAGACCTGTAATTTCTGAATTAAAAACTCTTGCTTAACTGGATACTATGAAAGAATGACTGTTGGGATGGTAGAATTTCAGACATCATCCATAGACTGGGGGGAGATGGTAGAGAGGGAGAAAGTATTCCTAGCACCCCTCAAATCGTAGCATAAAATCCTTGATTTAGAGCTTGAAGGGACCTTAGAGGTCGTTGAGCCAAATCTCCTGAAGAAACTGAGGCCCAGAGAAGTTAAGTAACTAGCCCAGGTTCACACAGTTACTAAGTATCTGAGATGGGATTCAAACCTAGACCTTCCTGATGCCAAGACTAGCGTTCTGTCCATTATACCACGCTGCCACGTAGATGGCTGTCTACCCAACTGCTAGATATGCCTACGGTTATATTATTCTAAAGGCTAGTGCACTGCTCTCTTCAGTGAGTCCCCAGACAAAAATGTGTGTGAATGTGTGTCTGTGTCTGAATAGAAATGTATCTGTGCACTTTCACACTGTGGTAGGGAATTGTTGGCAATGGGAAGAGAATAGAGTGCTTAATTGAAACAATATGGATGATGACAGTAGAACTAATGTAATTCCCTTAAGTTGGAATTCTGCCAGTAATAAAGGCCTAAGATTTGCCTCTGCTCCCTCTATAGATATGGTCAAAAACATTTTTGGTGAATGTAAGAAATTAAAACCTAGGTCTACAGTTTCATACTTCTTCCTAGAAAGGAATGTATACTATCATACTTGAGTTTTGGATTACATCTGATTCATTCAGCATCTGTCTGAATTTTCCCTGAGGTTCCCTGACCAAATCTCAGCACTCCAGATTGATACATACTCTTGGTATGGATCTGTGACTATGTAGAATCCTTTCTCATCTGAAGTATGAATTTACTCCCTCCTTTCATTTCAAATGAGAAAACTTGTGTTCAGGATGTCTTGACTTATTTTAATCTTACCTAGAAGGTTGGTGGGGCCTATATCCACAGCTAGTCCAACTTTCAGTCCATTCACAATCACAAATAAGCACACACACATACACACAAACTCTCAGGTATTCTTCCTCCTTTCATTGCTGTGGTTTACCACCACCTCACTCTTTGCCTTCTATTCTCCTGGTCAAGAGGAGAATGAAAAAATTCCTTGGTGTTTTTATGAAACACCAAGCACATATTAGTGCTACATATAACAAGCACATTTTGGTGTTTTATATATACACACATATATGTATATACACATGCCCCCATATATATGTAGCTATTAAGCTATAAATACATATATAGCACTTTTTGATATGCACAACATTTTATTTTGCAGCTCTCTAATGGAGGTAGGAACAATTATTATCTCTATTGTACAGGGGAGTAAATTGAAGCCATGAGTGGCTAAGTGCCCTGACCAGCTATTAAGTGTCTTAGGCAAGATTTGAACTTGAGTCTTCCTGCCTCCAGTTGCAGCAGCCCATGCACCATTCCACTTAGCTGCCTCTGCCAAGGTCCTTAAGAAGGGTATTGTTATGAATGAATGGAAGCCACCTGGTTTCTCAGCAATCCCTTAAATTGGACATCTCCCATACTCTGGCCTTGATGACAGTGGTCAGTTCTAAGTAGACAATATCTACCAAAGAGTGGTGCTTGGGAGCATCTTCTGCTTCTGTTTCCTGTAGGTACTGGTTCATCTCTTTTAATCACAAGTGATTTCCTTTTTATTCCATTTTAAAGTGAAAAGTGTTTCAGCTTCTTTGGGAAGACCAAGCTTCGATAACTCAAGAAAGTAACCAAAAAACTGAGTCTTACCTCAAATTAATGGTACAGAAGTTTTTTTTTAAAAAGAAGGATATTGTTAATCTGACAAGTGTCCAGAGAGTGTAGTCTTTTCTCTGTCTTCACAAAGGATGCCCTCTCCTCCTTACACCATACCAGAATATTCACTATCTTCGTCTCCACATTTTAGAATAATCCCTAATCTCTATGTAAAACTGGGATGATAATAGCACTTTACCTTACAATAGCACAATGCTTTACAAGGCATTAGAGAAAGAAATAAGATCTTGTGGGTAAAGTATTTTACAAACCTGAATGCATGAATTAAACATTGTTATTGTTATTTGTTTCCTTCAAAGCTCAGCCCAAGCACTATCTCAAGAGGCTTCTCCAGATCCTACAAGCACTATTGTTTTCCTTCCCAAATGATCTCCCATCTATTTTGCACATACCTTTGTGTCCATGTTTTCTCCCTTGATGGGATGTAAGCTCCCTGAGGGCAAGGACTGTTTCATTTTTGTGTTAATATCACCAGAACCTAGCATGATGCTTGGCAGAAGTATGTGTTCAATAAATGCTGATTGATTGCATTGCATTGGGAATAGAGTATCCATGCCAGTGAGATCCGAGATAGAAGTATGAGAGAAATATGAGCCAGTCCTGTGATATAGGAGTACAAGATTCACCGTCTGCCCTTGAAGAGCTTGCAATATTTGTAGAAAAAGAAGTGTACAGCAGGCAGATCAGGAAATAAATTGGAAAAAAAAAGGTTGTTTACTTTAGTTAAATGAAAAATCCTGCCAAATCAGTCACACCACTACTTAATTAAAGGAGGCTTACACTTCTACATAACTCCAAAGTCTTCCAATTTCCATTGCAGTTGCTTTGCCCATGGCATCGGATCTCGAACTGTATGACGTGACTGAGAACAGTCTGAGGGCCAGATGGAATGCGGTGCCTGGTGCATCAGGATATATGATCCTCTATGCTCCTCTCACCGAAGGCTTGGCTGGGGATGAGAAAGAGGTAATGCCCTTGGAATCTAGTCCTTGAAGCCCTGACTTTCAAAGTTACATTTTGGGGGGCCTTAAGTTTTTATTTTTTAGAAGTCACTTGTTTTTGTATGTAAAAGTAAGATTCCCAAGACCCCAAGAGAGAACTAAGAGTCTGCCTTGGGAGATGTGACTCCCAAATCCAGCTTTCCAAATGGGGAGCTGCCCTTATTGTCTCACCCCTGGTCTTGGCTCTCTTAAGTAGCCTCTGTGTCTGATTCTAAGTTTGGCTGCAGAAGTTTTTAGGGTTAAAAGAATGTGCAGGTCAGCAGGAGGGGGTGGGCAGCACCAATGTCCTCAGTTTTGGTTATTTGCTTCCAATTTGGATATCATTGTCACATGAATTACTGGGCAGGAAAAAAGAAAAAAACAACAACTTAGAAATGGTTTCAGGGTACAACTGACTGACTGACTGCCAGTTAATTTGAGAGACTTTCTGCTTTTACTCCACCTCATGGTTTGTTCTGAAACTAGGAGTGTTGACAAGTGTGACCCAGTGAATGGGTCTCTGGCAAACTTCTGCCTCCCCTCCCTCCAAATTCCACTAAACTCAGGCACCTGTTTTGGTGCCTTGTGCACATTCTGCAGAACCTAAAATCCATGTAGTTGGGATGCTTCTTGCTTTAGAGTCAAGGATGACAACATGACCAGCTGGGCCAAGTGCTTTCCAGAGGTGGGTTAAGAGAAAAAAATGCATCTGCAGAATGGTGAAAAACATGCTCGGGACGGCCTCTGTCAGCCCACTTGACTGAAGCCTGTATTCTCTGCTTGTCCACCCACACTATTTATGGGACCATATGGCCTATGCTTCATTCTGGCCATGTTGCTATTTCTCCAGTTTTCCTCCCTACCCCCAACCTTGTATAAAATTGATAAATTACCAAATGGATTACAGATTTATCAAAAGGCCACTCGACTTTCCCATTGCATGTTGCCAGCCATTCATAATGAAAGGTGGCGTATGAGCTAATCACAATGTGTTCTTTTCAGATGAAAATTGGGGAGACCCTCACAGATATTCAGATAAAAGGATTGTTGCCAAATACCGAATACACAGTGACAGTATATGCCATGTTTGGAGAGGAAGCCAGTGACCCTGTTACAGGGCAGGACATGACATGTAAGTAACACTTTCACACAGATCAAATGTTACACTAACACCCCAAATAAATGCCTGAGTGCTGCTGATATTTCTTTTTAAATTTTTTTTAAAATTTTTAGGCAGTTGGGGTTAAGTGACTTGCCCAGGGTCACACAGTTAGTAAGCGGCAAGCGTTTGGTCTAAGGCTGGATTTGAACTCAGGTCCTCCTGATTTCAGGGCTGATAGTCTATTCACTGCACCACCTACCTGCCCCTTTTTCTTTTTTTAAGAAAAAATTTTTTTTTACTGCTGATATTTCTTATTGAAATACATAGCATCAGGTTTGCAAATCTTTATATTCTCTAGAATTTATTAAATGTGATGTGTACTATATCTGAGAGGAAATAAGATTGCTTCTTGTAGGCAATCAGTCAAGTCAAGCAATTAAGTGCTTACTATGTGCCTGGTACTGTACTAAGCACTAGAGATGTATGAAAGGTGAAAAATGGTTCCTCCCCTCAAAAAGCATATAGTCTAATAGGGAAAAGAACATGGAATTAATTAGGTACATAAAAGATATAGAAAGAAGAGATTGAGATAATCTGAGAGGGGAAGCCTTTAGAGGCAGAAGGAAGTAGGGAAATCCTGTAGAATTTGGGATTTGAAGTGAATCTAAAAGGAAACCAGAGAAGCTCAGAAATGGAGGTGAAGGGAGCAGAGCATTCTAGGCATGGGAGATAACCGGTGGAAAGGCACAGAAGTGGAATATATGAGCAGCTGTAAGTCAGCCAGGGTAGCTGGATCATAGAGTGGCAATGAAGGGTAATTAGAAATATCCATGCCTGATTTAATAGCTAGGCTTTCTCCAGATGGAGAGCTATAAAATCCTTAAGGTACTTACCTAAATGTAAAGGCTAAACCAGGAAAAATGTTCAAGTTGTCGGTCCCTGGTTTTGTAGGTTGATAATAAAGTTTATTTATTCCCCCATCCTTCATGCCTGAGTTCATTCTCTGGGTGGGGCAGTGGCTAGAGGACTAGGCCTGGAATCAGGAAGACTTGAATTCAGATCCAGTTCCAGAGACTTACTAGCTTTGTGGCCCTGAGCAAGTTACTTAAGCTCTGCCTCAGTTTTCTCATCTGTAAAATGGAGATAATAATAGCATCTTATAACTTAGCACAGGGCCTGGCACATTTTTGTTTTGTTGTTCAGTTGTGTCCTACCCTTTGTGACCCATTTGGGATTTTCTTGGCAAAGATAATGAAGTGATTTGCCATTTCCTTCTCCAGCTCATTTTATAGATGAGGAAACTGAGGGAAACAGAGTTTAGTGACTTGTTCAGAGTATCTGAGGCTGGATTCAAACTCATGAAGATGAGTCTTCCTGATTCCAAGCCCCATGCTCTATCCACTGTACCACTTGCATGCCTGGCACATATTAAGGGCTATAGAAATGTTAGTTTCAGGACTGAATTGCAGGCAGCTGTGATGGTTTCCAGACTTCTCAACCCAGGAACGCCAAAGACAACTTAGAAGGTCAGTGGGAAAAGTCTGTGACTGCAGTGAGAGAAGGAGCTAGGTCTCAGCCACAAGTCCCGAGCGTGCCCTCAGAGCAGCGGCTGTCTCCTGAGCTCCCGGCCTGGAATCAAGTGGCTGATCAGAGGGAGATTGCAGGAATCACTCTGCTGGTGCAGGATTCTTTTGCTTTATCCGTGATTGGATCTGGGTCATGGTTCTGGGTAGTGGTCCTAGGGCGAGGAGGAGCACTGGTCTGGTGGAGCTTGTAGTGGATGTGGAGAGGAAACCCTCCTCACAGTTCCAAGACAGAAAAGAGTGCTTGTAGACCAGAGCACAGGCCAGGGAAGGAGTAAACACCTCGCCCTTGATCATACCACCTTGGAAGAACTGAAAATTTACAGGTCCCTAGAAGTATTTCTGAACACAGCTGCACAAAACCCCTGAAGCTTGGGACAGTACGTTCTCCACACTGGAAACAGATTCCTACCTTAACAAAGAGTTTATAACTCAAGTAATTGGCCGGGATCATGAGCAAGCAGCGCAAAAAGAGTCAGACTATATTATCTTACTTTGACGACAAAGAAGATCAAAACATACAACCAGAAGAAGACAATGAAGCCAAAGCTCCTACAGCCAAAGCCTCCAAGAAAAATATGAATTGGTTCCAGGCCATAGAAGAGCTCAAAAAAGAATGTTGAGAAGCAAGTAAGAGAAGTAGAGGAAAAACTGAGAGTGATGGTAAAGGAGACCCAAAAAAAGAATGAAGAAAATAACACCTTAAAAAATAGCCTGACCCAAATGGTAAAAGAGGTCCAAAAAGCCAATGAGGAGAAGAATGCCCTTAAAAGCAAACTTAGTCAAATGGAAAAGGAAGTCCAAAAGCTTACTGAAGAAAATACTTCCTTAAAAATTAGAAAGGAGAAATTGGAAGAGAGGGACAATTTGAGAAATCAAGGCACTGTAACACTAATCAAAAAGAATGAAAAAATAGAAGAGAATGTGAAATATCTCATTGGAAAAACAACTGACCTGGAAAATAGATCCAGGAGAGAGAACTTAAAAATTATTGGATTATCTGAAAGCCATGATCAAAAAAAGAGCCTAGACATCATCTTTCAAGAAAATTATCAAGGAAAACTGCCCTGATGTTTTAGAACCAGAGAGCAAAATAGAAATTGAAAGAATCCACTGATCTCCTCCTGAAAGAGATCCCCAAAGGAAAACTCCTAGGAATTCCAGAATTCCCAGGTCAAGGAGAAGATATTGCAAGCAGCCAGAAGGAAACAATTCAAATATTGTGGAAACACAATCAGGATAACACAAGATTTAGCAGCTTCTACATTAAGGGTCTGGAGGGCATGGAGTATGATATTCTGGAGGGCAAAGGAATTAGGACTACAACCTAGAATCACCTACCCAACAAAACTGAGTATAATCCTTCAGGGTAAAAAAATGGTCATTCAATGAAATAGGGGACTTTCAAGCATTCCTGTGGAAAAGACTAGAGCTGAATAGAAAATTTGACCTTCAAATACAAGACTCAAGTGGAACATGGAAGAGGTAAAAGGGAAAGAGAAATCATAAGAGACTTATTAAGGCTGAACTGTTTACATTCCTGCAGGGAAAGATGATATTTGTAACTCATGAGTCCTTTGTCAGTATTAGGGTGGTGGGAGGGAAAAAATATATGTTTGTATAGATAGATAGATAGAGGACACAGGGTGAGTTGAAGATGAAGGGATATCTGGAAAATAAAATTAAGAGGTGTGAGAAGATTATACTGGGAGAAGGAGAAAGGGAGAAGTGGAATGAGGTAGAATATCTCACATGAAACAGACAAGAAAAGGCTTTTACAGTGGAGGGGAAATTGGAGAAGGTGAGAGGGAATGAGTGAATCTCATTCTCATAGGATTTGGCTTAAGGAGGGAATAACATACACAATGGGCTATGGAAATCTATCTTACTCTACTGGAAAATAAGGGGGAAGGGGACAAGAGAGCAGGGGGTTTATAGAGGGGAGGGCAGATTGAGGGAGGGGATAATCAAAAGCAAACACTTCTGAGGAGGGACAGGGTCAAAAGAGAGAATAGAATAAATGGGGGGTAGGATAGGATGAAGGGAAATATACTTAGTTTTTCACAACAGGACTACTATGGAAGTGTTTTGCATGACTACACATCTATAACCTATATCAAGAAGCTTGCCTTTTCAATGAGGGTGGGTGGGGAGGGAGGAAGGGAAAAATTTGTAACCCAAAGTTTTAAAAACACTTGTTAAAAATAAAAAAATTAAAAAAAATAAAAATAACTGAGTAGTTCCAACACACACAAAAAAAGAAATGTTAGTTTCATTATTATTAATAATATCATTATTAGCAAGTCACTTATTCTTCCTGGACCTCAGTTTCCTCATCTAATAGGGACTAGGTATCCTCTGAGGTTCATTCTAATTCTTGAGCTATGATTATTATCACTAGTTCTTGGAACAGTGAAATATTGATTAATTATACACTTTTGGCTAACCTGGTGATCTTACAAAAAACTGCACACATTGTGAGGAGTAAGCATTTTGTTGCAGAACAGGATGTAACCAAAAGGTTGCCATTTATTTACTTGTGTACTTTTGTTTTATTTATATGCTATTTATTTATTTGCTCTTTTCCCAACATAACATCTGCTTATGATCCTTCATCATGGCAGGAAAGTGACTCTGGGTTTTTGAAGACTAAGTTAGTGTGACATAAGTTCTGGCAGGTTCTCCCCAGCTGGAAAGAGTGTGGGAAGCCATGACAATGAACTTTATGTGTCTGTTGTCCAAGGTCCAGTCTAGCTAAGTTAAGAGAACTCATCAGTCAATCAGTCAATGCCTACTGTATGCTAGACACTTTGCTAAGCAGTGGGGATATCAGAAGAAGCAAAGGACAGTCCCTCCCCTCGAGGAGTTCATAGTCTAATGGGAAGCTCATAACCTAATGCCATCTTATATGGGGGTGATGAGGAGGGTAAATAGCACACCCATTCAACCCGAGCTTCCTGTATTATTGAATTACCGTTATCTGTAGATGGACAGTCAGCATGGTGTGGTTGCTAGGGAGCTGTCCTTCTAGGAAGAAAGACTTGCTTTCCATCCTCGAACACATACTGGTTGTTTAACCCTTGATGAGTCATATAATCTCTAAGAATCCCCTTTGATGCAGGGCCATTGACTAACTGTATTAGTGGAGGGAACTTCCTCACTGTAACCCCGGCCCCCTTGCTGCTCCTCATACATGACTCTCCATCTCCCAGTTCAAGGCATTTTAACTGACTGACCCCCCATTCCAGGAATCATCTTCCTTATCTCTGTCCCCCAGCCTCCTTCAAGTCTCACCTAAGATCTCATCTTGTACAGGAAGCCTTTTCAGATCCCCCTTAATGTTAGTGCTTTCCCTCTGTTGATTTATACTGTATATAGCTTGTTTGTGCAAGGTTGTTTGCATTCCATCTCCCCCATTAGACTATAAGCCTAAAATCAGCGAGTGAAGTTTTGTTGTGTTTTATTTGTTTGTTACTGTGTTTTTGGCCTTTCTTTGTATTCGGGATGTTTAGCATAATTCTTAGCACATAGCAAGCACTTGCTTATCATTTATAGTAAGCAAGTGCTTGCTATGTGCCAAGCATTATGCTTTGGCTGTTCCAACTCTAAAGCTTTTGGCTTTTGACTATTTTGACTATTTATAGTCAAACTATTCTGGAGGGCAAAGGAATTAGGACTACAACCTAGAATCACCTACCCAGCAAAACTGAGTATAATCCTTCAGGGTAAAAAAAATGGTAATTCAATGAAATAGAGGACTTTCAAGCATTCCTGTGGAAAAGAACAGAGCTGAATAGAAAATTTGACCTTCCAATACAAGACTCAAGTGAAGCATGGAAGAGGTAAACAGGAAAGAGAAATCATAAGAGACTTATTAAGGTTGACCTGTTTACATTCCTGCATGGAAAGATGATATTTGTAATTCATGAGTCCTTTGTCAGTATTAGGGTGGTAGGAGGGAAAAAATTATATGTTTGTATAGAAAGATAGATAGAGGACACAGGGTGAGTTGAAGATGAAGGGATAACTGGACAATAAAATTAAGGGGTGGGAGAAGATTATACTGGGAGAAGGAGAAAGGGAGAAGTGACTATTATTATATATATAATGTAATATATAATTGCTTGATGATAAATGCTTGTTGACTTGACTCACTAGGAATTCAGTAGGTATAATGCAAATTCACAAACTAAACCTTTAGTACTGATGGAAGGAAATTCAATATCTTCTATCTTCTATCATCGATACTGATTGAAACACAGTTCTGTCTTAGAGGATATTGTGATTCATATTGAGGGACTTGGGAAAGCAAAAGAATGAAATGAAGTGGACAGAATGCTGAATCTGGAATCAAAAGACTAGGGTTCAAATCCTGGTTCTTCTACTTACTACTAGTGTAACTAGTGTACTAATGTATAGGTAAGACATCTGAACTCTCTGGACTTCAGTTTCCTCATTTGTAAAATGATAGGGTTGGACCAGATAACCTCTAAGGTCCCCTCTAGCTCTGAATCTATGACCCTATGTTCTTCCAATATAAATCAGTCCTGTTTTTTCTAACTGGCATTCTACTGGTATGGTCTTTGGTACCTAGAGTCTTATTCCTGCCTCACTGAGGCATCATAGGGGAACAGGAGTAGAAGATAAGAAAAAAACAAAACAAAACAGAAAAGACTACCAGATCAGAAATCATGAGAATCCCTAGATACTTCAAAATAATAACTCCAACTTCTAAGCTAGAAACTAATATTAAAATTATCCTTCTTATTCGAGGGCTGCCTAGTGTGTGAAATCTTTGGGCTTTTTATTATGCCATGAGTCTTAATAGTTCTTTTTAAAAAGCAACTTGATCTCCATGTCTTGATATACTCTTCATGGGGGGTTGCAAGGAATTCTGGGTCAGAGGGACCCTAGAAGAGACCTCCAAGGCTATTGACTCCACTCCCCTCATTTTACAGATGGTTGTAGTTCAGTCTCATCTAATCAGTCCTATCCTAATGCTATTTTCCCTGACAGCATCTCAGAAGGTTATGCACTTGATTGTTAGAGTTGCTACCTGAGTAGACCCACTGGCTATATTTTTTGACAGCGACACGAAACATTTTGTGGGATTCCAGGCTTGACATATGTGAAAAGCCTGGAAACATGGTATGGTGTATAGAGAACTGGCTTTGCACTTAGGCTCTGCTATATGTTCTGCCTGTGTGACCTAGGACAAGTCACTAAATCTCTTTGAACCTCAGTTTCTTCATCTGTAAAATGAGGGGGATGGATGGGGTAATGTCTAAGGTCTTTTCCAACTCTAAATCCTGTAATACAACATCAGCTTACATTTTCCTAAGAGGTGGTACCAGAAGTAACTAACAAAGATTCAAGAAAGATTTAGATAAAATTTTAATTCAGAGGTTAATCCTCTATAGAAGAATCATTTCATCGTTGTGGGTCATATCACAGCCCTGTAAACTTACCCAAGTATTGATAGATCTGTAATAGCTTTTCCCTCTATTAATAGGTTATTAGTCAGTTAATCAACAAACATTTAGGAGAAGATAAAGATGTATGGATTCCAAATAATTTAGAATATAATTCCTTTTTTTTGTCCTACAAATATGTTTCTTCAAATTTCAAATTGTTTTCCAAGTTCTGATATCTATTTGGTAAGACCATATGTTCCTTACTATGATCACATTTCTTACCATCTTCACAGATTTATAGAATCATATAGTTGAAAAGTATTTTAAAACTCATCTCATTCAACCCCTACCTGAAGTATGAATCTCCTCAAAACTTTTCCTCAAGATAGTAAACTCATTTCTTGAAAGACAGTTCATTCCATTTTGCGATGGTTCCAATTGTTACTGAAACTTTTTCTTTTACTGAGCCAAAATACCTACAATTTTCATTCATTCATCTCAGTTCTTGCTGGGCCAAGTAGAATATGTCTAAACTCCCTTCCATTAGTTATTTTAGCCTGTATTCTTATAGCTAATGATAACAGCTAACATTTAGTACTTCAAGACTTGAAAAGTGTTTTATATACGTTATTTATTGGATACTTAGAACAACCCCAGGAGGTAAATTTTTTTTTTATTATATATTACCAATGAGGAAACTGGGGCTGAGAGACTTGCCTAGAGTCACATCGCTGGTAAATATCTGAAGCAAGATTAGAACTCAGGTCTATCCTGGTTGCATGTCCAGTGCTCAATCCACTATGCCAGGAAGCTTCCTGCTATTCTTTTATTAATGAATCTTCTCAAAGCTCTTGGGCTAACTTTCTCTGGATATATTCCAGGTCCATTACATTTTTTTGTGGTGGGGTAGCCAGAATAGCGCATAGTAGTCCAGATGTTGATGCATATAGTCAAGTCAACAAGCATTGATTAAGTCAAGACATCACCCTCATGATGGCATTGGTCCTCTTGGAGAAGGAAGGAGCAACAACAACAACTATATGCCAGGCATGGTGCTAAGTGCTGGCAATACAAATGTAGGCAGAAAGAAAAAACACTCCTTGCCCTCAGGGAGCTTCTAATCTAAAGGGAAAATCAATAGATAGGGAGCTGGAGGGAGGAGGTGCCTGTGTGTGGAGTGGAGCCCAGAGAGGAATATATAGCACAGTTAGGATTCACAGCCAAGGAAGGCTACTATTCCATGTTATAGAATACATGTCTTCATTATCTAAGGGAATGTATGACAATTAATGATTAAAAAAAGGTTGTTCAAGTTTGATAACATCAACCCATCTCAGATGTAATGATTGAAGATCAGAATAAAGCCAGAAACGTTACTGATAGACAAGAATTTCAGGAAACATGAGCATCTCTGACCTGCAAAATGGAAACAGAAAACCCACATTTCCTTGTTGAAAGTCTTTTTATTTTAAATATGCATGATTTATTACTATTAATAATCCTCTCTAAGGTAGGTTCCAGTTTTGTTAGTAGAAATCTTGAATTTGTTTTTTTAATGTTTCAGTAACATGCCAGCCCCTCCAGGGGGCCAATAATATTAAATAATAATTTGAATGATTATTTTTCATCTGTAAGTGAAAGAAGGTTTTGGAAGTTAGGCTTGTTCCTTATTTTTTTTTAACATATTGAGTTTTTGTTTGTTTGTCTGGTTTTAACGTTTTTCTCTCCTCTTCTGCTTACTCCAAAGTGCCTCTAAGTCCACCAAGAAATCTGAGAATTTCTAATGTTGGTGCAAACAGTGCTCGAATAACATGGGATCCTGTCTCAAATAATGTCAACAGTTACCTCATTTCATATTCCAAGGCTAGTGGAACTGAAACCAATGAGGTGAGCTGTGGAATTATGATGGTAGCTTTGAAAGGACTTTATTTTCATGTTCTCATTAGAGTTTTAAACTCATGTAAGATGTACTTCTTATCCTGGACAAGACTAAATTTAAAAGAATCCACAGAGAAACATTCAGATTGCAGAATGAGGGATTTAAGTCAGGTGTGAAAAGAAATACTATGGAATAGAAACTAACTCTTAATTACTATGGAAGATGGATACATTATCTGGCACATAGTATGCACTCAATAAATATTTGTTAATTAATTGTTTATAGAACCTTATCCCTTTGGAATTATAGTCAGTCAATCAATCAGGCAACAAACATTTATTAAGAGCCTCCCATATGTTAGTCACTGTGCTAAGCTCTAGGGATGAAAAAAAGAGCAAAAAACCAGCACCTGCTCTCAAGGAGCTTACATTCTATTGGGGGAGACAACGTGTAGCCAACTATATATAAAATACGTACAGAATAAATTACAGGAGTGATTTTTTTTAAACTTTGCATGTCTCCTAGCAACTAGCACAGTGCTATATATGTGATGTTATTAATAATGATTTTTAAAGAACTGTTATTTACATAGAACTTTATGGTTTGCAAAGCACTTTTCATATACTATCTCATTTAGTCCTAATGTGAGGTTTAGTACTTTAGGTATTGTGTTACCCATTTTACAGAGGAGGAAACTGAGGCTCAGAGAAGTTGTGACTTGTCTATGGGCACATAACTAGTAAGTACGGGACACGGGATTTGTATCCAGTTTTCACCTGATTTCAGGTGTAATTTTTTTCTCCCAATACACCACACTTTCTCTTTGTAAATCAAATTACTGCTTACTAAGTGTGTTTGAAGATGAATTCTTTTCAAAACAGGATGGATACCTGATGAGATTTTCCTCTCATCAGTCCTGGTTCAGGCAGATAAGTTTAAAAGGGAGAGGTGAGCTTGATTGTTTTCCTTTCTTTTTGCCTATAGACATGATTTCCCCCTTTATAATAAAACTCAAACAAGCACTTCTCACACACTTCTCATAGTGTGCAGTTATTTCAACTATGGTTTTAGGAAAGATGTATTAATATTCAACTTACTTGGCACTGCCTAGAAAACCACCTTAGAGAGACTGATTCTATATATGATATTCAATTATCTGAGCTGACAGCTGGATACAGTAACAGAGTTAATGTGAAACAGTAAATAATGGGATATTTACTCATTTATATGGCATCATTAATTTTCCAGATAGTTAAAACATACCCCTTAAATTGCAAAAAACTTTGTAAAAATGTTAACTATTTTGGAGGCAAATCTTTCTAAATTCATTATGTGGATTCCTGACTAATAGAGTATGTTCCTACTCTCATTGTTCGTCCTTCAGAGGACCAATGACCTCGATGATGCCTTGACTTGCGAATGAACTGGATTTAAGTAAGGCAGAGTTGCACAAAGTTGTCAGCCTCATTTTTTCTCCCGGAGTCATTGAAGTCCAGTGGCAAAATAAAAATCTTACCTTAAATGGTTCCAGACTCTTATGCTGTCTAAATTCAAATATTTGCTTTTTATGTTTTGTTTTTTTCTCCTTCATCACTTCTGGAAATTCTGTTATGAATTCTTATAGCTTCAACTGTCTCTTGCATCTGCTGCTTCTAGTCTGCTATGGTTTGCAAAAAAAATCACCAAAGTTTATAACTATTTGTAAAGTAAGAATAAATAAGCTCTGAGTTAGGGTTAGAATTAGAGGTCTCCTGTAAATTCGATTCCTCCTGACCTTTGTAAAATCTTTTGACTGTTTAATAATTTTTTTTTGGCTTGTATTCTTATTCTTAGCCACATTTGGCAAAATTGAGTTTTCTATATAACTCACATCTAGATAAATATGTTTTTACTTGGCTTTGGAATTATTTCTTGGTGGGCAGATATACCTTCAAAAGTAATTTTGTTTTGCTTAAAGTAATATTTATACATTTTTCCATTTTGAGAGTACATGCCTGCTGGGCAGTAGTTTTCCCCAGAAAGCAGGCTAGAAACATGTGAAAATGGATATGGAATCTCTTAAAATTGCTATTTAACCTGCTAAATTGACAATCCAGACTTGTCTTTAAAAGTTTCTTGATAAATATATATATATATGTATATATATATATATATAATATTTATCTAAGCACTTGTAGAAATTTTTAGTATTGAAAACCGAGGAGAAAGTAGAAAAAATTCATTTAAATAGATCTCTATATTATTTACAGAAAGATATTTATTTGGCATGTCCCCTTGGAAACAACATTTGGTTAATTTAGGACTACTTCAAATGAACCATTACTCACTTTTCATTTAGTTAATATTTATAGTAATAAATAATAATATAAATATATTATAATATAAAATATATAATTATATTAGTAATCATATATTAATAATACATTGTATAATTATATATTAATAATTATATACAATTATATTAGTAATATATTTTTATATAATATAATAATATAAATATAAATAAACATTTTATATATTTATATAAATATTTATATAAAATAGAAAACTATATAATAATCAGAATTAAATATGTTCTAAACCTAAATACCACTATTCAAATTGCAGTGTGGAGAAATTGAAGCCGGGTTATAACAATAACAATAATTACAATGTTTCTATAGCACTTTCAGATTTGCATAACACTTTATTTTCTCATTTGATCCTCACAACAATTCTGGGAAGTAAATGCTATTATTATCCCTGTTTTAAGGTATGGGAAACTGAGGCAGAGAGAGATTAAATAAACTGCCCAGAGTCACACAGTTAAGGAGTTATCTGGGGCTGGATTTGAACTCAAGTTTTTCCTTACTCCAGGTCCGGTGCTATATCTATTGTGCCACCTAGCTAGGGGTAAAAGTCATCCACAAAGCTGATGAGAATGCAATTTAGCCCTTCTAGATGCTGTTCAAAGACTCAATATGTGTTTCCTCCCTAAATTCCTTTAAAATTAGGTTTTCTACTTTTTCTGTCACAAACCGTATTCTTAAAATGGCTTCATAACAATGAATTATTTTGTTGCCAGTTAGGATCAATTTCCCAAATTCTTCTTCTAAGCCTGAGAACTAGGATAAAACAAAAACTAAAAGCCAAAAGCATTTCATTATTTCTTGGCCAATACAATTGATACATATGTATTATTTCTGGATGGAATGAAATCATCTTAATCCTGAAATTATATAATAATATTGTCTGTTCAGTGTTATAAGTAAAAGCTGCATGTGATGGAGCCCATCCTATAAATCAAATGAATTATAGGTTTGGAAAAGATCTACCCATCAAACATGCTGAGGGGACATCCTCGATATCTCTTCAAATTACATGGAAACCAATGGAACTCAGAGTCTGACAGTCCATCTGTGATTCCTCACTCTTCCTAGATGGTAACTGGCCCATCTTCTTTATCCAGTCATACATCTGTTTTATGTCACTTCTGACACATGGGTCTTTGTTGGTCAGAAGATCACAGATGTAGCGCTGGGAGGAACTATAGAGGCCAATGAGTCCAATTCCCACCATTTTACAAATGAGGGAGCTAAGACACAGAATGACTAATTGAAGAGTGTCTAAGGCAGGATTCCAAATAGTGTGTGCCTGACTCCAAGTCCAGTGGAGCCCATGACTCATTATCCATGACTACGCCACGCTGTCTCAACAGACGTATGTTATAGTCTATTTATTCTTACCTATATATCCATATACAAAATGAATACAAGTGGGACAAACATATATCGATTCCATCATCTTTTTTTTAATTGTCACATTATATTATTGATTCATTTGAGCTTCCAATCCACCAAAATCCTAAAGTCTTTTTCCAGAACAATTGTTGTTTATACATACTTCCTCTATTTTCTACTTGTGACATTGATTGTTTGTAACCAAACACAAGACTTTACATTTATCACTATTGAATTTCATCTGATTAGATTTAGCTCAACACTCTAGCTTGTCAAAATCCTTTTGGATCCTGACTCTGTCATCCAGCTATGCCTCTCTGGGTAAAGTCATTTATAAATTTAATGAGCATCCTCCCTATGTATTTATCAAAATCATCGGTAAAGATGTTTAACAAATTAGGCCAAAAACAGATCCCTGGGGTACTCCACTGTGATCTTTCTGCCACACTGACTCCGAGTCATTAACACACCCTCTTTAAGTTCAATCATCCAACTAGCTTCCTGGTTACATTACCATTTAATTAAGGAACTCTTCACCCTTTTTTTGTCTTATAGACCTTCTTTGGCAGTCTGATAAAACCCATAAAACCCTTCTCAGAATAATATTTTATAAGATAAAATAAAACTCATAGGGTTACAGAGGAAACCAGTTATGCTGAAATTGTTATAAATGTTTTTTAAGTTCTAGAGTCCTAGGTTAAGAACCTCTGGTTTTTATCTATGTCTCCATTTTATCCAGGAAAAGAGGATGATATATTTTATCAAAAGTTTTGGTAAAGTTCAAGCAAATAATCCATAACATTCCCCTCCTCGTCTGTTAGTTTAGTAATCCTGTAATCCTGTCCAAAATAAAAAAAGGAATTGGGGTTAGTTTTGCATGACCTCTTTTTGATGAAGCCCTAGTGGCCCTTTGTAATCACTAATTCCTTTTCTAGATGTTAGCCAACCATTTCTTTAATGATTCATTCTAGATTTTCCCAAGAATTATTAAAGTCAAGCCCATTGGCCTGGAGTTTTTACAGGCTGTGGTGATTTCTGGGCTCTTTTGGCTTCCTTGTGGCAATTGATTTACATCAGTGAAACTTCCTTAGAAAATAGTTATCTTCTGTGTCAATAATATCTAGTCTTTTATCCCTGTCCCATTTTTTTTGGCATTAGCAATTTATGTCAGGTTGAAGGTTTTTCAATTAAGCACCATATCCTCTCACTTTTATTTTTTCTTCTAACTTAGTGTTGCTTTTGATCTTTGTTCTAACAAATCAGTGATCTGAATGTACACAGATAGCTATGTATATTATTGGAAATGACTTCCACATTAGTAACTAGTCATTTCCTGCTTATTAAAATATAGGATCTTCATTGAGTGTGTGTGTATGTGTGTGTATGGTGTTTGGTACTCATGCTGGGCAGTGCCTTCCAACCTCTTCTTGAAGAAAATATTCAGCAACTTAGCTGTAAGCAGGAGTGTTCAAGTAAATGTTTAACAACTGGCTCTCTGAAAAAAAAATGTACATACCCAACACACATTAAGTTTAATCTGCATTATTAACATTTTCTCCATCACTATCTTAAGTCTAGAATTGGTGCCACGGGTGGGGAACCTGTGGCCTCAAGGCCCCTTGTGGACCTCTAGTTCCTTGAGTGTGGCCCTTTGACTGAATCCAAACTTCACCAAACAAATCCCCTTAATAAAAGGAAGAGATTTCTAAGTAGGGGGCAGTTAGGTGGTGCCATGGATAGAGCAGTGGACCTAGAATCAGGAAGATCTGAGTTCAGATTCAGCCTTTGATATTCTGTATATGATCCTAGGCAAGTCATTTAACCTATCTCAGCCTCAGTTTCCTTATCTGTAAAATGAGGATAATCACAATACCTCTCTTTTAGGGTTGTTGTGAGGATCTAATGGAGTATAGCACACATAAATCACTTTGTATACCTTGAAGCACTGTGTAAATGCTAGCCATTATTATTGCTAGTTAAATGATCACAGGCAAATAGCCTTGTACAGGGCTCACTTATTTTAAGAAACTCATTTATGAAAAAAGTGCTTTGCAAATATGTATATACATATACATATATATAAAACATATGTATATATGCACACATGTATCTATCTATAGTTATATACTACATATGTGTATTATTCATAATAAAGTATTAATAGCTAAATTAATATTTACAGACAGACTAACAACTATGTGTTTGTAGTACCCATTTCTCCCCTTTTAGCCCTCTCCTTTAGTATGACTGTGGGGTACAGATCTTGAAGGGGGCCACATAGAACTGAGCACCATTTTTTATTTTCATCTGTTTCATGAGTCACTATGGCCAAGTGAGTCATTAGCTCCTGGTCAGTGATCTGGCAATGACCTAATCCATTCTCATTCTCTCTCTCTCTCTCTCTCTCTCTGACATTTGGAGTTAAGTGACTTGCCCCAGGGTCACATAGCTAGTAAGTACCTGAGATTGGATTTGAACTCAGGTCCTCCTGACTCCAAGCCCAGGGCTCTATCCACTCTCCCACTTAGCTGCTCCATGGCCTGTCTATTCTTAAATTCTTACATTGGTTGGCCCAATAATAACAAGGTCATTCTGTTGCTGGGACCATGCATGAAGTCCCTTTAGCTTAGTAGAACCTGTCAGAGTAGGACATTTGCTGAGATAATCTTCAAGAATCCTGGGCCAACTGCTTGCTACAAGGAGATATTTAAGTAGGATTTTGATGTCAGCTGTAATAAATATAACCAAAAATGCCTTTTTGTGATTGGGGTACTGGGTCATTTGGAGTCAGATCCCAGCTCTGACATTGACTATCCATGTGATCTTGGGCAAATCCCTTTACCTTCCTGTGAAGTTGCTTCACTTGCCTCATCATCTTGTAAAATGAGGGGCTGGCGTAGGTGGTCGCAGAGGTCCCTTCTCATTTTATGATTCCATGTTCAGACAAGGTAGATAGAAATGAGGGAGGATTCGCTAACTCAACGCGCTCGGAGATGATGAGTTTAGATGCAACATATCTCTCAGCCTAGGGAGCAAAGGCAGCTTAGGAGCTAGCCAGGAGGCAGGTTGCCTTCAATTGCACTTCAGTAGCCAGGGAAATGAAGGAAAAGGCAAAAACCCTGAGACTTACAAGGAGGCGCCCTGGACTGACTCCAAATAATGGAACTATTTGGCAAGCTAACTCAGCCAGAGACCCAGGGATGGATCTTTTACAGGTCTGTCTTCTCATGGAGCCAATTTTGTCTCCATAGGGTCTGTTTTTCTCATCACCCAAAGCATCTCCACTGCCAAGCCTCTTCATTTTTCATCCTTCTTCTCTTGGGATTCTACTCTTCTTTGTTTCCCTAAGGCTAGGTCCTCCTTGCTGACACCTTTAATGTGGCTGATCAGTATTGCTTCCAAAAATAGCTCTCTGTGGGTGATGTGAAGAACTTTTGCATATTTAAAAAATAACTCATATTAATATAGCACTTTAAGGTTTGCAAAGTACTTTACATACTTTATGTCATTTGACCCTCACAACAGCCTTAGGAGGTAAGTGTTATCATCGCCATTTTACAGATCAGAAAACTGAGGCTTAGAAGAGGTAAATAATAATAGCATTTATATAGCACTTCAAGGTTTACAAGGTGTTTTACAAAGGTTATCACATATTGTCCTCACAACAATCATCAAACGTAAATGCTATTTTCCACATTAGGAAACCGAGGCTGAGATAGGTTAAGTGACTTGACCAGGGTATCACATCTAGTAAGTGTCTGAGGCTAGATTTCAATTTGAGTCTTCCTGACTCTAAATTCATCACTCTATCCACTAACCCATGCTCTACCCATTTACTTTTTTGTATCCTCAGTACTTAGCACATTGCAAGATATGTGGTTGGTGCTTAATAAACGTTTATTGATTGAAATCTACCAAAATCAATCTATCCGCAAGCACTTATTAAGCATCTACTATATGCCAGACACCATATCAGGTGAAATAGATGAAGATAAGAATTAATGATGATGATCTGTCTGAGAGAGGATTTGGACCTAGCTCTTTCTGACTTCAAGGACAGCACTTTGTAAACTTTGCCATGTACTTATATGATTCTGTGCCCAGAATGATTCCTTAAATTTCTTTGAACTTGATTCTACTGGAAAGCTACAAAAATTTCATGGGATTAGACTAGGATCTATGTTACTTGGCTAATGAGACAGCAGAGTTCAGGAGGTGAAGTTGAAGCCTAGAAGCTGGGGAGTCAGCGTATATTAGTTTATCTGCTACTTCAGTTGCCTGTCTGTGAAATGGAAATAGCACAGACCTAATCTGTAGGGATGTTATGAGGATTAACTGATTAGCGAAATGCTTACAGATGTAAATTCAGAAATATATGCTAATAAACCGAACGTATTCACGATGGAATGTCAGTATGGCTAGTATTTATGTCACTGTCAGCCAGCCAAGTCAGCCACAGACTCTAATGAAATGACTTGGGTTTCCTGTGTTTAGAGAGTATCGAGTGTAGCTGTTATGACTTTTACTTTCTACAGGTTGAAGTTGATGGTGTTTCCACATACTCACTGAAAGGCTTGACAGCCCTCACAGACTATAACGTTGCCATTTCTTCCATCTATGATGAAGGGCAATCTGAGCCTCTGATGGGGAGTTTTACCACAAGTAAGTCTTCATTCCTTTTTTGAAATGTTTTCAAGAGTAATCTGGTATCTGCTTAGATCTCAGGAAGGCAGAACTTATAGCAGTGTCATTCCCATTCTGACTTTGACTTTGGAAAGGAATGACATATTTCTTCCATTACCTTCACCGCCATTATTCCTAATCAACACAGAATGCTGGTTGCATTATCTTGACTGAATGCTCATTCCCCTCCCCCCTTTTTGGGGGGGTGTTAAGTGACTTGCCCAGGGTTACACAGCTAGTAAGTATCTGAGGTCGAATTTGAGCTCAGGTCCTCCTGATTCTAGGACCCGTGCTCTATCTACTGGGCCACCTAGCTTCCCCTGCTGCTCATTTCCTATCAAATTGAAGCGGTAGAAAGAGAGGTCAACATTTGTTTTCTCTATACCCTGAAACTATATCTAATTCTTATGTTTATTCAACTAACTTATTAGTATGGATGACCCAATAAATTCAAATTGCCTTTTTATCTGCTCAGCCAGAACTGGTCCCATGCAAAAAGCTTTGGTTACGAAGAGTTCAAATCCTACATCTACTACTTTCCTCTGCACACACTCCAGTTTGTCAATGTCCCATTTAACAACATACAGAACCCATAACACTTTTGTCTATATGAGGTTGGATGAGAATTAACTAAATCTATTATCTCCCTTGTTTTGGTCAATATCATTTCATTAATGTAGCCAAAAATTTGATGAATATTTTTGGCAGCTTCATTAACACTATTTTATGAATGGTATTGACTCATTTCAACTTTGCAGTTAACTAAAAACCCTGTCTTTTTTAAAAATATGAATTGCTGTTAAGCCACTCCTCTCCTCTCCTGTCTTGTGCTGTTGATTTTTTGAACTGAAGTGCAGAACTTTACATTTATCCACACTAAATTTTATCCTGTTAGATTTGACCTGTTTTTCCAGCCTATTGAGATATTTTCTGTTCCTGACTCTGTCATCCAACATTTTTAGCTATCCCTCCCAGTTCTGTGTCATCTGCTGATGTGAGCTACATGCCATCTATGTCTTCATCTGATGATCCCTGAGCTTATGACATCACCAGGGAGTGAAGTAAGCACGGAAGAGAGTAGAGCCAACTATGAATTCCTTCAGTCATTGGGGGCTATTGCAATGGGCTGCAACAAAATAGCTGGGAAAATAGTGAATGCGATTTCCATAATTTTAATGTTTTATTAAAAAAGCCAAAGAGATCATCTAATGGAATTGGTTCTGAAAGTAACAGTCCAACACCATGCACAAAGTGGTGTGAACATGTGTATAGTAGTGGAAAGAACACTAGATTTGGAGTGAAAAGACATTGTTTCAGATCCAGGCTTTGCCATTCACTAGCTGTGTGACTTGGTCACTTCATCAAGGGAACTCAGTTTCTTCATCTGTAAAATGAAGGTGTTGGACTAAATGGCTTACTTCTAAGGTCATTTCCAGCTCAAATACTCTGATGTTATGAATTACAAATAAGCTCTTGAATAGGACTCTTTTGCTTTAAAAGCAAATTTGGTGGTGGTGTTCATTAAATGATTTTTCCAATTCATGCTCCATGTGAGCACTGGGAAAAAAATGTAGGTCCCCAGAGTAAAGCAGGGTAGGATGCTTTTCACTCTCTCTTAGTGTTCTGTGATATGTGTCTGGGGGAGGTTTCCCAGCTGCTTCATGGTTGGTCACCCTTGAGTGTTCCAATGGCTCCAGGGAGGTTCCTGTTGTTTGGCTCTGCCAGCTTTTCATCTGCCTAACACAATCCAAAACTTTGGCTTGCAGAACAGATTCCAGCCCAACAGTATCTGGAGATTGATGAAGTATCACAAGACAGTTTTAGAGTGAGTTGGAAGCCCTTGTCTTCTGATGTTGCCCGGCAGAAATTGATGTGGATTCCTGTATATGGTGGAAAGGTTGAAGAGGTGAGTAGAAGCCACAGAATAGTGCATAAACCAAAAGACTTACTTAAATTTGCCATCTCATCTGACCCCTAAAGCAGGGGTCCTCAACCTAGGGGGCCATGAATTTTGTTGTTATTCAGTAGTTTCAGTCATTTCAGACTCTTCGTGACCCCATTTGGAGTTGTCTTGGCAAAGATACTGGAGTGGTTTGCCATTTCCTTCTCTTTACAGATGGGGAAACTAAGGCAAACAGGGTTAAGAGACTTTCCCAGGGTCATACAGCTATTCAGTGTCTGAGGCTGGATTTGGACTCAGGAAGATGAGTCTTCCTGGCTCCAGGCCCAGCACTCTATCCATTGCACCACCTACCTGCCCTATCCCTTCCTCCTGGAGCATACAATAGAGAGCACTTGTCAAACCTGATGACTGCCACCCATTTCTGACAATTCATAGGAGCACCGTTATTCTACCAGAAGGAATCCAGAAAGTTTTACTAAGGATTATGATGTCATCGATTCCACAAAGAAATGTACTATGCACACAGCACAAAAGCATCCTGGCATAGTGGATATGTACTTGGTTGGGAGTTGGAAGGATCCATGTTCAAATCCCACCTCTGACACTGTAGGACTCTAAGCAAGTCACTTAATCTCTAAAAGCCTCAGACAAATTCCCAGAATTCCAGAAATTCCAGATCCTTAGCATACTCATATCTTTACAAAGCATTGTGTTCAATAGGATTTGGATCATTTTATATACTTTAATGGTAATTTCATCCTTCAAAAGGTGGAGAAAGAAACAAGAGGAACTGCTCTTTTGGAACCAATTCTAACTGATAAAGAGGAACTAATTAGTGATGGGTGGGGAGAAGTGATTACTTGTTATCTCAGAATTTATGACTGAGAAGAAGAGGAATGCCAAGTATATGCTGACTAGATTTTGAGGGAGATTTAAACAGCTCAAGAGATAGGGTAAGCAGGATCATGTGACCTAAAATGCTATAGAAGAAACAAATCCAGGAGAGATGGAAAGTGCTCAAGATCAAATGCACATTGCGTAAGAGTGCATTTACTTGCTCCTGACAAATTCAAGTCACTGGCCAGGCGCAGATTTTACATTCTATATTATTGAGAGAACCAAATGGATGGCATTATCCAGCCATCATTAATGACCTTTGGAAGATCATGGAGAGTGAGAACAGATTCACGAGACAGAAAGGGTGAATATCCTGAATTCCAGAAAATGGAAGAGAGTGTAGCTGGCAAACTGTAGGTGAGGGAACTTGACTTTAGTTTCTGATGAATTTCTAGTATAAATAAAGGGCTGGTTGTAGAAAATCTAGAAAAGAATGCAATGATCATCAATAGCCAGCATGTCTTCATGGAAGGCACACCATACAAGACTAAATTTATTTTCTTGTTTCGATGGGGTTAAAAGACTGATAGATCAGGGAACTACTGTAAGTATAGTTTACTGAGATTTTTGTTTGTTTCTAATAAATTTATCAATTATTTTTGTTTTTACGTTGTATTCATTTCTGGATATAGTATCCTCCCTCTCACCCAACCAAAAGAAGCCTCCCTTGAAACAAAGAAAACTAGTTAAGCAAAACTAGCTGATTGCAGTGACCACATTTAACAGTGCATGCGACATTCCACAAGTAGTCCCTTGCTTCTCTGCCAAAAAGAGAAAGGTGATCCCTTATCTCTTCCTATTTTTATTCATTGTGTTAAATATTTTCCAAATACATTTTAATCTGGTACAAGCCACATTGGAGAGTGTTGCAGGCAACATGCCAAGCTGGCTGCATGTTTGACATCTCTGGGCTAGATGGTTGTACAAAAAGATAGATTCGGAATCAGTTGAATGGTACGGAAGAAAGTTTCCAGTGGAGTGCCCTGGGGATCTGTGATTGACCTTGTTCTATTTAACATTCATCAATGATTTGGATAAAGGCATGTATTGTATGCCTGTTGATTTTGCTGATGATATAACACTAGAAGGTACAGCTAAGAAAAAGGAATGAGCATTTGTAAAGCACCTACTATGTGCCGGGTGTTGTGACTTTACACCTATTATCTCATTTGGTTTTCACAATAGTCCTGGGAGGTAGGTGCTATTATAATCCCTATTTTACATTAGAGGAAACTGAGGCAGGCAAAGGTTAAGTGACTCTTAGCCAGCTAGTAAGTTATATAACCAGCTTGTAAGTATCTGAGGCCCAATTTGAGTTTAGGTCTTCCTGACTCCAGGCTCAGCTCTCTATCCACTGTGCCACCTAGATGTTAACACACTGAATGACAGTGAGAATCCAAAAAAAAAAAAATCTTGACAGGCTATATAACACTGGGCTGAAACTAATAAGGTAAAATTTAATAGATGTAAATCTAAAATCTTACCCTTGGGTTAAAAAATAACTTCCATATGCAAATGGAAGAGGTATGGCTAGCCAGTTGAGAAACAGCAGACTTTAGCAGACTACAATCTCAATGTTGATCAAAAGTTTTGCCAGTGAATAGCGATTTTTTTTCAGCCACAGCAACTCATGAGGATTGTCAAAGGAGTTGTGACCTGCATCGGTGGAGGAAATGGCCAAACCAGTGAAACTACTTCATGTTGAATTAAATTAATTGGTCTCAATTAGGATAGCATATTCTTAGTTACATTTTCTGTACTAGTTTCATGATATATTTCTTTTCCTTCTCTTCCTCCTCCTCCTCCTCCTTCTTCTTCTTCTTCTTCACCATTTGTGACAGCTGACCAAATCTATTTCAGGTTGTCTTAAATGAAGATCAGGATACATATGTTATTGAAGGTCTGCAACCCGGCACAGAGTATGAGGTTTCCCTGTTGGCTATACTCAGTGATGAAAGTGAGACAGAAGTGTTGACCATTGTTGGAACTACACGTAAGTCATGAGACAAACTGGAACGCTGCTAGACAAAACTGTTTTGTTACACACAATTCTAGACCTGTCCTCTTGCATCCAATAGACTTAGGTTTCCTTTTTCCTCTAAAGCCCCTATGACATAAAACTTAACCTCTCCCACTGAAATCTACCTGTATCTCATTGTCTTCAGGCCCCAGGTATCAGATAACAGTCTACTCAGTGAGTCCCTGCCAGTGTATTTATGGGGAAGAATAGTTGGCCTTTACAGACACCATCTATGTATTAACGATCACCTTCCAGCTACAGTGCCCCTCCCTTGCCTTTAAATTCTAACCCATTAATGACTCAAATGGTACGATTACTTGGCTGGTTAAGATGTGCTAAAATTGTATCTTATTCTGGTTCCCCTGACCATCCCCACCTCACTTCTAGTCAGTAGAGTAAGTTTATAAGTAGCTAGAATTTCTAATTGATTTATGAAATTATGACATGACACAGGAGTGCCTGGTTGTTTGGGTACTTGCCAGGAAAGACTATGAATGGCACTTGGAAGTGAGGCTTCACGTCATACTTTAATAAGGTACAGAGGGTGCACAGACAAACAGGCACAGAACAGAGACAAGCAGTACAAGGATGGTTACAGCGGCAAGATGCCCTGGGGATGGGGATGAGATGGTAGAGGGAGACAGGTAGTGAGGGGAAGAAAATGAAAAGAAAATAAATAAAAAGAAAATGAAAAGGGGGAAATGACTCATGTAACCTTGGATTAGAGTGGAGAAGGTAAACATGATTCTAGATTAGGAGTGGCAGGGAATGAGTGTCTCTAGGACAAGGGGACAAGGGACTCAAGGAGAGAGAAAAGCACAAAGTTAAACTGGTTAACTATAAGGTCAAATGTTTGAAGAAAAGCGAAAGAAATGGAATGGAATAAGCATTTATCAGATGCTTACTAAGTCTAGGCACTGTGCTAAGCACTTTAAAATATCTCATTTGATCCTCACAACAACCCTGTGAGGTAAGTGCTATTATTATTTCCACTTTACAGTTGAGGAAACTGAGGCAGGTGAAGGTTATGTGATTTGTCCACAGGTATACAGCTAGTAAGTGTCTGGGGCTGGATTTGAACTCAGCTCTTTCTGTCTCCAGGCTAAGCACTCTATCCACAGTGCCAAAAGTGAAATGAGAACACGGGAAAGCAAGGATTGGAGCAATTGGAGATTACAGTCAATCATTTTTTGCTGTTGTTCAGTCATTTTCAGTCAAGTGCAACTCTTTGTGACTCCATTTGGGGTTTTCTTGGCAAAGATACCGGAGTGTTTTGCCATTTCCTTCTCTAGCTCACTTTACAGATGAGGAAACTCAGGCAAACAAGGTTAAGTGACTGGGGGTGGCGGGAAGGGAAGTCACACAGCTAATAAGTGTCTAAGGCCAGATTTGAACTTCAGATGAGTTTTCCTGACTTCAGTCCCTCTGCTCTATCTACTGTACCACCAAGCTGCCCCAATAATAAGCATCAATAAACATCTATTAAGCAGCACTTATTATATGCAAGACACCGTGTTAGGTGCTAGGGATATGACTAACAAGAAGGAAACAGTCCTTACTCACAAAGAGCTTATGTGCTAATAGGGAAATGCCAGCCACGGTGGCAGAGTTCAAGGGCTCAGCACAGGATGGGCTCAACTACAGGATGCCCAAGGTTCCTTTCAATTCTCACATTCTCTGAAATTCTGGAACTGGATGTATTGGTTGAGTTTATGGACATGGTATAGTTGAAAGAGGCCTGGGTTTTGGAATCAGAAGACCCGGCTTCCAATCCCATCTCCTCCTCTCCTTGCTTGTTTGGCCTTGGACAGTTCAATCTCTTTGGATCTCCATTTCCTCATCTCTAAAATGAAGGAGTTGGACCAAGTGATTTCTGAGATCTCTTCCAGTTCTAAATTTATGATACTATGACAAGATAATCTCTTCCAGCTGTAATATTTTATGAATTTGGGGCTGGATGATGTCTATAGCCCCTCCCTTCCATCTCTAACGCCTGTCACTCTCTGATCCTTTCCAATCATAGCACACAAGCATCTGGTGATTCTGTTCACACACTAGGAGAGCCCTGGATGCAGTAAGAGATCTCTAACCTTGAGCACTCAAGCACATCTTTCCAATGGATCCTTTTCACTGGTTGGGATGAGGACTGGTTGGGATTATAGAAACTTCAAGATAACAGACCTACCAATCCTGCTTCTTCCTATGCTATAAGACAAATTTGCTGTTGTTGTTCAGGCATGTCTAACTCTTCATGACCCTTTTTGCAGTTTTCTTGGCAAAGATACTCGAACGGTTTGTCATTTCCTTTTCCAGCTCATTTTCCAGATAAGGAAACTGAGGCAAACAGGGTTAAGTGACTTGCCCAGGGTCACATATCAAATAAGTATCTGAGACTGGATTTGAACTGAGGTCTTTGTGACTCCGTGCCCAGCCCCCTTTCTACTATTCCACCTCAGCACCTGCATAATAATCCTACTGAGGGACTAGAAATTCCCCCAAATTCTTTTAGAATAGAATGAAATCTAATATAAGAAAAGCTCTCAATTTAGACTCTGGCCATTGCTAACAGTTCACTTTAGTGGAAAGAGCACTAGATCGGGCTGAAAGTAACAAGACCTGAATTCTAGTCCCAGGTCTGCCCTTGGGCAAGTTCCTTCTCTCAGTGAGTCACCATTTCCTCTCTCTCTATATATATGTAAGGGGGCTGAATTAAAAAATCCCTTTGGGTTCTATCATTTAAAATTCTCTGTAGTTGATTTTGGGGGGAGGGGGAGGCCTCACTGTGCTATAGCTGAGTCAAAAGGTACGTGTTCTTTTAGTGACTTTATGAAAAGAGTTCCACATTGCTTTCCAGGGATGGCTAGATGAGTCCGTAGCTCCACCAACAATACATAAATGTGCCTGTTTCCCCACAGCTCCTCCAACAATCACCATTTTCCACTTTTTGTCACCTTTATCAATCTCCTGAATGTGAGGGGAACCTCAAGTTGCTTTAATTTGCTCTTATCTAATTATTGGCCATTTGGAACATTTTTTTTTCACTCACATATCTTAGTCTGCTTCCTTTGAAAATGACATGTGCGTATATACACACCTACTCATAAACAAAACAGTGCTTTCCTTCCCAAACTACCTTGCATTTAATTACTTTGTACATACTTGTATTTATTCACTTGATGTTTTTGCTGGATATAGTGATATAGATACTTGTTTCTCCCATTAAAATGTAGGATTCTTATAAGAGGAAATTTTTTCATTTTTTGTACTTGTGTCCCCAGTGCCTCGGCGGTGCCTGGCACATAGTAGATGATGAATAAATGTTTATTGATTGGTTGCTCTAAGTCAGATAAAACTAGTAAAGAGTTTCTCCTTGCCTCTTCTTAGTACTGATCATTCCCTGATTTGGGGTGGAGGGAGAAAGAGGAAATGGTTCATGTTATTGAATTATCAGGCCCTGATACAGATAAGCTGTATCTGTCATACTTTCCTATTCTGTGGAGCTGGCAGCAGAACTGAGCTTCTGGGAAAAAAGAGAGACCCAACCCAGGCTAAGGCTCTAGTCTACGACATACAGGGAGGACTAGAAACGCTGCATCAGTGTGTGTGTGTGTCATGGACTCATCAGTCACCTAGTCAAAGAACCTATTGCATTCAAGTCCTCTGCAACTATCCAAGTTTCAGAAGGATAATAAATATATCAGAATGCACTTTTTTGAGTAATAGACATTTCAAATACTTTCCTGCCAGTTGAATTTTTTTTTATAAAGGTAAATAAATTCTATAAACCTATATGACCTCCAGCATGAACCTAGCCCATCGACTTCATTGTTCTTCCCAGCCCTCATCCCCTCCAACCTCCAAAATTTCCCTTCCCTTGAAAAGAGTTCTGTTTTTAATACAATGCAACTTTTTAAAAAGGAGGGATTCAAATGACCATTTTATTTTTAGGAAAAGGGAAATTTGAAAGATTTCCTCCCCCCCCAAAAAAATCCCTCAAGCTTTCCTTGAAGAAATAGTCTTATCTATCCTTTGAATTTTGCCACCTCAGAAGAATGAAATACATTTTCTCTAACCTAGATAGAGAACTTAGAAGGGAATGCCCTACACAATACAAAAAACAAACAAACAAAACCAGGCAAAGCTCACTGCCTAATAGAGTGTGAGAACTAGGCACTAGAGGAGAGTAAGTATGAGGGCATTTCTATAGCATCTACTATGTGCCAGGTATGCGTGTGTGTGTGAGGGTGGTCAGGGGAAAGAAATCAAACAATTAGAGGGGAGATATCAAATAGCTGCTGCTGTTCAGTTGTTTTCATTTGTGTCTGACTCTTTGTGACCCCATTTGGGGGTTTCTTGGCAAAGATACTGGAGTGATTTGCCCTTTCCTTCTCCAACTTATTTTAAGATGAGGTAAATGAGGCAAACAGGGTTAAGTGATTTCCCCAGAGACACACAGCTAGTAAGTGTCTGTGGCCATGTTTGAACTCATGCCTTCCTGATTCCAGGCCCAGCACTCTAGTGGGGATTCCTTGAGTATATGGGTTGGATTAGATAACCAATGAGGTTCCTTCCTACTCTCAGATTTTGTAATTTCAGATCATTTAGTCCAGTGGATAGAGTGCCCAGACATTTGTACCCTGGAGACAAAAGAAAATCGTGATGAAAAAATGTGGGCACACAAATGTAAATGTTTGCTTACCTTTCCCTTGTGTGTAAGCACCACACATATACACCCACACTTCACACTTGGTAGCCTGCGAAGGACTGCTAGCCTTCCCTCGCGCACAGATGTGGGACTTTGGAACTTCTATTGCTGTTACTTTCATCAGTACTGGGGGAGAAAGGGGGTGGGACTGGCAGCTCTGGCTATATTTGGGAAGAGAGGAAGAGAAACCAGCACCAGCTCTAGAGACTGGTATATGCACATAGGAATTTGCACAAACCTTGGTAGCCATCTCAAAGCATTTAAAGGGTTCCCATATAAAAGAAGCCGCAGACTTGTTCTAATGCCTAGCCCTGGAAAGCCAAACTAGAAACAAGGCGTAGAAGCTGCAGAGGCAGATTTGGGCTCAACGTGAGGGGAAAACAACCTAACAATGAGGGCTCTCCGCAAGCAGAATGTGGTCGTGGGTGGCTTGTAGGCTGGGTGTTCAAGCAGAGGCTGTTAGGTTGGTGGAGTAGAGGGAATTCTTGCGAAGGTGTAGATTGGACAAATGGCAACAGATGTTCTTTGTGGGGGAGTGCAACTCCTGTACATAACGCTGCCACTCAGTTACCACCAGCCTTTGAAACACGTCCAGGTCTGTGGTTTCTGCAAAGCCAAAGCTGACTCCCCAGCTCAGGAGCACAGGTTAAGTCTGTCTGTGAAAGCATGGCCCTCAGGCCCATGCCAGCCCTCAAAAGTATGGAGGACGGGGCTTTCAAGCAGAGACCAAGGAGCCCGAGGCAGTGCCTGGGGTATTGCCGAGCATGCTTAACCCTAAATGAGTTCACACTTGCACCTGTAGCAATTCAGGTGGTACCAGGCTGGGGTGATGGAAGGGGAGTGAGGGTGAGGTGTGCTTGCCACTGCAGAGAGAGCAAGACAATGAGACAAACACCTGGAGTGGGAGTGCAGTGCCTACTCTCTGCCCTGCATACATACTTGCCTGAGGCTAAAGAGCTGTCCAGCTAGTGCAGCTAGAATGTGATTGGTGCATGTTAATCCAGGAGCCCTGGCACCAAATATGCTCAGCCTGTCTCCTCCTGGCTGAGTCTTCTCTGGCCCTGGACCACCTACAACAGTTCAAAGTCTGTTCTGGAAGGGCACAACCCATTAGCTTCCCTGCCTACCTACCTTTAAAATAAACTTGGGTCTACGTAAGGCCAAAGCCTGCTCCCTGGGGCAGGAGCGCAGGGGTCCCTGAATGCATGCCACCCGTCAAAAGTATAGAGAAGGGGCAGCTAGGTGGCACAGTGGATAGAGCACCGGCTCTAGAGTCAGGAGAACAGGAGTTCAGATCCGATCTCACTAGCTGTGTGACTCTGGGCAAGTCACTTAACCCCAAATGCCTCATTTAAAAAAAAAAAGTATAGAGGAAAGGGCTTTTAGGCAGACCTCAAGGAGCAGGAGAGGTGTCTGGGACATTACCTGGGACAGTGCCAGGATGAAAGGACCTGAGAGGGACATCGGGACCCCAGGGTCTGCCCTATGCACTACTCCAGGCCCAGCATACTCAATTGAGGCTAAAGAGCTGTCTCAGGGGTCCAGAGTGTGACTGATGCCTGTCAAATCCAGAAGCCCTTGCTCTAGGGACACAGCCTTTCTCCTCCTGGTTGAGCCTCTTCCAGTCCTGGATTATCACCCCACCAAGGACTCCAGCTTGAGGTCCACCTCCCCAGTAAGCCTTACTGGACCCTGCAGCCTACATCATCAGTCTCTTCTAACCTACTCCCCATCTTCTCTGCACCTTTCAGAGACAGCCTTAAAAATCAACCCACATGTACTTTCTGTTCGCTTTACAATTTTTTCTTTCTTCTATCTTCTTTCTTTCTTTTCTTCTTCTAAATAAATCTTTCTTCTAAGCACAGGGAGTACAGTGAAAGTGAAACAGTCCCTACCCTCAAGGAGCTTATATTCTAATATATGCATAAGTAGGTATATACAAGATACAAACAAAGTAGATGCTATACAAGATAATTTTTAAAGAAGGGGTGTGTGTGGGGAGGGCAGAAACAGGAAAGACCTCTCTCAGAAGGTAACTGTTTGAGCTGAATCTTGAAGGAAGCCAGGGATTCCAAGAGACAGAGGAGAGGAAAGAGACAGCATTCCAGGCAGGGGGGACAGCCAGTGCAAAGGCATGGAGATGGGAAATGGAACGTCATTCGTGAACAGCAAGCAAGCCTAGAGATGAGTAATATGAAGGGAAGGAGGCATGATGTGAAGAGTTTTACATATGAAACAAAGAGAACTTAATGTTTCATCCTAGAGGTAATAGGGAACCACTGGAGGCTATAGACTATTTTGAAGTAGTGAGATGATATCATATTTTGGTGAGCTAGTACCACTTCAAAACAATGGTTTTCCATTTTGAGAAATTCTAACAAGTAATTTCTGTTTTCAGTTGACGCTCCTTCAACAGTACCTACTGTCACTACTATACCTCCTACTGGCCCAGTAACTTCAGGTGAGGATAAATAAATGCCGCCTCTCCCCACCCCCTCCACCAAGAATTTGATTAGAAGCTGTATCATATTTAGTGACTTTTTTTTAATTAGGAAAAGTAGATTGTTTCTCATGTACATCTCGAAAGCAGTCTCTTGACTCTCTCACCCTGGATGTTTCTCTTCTGGACTACTTTCTCTTCTGGTTACTTTTCTTTAGCTCTTATGACTCTCACATTCCACTATAATGTCTATGAGAGCATCATTCTCTACTAGGCTTAGCTGCCTCTTTCTTGATGCCTTCTTTCTCTCTGTGACCTTGCATCATATAGATATTCCTTGAACGGTGTTTGGGAAAAGATGACATATTTTAATTTAGATGCCAGAATATTGTGGCCTAGTGGAAAGAGAACCATTCTGGGAGCAAGGAGTCCTGTGTTTTATGGACCATCGACTATCTGTATGATATTAAACATATCATTTAACCTACATGCCTCAGATTACTCATCAGTAAAATGGAAATAATAATAGCTAATATTTGTATAACACTTACTATATACCAAGCACTGTGTATCTTAATGGATCCTTACAACAACCCTGGAGGTAGGTGCTATTATTATCCCAATTTTGCAGATAAGGAAATTGAGGTAAATAGATTAAATGAACCTCTGAGGCTAGATTTGAATTTAGGTCTTCCTGACTCCTGGCTTGGTGCTCTATCCACTGCATCACTAATCTAATCTATTTTATAGAGAGAAGATTATGTGAATTACAGTAATCACTTTAACAAGTAAAAAGTGATATATGAATGAAAGATTTTCTAATCTCAAAAACCTTGGGAAAATTGCCAGTTGCTCTGTGTTAGGAACTGTGAGAGCTACAAAAGAAGTGCAAGACAAGGTCCCTGCAAAGAAGGAGGAAAAGGAATCCATATAGGAAACACACACACACACACATACACACACACACAGTCCTATAAGTAGGAGGAAAAGCAGAATATCACAATGTCGTGGAAACAGAGAGAGGAAAAAGTATCAAGAAAAAGCATATGGACAATAATATCACTTTGGAGAAAAGTCAAAGAAGATAAAGTCTAAGACTTCTGGATTTGACTAAGAGGAAACTGTTGGTGATGTGGTGATGGAAATCAGATTATAAAGGGAATGAGCAATGAGGAAATGGAAGCAGTGGATTTAGAGCCCTCACTTGACAAGCTTGACATCAAAGGGAAGGAGAATAGGAAAATTATTAGAAGGAATGGAGAAATATAGGTGTATAAGAAAGCAGAACATGGAAACAGAGAGGTATATGATCTTCTAGATGGGGGTGACAGGGTAATACTTCATTAAGATCATCTGGCATTTAAAACAAGTATAAGGAAGGTGATGAGGTTGGGGTAGTGTGTAGATAGAATTGGGATGCACGTTAGAATTGAGATATCATATTATACACTCACATACATAAAAAGGCAGATTTAGGTCTGATTCTCCATGTACCAAATGGAGTGGTGGTATGAAGTGCTTAGGAGGACTAGCACCCTGGAAGTGAGGGTTTGCCAAGCCCCTTTCAGGGCTGCTCATCCACCTTTGCTGTCCACCTGGCACTCAACTCTCACCTGTGGCTCCAAGAAGCTGTAGCCCAAGTAGTAGCCATACCCCAGACAAGCTAAACCAGGTTGAGGGTAATGGACAAGGGTAATGGCAAATCAGAGGGATGTCTACCCCAAGCATTTGAAGACTTTCTTCAACAGAATGGACAGATGAGAACAGTTTGTTCCAATAGCCATGAAGGCAGCTGAAGCAGGATGGAGCACTTAGAACTTGGTCAGGCACTGGAAGATGCCAAGGTCATCCACTGCATCCTGGGCCATCACCAGTCATCCTTACTTGTCCTGCCACTGGAGTTTGATGACTCAGGAAGAGAAAGTGAGGCTGATGACTGTGCAACCCTGCCTCACTTAAATCCAGTTTACACACAAATCAAGACATCACCCTTGATTTCATCAGTCCTCTTGGAAAATGAAGGACAAACAACAGAATTCAAAAAAATCCATAAACATTCAAATGCCTGCTGTGAAGAAATGGTAGGCTCTGTGCTAGTGGAGATACAAAGTCAAAAGTGACATAGGCCCTGTCCGTGAGGACATTGTCTCAGGGGAAATCCTTCTGCACATTAATTTCTGTCATCCAAGAATTAATTCTCTTAGAGCTGGAAAGATTGGAAGAGTTTATTGAGTTAATATCTTTAGTGCTTACCCAGAAACGACAGAATCTAAATGTTCTTGGGTTTACCTTGAAGACAAAACTACTTTCAATTTTTTTTCCCTGAAAATTGTTTCATGTTCCCCTCTAAGCCACAAACAGGAGAATTATAGAGGACCCAGAGCTGTATTACTTTTCCTCCTTCATGTTTGCTGGGGTAGAGTTGTGGTTACTAAAATCCATCTCCTCTAAGGACTGGGCACCTCTTTGGAGGCATCATCCATTAAGAGTTCTTTAACTCTCAATTATGTTTGTTTTAGTTTTCCGAACAGGAATCAGAAACCTGGTTGTAGATGATGAATCTACTTCCAGCCTTCGGGTAAAATGGGACATTTCAGACAACAGAGTGGAGCAGTTCAGGGTGACCTATCTAACTGCTAAAGGGGACCATGCTGAAGAAGTGATAGGAACGGTCTGTATGATTTTAAGCTTCCTAGAAACTCTGAAGAGTTTTCTAACTAACACAGTGCTAACAAAGGAGACCCATTCTTGGAGATTAATATCCTTGGTTAATAACAACTTCACTCTTAGTTTCCTTGATGGTTGTAAGCATTTTGTTTTCCCCAGTTTCTAACTTTGCTTCAAGGCTGCTTTCATTGTCTTGCTCTGCTTCTTAGGGCTTAGTTAACAATGGTTTGCATGCTAAAGTAATACAAGAACAAATGTATAACAAATGGCAGTAATGGTAATTATATTTAAACTTACTTATTTTTCTCCTCCACCAAAGTTCTTGGAAAAGAAGAAAGCATAGAGACCTGCTTTGGTGTATTCAATAGATAGATATGGTCTTGAAAGGAAGCTATAAAATTTCATTTTATTATCATATTTTCTCTGACATTTTATTCTTTGTACTTGCATTCCCAGTGCCTAGCAAAACAACTGGCACACAATAGGTGACTAATAAATGCTTGTTGATTGAATCTATTATAAGTCTAAGCCCGTCTTAGTTGTCTTGGTTTCTTATTAATTTTCAACTTTATGCCCTTCCTGAATAATTGACTCTTTCCCCTCTATCCAATGACTTGTAACAAAAACTTTAATGCTTTAGGAGAGGTTGTTGTTTAAAGGGACTCAGTTGTAAAATGTACAGTCATTTCATTAATATCAGTATCTTCTAATGCATATGTTTTACAAATTTGAAGATAGTAGATTTAAGCTTTGGGGTCCAAAGATTCTGATTTTATTTTCATAGGTGGGGATATTTAGTGCACTAATTCACACAAGCCATTCATCTGCAATTTAAAGTCTAAGAGTTGCCTGGGAGTACAAAGTTACGTGACTTTCCCAGGACCAGACATCTAGTGTTGGAGATAGACCTGGAGCTCACATCTTCCTGATGCCAAAGCCAAGTATATATCAAGGCCAGATCCCCTGCACCACTCTGACTCACAGAGACTGGACCAAAAAATACTGAGTTTTCTTAAAATGCAGTACACATATGTTTCCTTTTTATGAGAGGGCCAAGTTGGGCACAAGAATCCTAAGTCAAAGGATCATAGTCTTCCTGGATCTTTTTTTAATTAAAATTTTTTTTCTTAGCATTTTACCAAATCTTATTATGCTTTTAAACTTATTGGAATTCAACAGGGTTCCCAGTCATTTACATAACTTTTATAGCAATAAGATATTTTTTCTCAATAGCACTGAATATTTTTCCTTTAGCCTTTCCAATCTGCAATTTTTCCATTTTCTTCATTTTCCCCTCTCTAGAAAATCCATAGAGAATGTCCACAGAATTGCTTTCCATCAAGAATCATGTTATTGTTTCCTACCAACTGATCCTCCCTCCATTCCCTTTTATTTACAGAAGCTTGGGTAGAAAATGGCCTTTGCTATCTCATCATCAAAATAATAAGAGAATGAACCCCATTCATTCAAGTAGTTTCCTTCAGAATATACACCTGACAGAATGTAGAGATTAGCAGAAAATAGTTGAGTAAAGTTAGCCTGACTTAACAACAGTCCAGAATTTCTTCAATTCTCTCCCTAAATGCTCTTAGAAGAAAAGTCTGTGGAAACTCCAAGCATATTGAATTGGTTAGGTAACACAAGTTTATCCCTGTAATAAATTCAACATAACTTATAAATATTAATAGGAAATGAAAACTGAAATGATTATAAAATGACAGATGCAGATATTTTATTTCTGATCATTACTCTGTATCTCTATACCATATATGTGTGTATGTATATATGTGTGTGTGTCACACTCAGACACACACTCTATAATTTTACACTTACAAAGGAGTACTTAAAAAAAGTTTTGCTGCTTTTCTCTCCCATTCTAACGAACTTCTTACTGGGATTCTCAATGAATTCTCCGGGGAAGTTTGGACAAAGTGGCAATTGAGGAGAAAGGCAAATTCAGTCATTTATTTTTGAATGACTTTTGAGGAAGAGGGAAGATCCATTATTAACTATGGGTGTGTATCCCTTCAAACAAACAAACAAACAAATAAACCCTTTTGTAAGGAAATCCAGATTTACTTACCTGACCAAAAGAGAGTAAACTCTTCTTTGCAGAAGTATTCTTGACTTTTGAAAAGATTCCTTTCTAATGAATTCCTTTGAGTTAGGGAGCTTTCTTGTGCATTTCAAATGGGAGGTGATTTGTTAACATTTTTTACAAGTTACTTTCCAGGAATAGATGTAAAAATTCCAGAAATGTGCTACAAAAAGTGAGGCATGCTTATATTTAGATTAAAAACAAACAAACAAAAAAAAACAAATTGGATATATGCTAGAATCTTTGCGTGATACTCATGAAGTGTGTTGAAATGCCACTTAGAGAGAACAGAGATTCTCTTCTGTAAGGCTGTACAGCAAGGATAGCATTGGGGTCTCATTTAGGCAGCTAGGTGGAGCAGTCAATTGAACGCTGGACCTGAATTTAAGAAAGACTTGAATTCAAATATGACCTTGTTATCGTTTAGTCATTTCACTCGTGGCTGACTCTTCATGACACCATTCGGGTTTTTCTTGGCAAGAATACTGAAGTGGTTTGCCATTTCCTTCTTCAGTTCACTTTACAGATGAGGAACTGAGGCAAACAGGGTTAAGTGACTTGCTCAGAAGGGTCACGCAGCTAGTAAAGTGTCTGAGGCAGGATTTGAACTCAGGAAGATGAGTTTTCCTGATTCCAAGTCCAAGGCTCTATCCACTGTGCCACATAGATACCCCCAAAATACGACCTTAGACACTTACTAGCCGTGTGACCCTGCATAAGTCACAAAACCTCTGTTTGCTTTAGTTTCCTCAACTGTAAAATCTCAATAGTAACAGCATCTACCTCCCAGGGCTATTGTGAGGAGGCATTGTGGGTAGACTTTGTATAAATGCTTATTCCATTTTCCCCTTTATTTAGGACAGAGCATAACAATAATGCAAAAGAGAAAAGTTCAGAGCAACTTAAAATGACATTCTGACTTTTGATCTTCTTTTACTCTTAAGACAATAAAAATAGGATCGTCAATCTATTTCTGGAAGGCTCTGCTGATATGCAGCTATTAGGTAGTAGAATTGGACTTGGAACTCAAACTCTGAGACTCCAAGTTCCACACACATCTTTGATTTTAATCATTGTGGCTACTACCTCTGATGATCAACTAGTCAATCAACAAGCATTTATCACTTACTGGATGCCAGAGGCAATGTGCTAACCCATCCATGACTGGCAATCCTGGGGCCAATTTTGTCTGGGTTCTCCTAGAGGTCTGTAAATGTCAAAATTTAGGAGTGCATGTCTGTGGCACTATTATGTAGACTTTGACATGTGTAAAAGAAAGGTAATTACACTTACACTATGCCACTCTTGTAAGAGAAACTGCAAATGTGAAGTGTTTAGAAACACACATTTACAAATATTGGATGTCACTACTAAAGGTTTCTAATATAAACCGTTTGAGATCTTGGAGGGAAAACCCAATTAAATACAGATTATTAAGTACCCCTGTGTGTGCAAAATTGGGCAAGGCTTTGAGTGGAGCCCCCCAAAAGAGGTATTTTCTTGGTCTCCAGGATCTTATATGATAGCTGGGGAAGACCACCAAATAACTCAATGGAGTACAAGGAAAGAGATGATGAAGGACCAGATGTCATCTTTGTAGCCATTAGTACTCAGAGATGCCTAAGAGTTGAAACTAGTTCAGTCTTGAGCAGCATCAGTTATTTTTACAGCATCGCATTACTCAACTCTATGGAGATTTGGATGAGAGCCACCAATAGATTGTTTCTTTTCTGTTGGCAGGGGATTGTAGTCTCATATTTATTTAGAATTAAAGTTCCATGAGCTCCAAATTTCTCTATAACTTGAATATCAAAACTCACAATGGTGACCTGAGTGCAGAATTCATAAGATCATAAATTTAGAGCTGGAAGTGACATCAAAAGCTATAATTATATAAATAAGGAATCTGAGGCACAATTTAGTTAAGTTAGTTTGTGGTATGATTTGAATTCATATATTCCTGACTCAGAGTCCAGTGTTTTACCTGTGTCAATCAATAAAAAAAAATCACTTAAAATTTTTTTTTGAATATTAGAAGATTTGGAATAAAATTCCTTCATGCTGGAGTTCTCTTTCAGAAAATATCATGATATATTGGGCTCAATTCACTCCCCATTTGAAAATGAGAATCTTCTTGTGGGATCTGCCCAGAAACAATAGTGTTGTTCAGTTGGGTCTGATTCTTTGTGACCATTTGGGGTTTTCTTGCCAAAGATACTTGTGGTTTGCCATTTCCAGTTCATTTTACAGAGGAGGAAACTGAGGCAAATGGGATCAAGTGACTTGCCCAGGGCTGCACAGCTAATAAGTGTCTGAGGCTGGATTTGAACTCAGGAGGATGAGTCTTCCTGACTCAAGGTCCAGTGTTCTATTTACTACACCACCTTTTCTGGCCAGCTTATCTGGCAAGACAATCAATCACTAAGGAAGAGACACTTAGGGACATTCCATGGAGGAAATTTAAATGTTACTCTTTGGTGTGTAGCTGAGGTAAAGTAATTTGTGAGTTATAAAACCTAAGAAAAGCTTCTTCAACACATTGCAAGTGACAACTAAATGAGGCAGAAAACGCCCTGACAGTCTTTCAGTAGTCCAGGTGCTAAGGATAATAGCTTCCAGTTGTGAATTTTGATAGGTTCCAAGGTGAAATGGTTCTCAGTTTCAGAGATATAACATAATGGATCATGCAATGACCTTAATTTCTGGTACATCAACTTGGGTGGATTGTTTGAAAATTAACTTAAAAGAATTCCCTCATTAGCAGGGAGGGAGAGAGAGAGAGAGACAAAGAGACAGAGAAACAGACAGAGACAGAGAGACAAAGAGAAATGGAGACAGAAACAGAAGGTTGAAAGGAATTGTCTTAAAGAAACTATATCAAATGAGTAATACAAATTGGGCCAAACCAAAACCTTTCCATTTTCTATGTTTGAGGCCAAATTAGTCTAAGGATGAAGCAATTAAACATCCTTACTACAGTTTCCTAAAGGCTCTGACCAAGTGTTCTCTTTGCCTCTAGTACTTTACTTCCAAGTCCCAAATTAATTATAGCCATGGGCATTTTCTCTGTGCCTTCCTAAAGAGGGGCACATAATTGACTCCCCAAACCAATATAAAGTCACCCAAGTTAGACTTCCTTTTATTATATTTTTTTTTTAAAAAAAGCAACGTATTGTTTTGAAGGCTTGACCAAATCCAAGCTACGTTCACTTCAGGGTTCAACTAAAGGCTTTCTAGGGTTTAGTTCATGATTTATTGGTTTCCTCTCATCCAAAGGCAGAGCAACTGAGCCAAATCCCATAGTTACGCCTGCTGGCTTTTTACCCTGGCCCTTCCTTTGAGGAGCAACTCCAGCTGTCTCTGGCCTTTGACTCCCTTAACCCTTTACAGGCAAAATTGGCAGCCCAGCATCTTTACCAAAAATGATTTGTTTTCTTGACTGATCAGGTGGTATGCAGGAGAATTACCACAGAAAAGACCAGAAGAACTTATTGTGGGATTAGCATTGAGAGAATATTTGGGAGATCAGAATTTACTTACAGTGATGCTTGTAGAACCTGCAGCTTTTACTTCCCTTCTATGAGTACCTAACACCTCAACCAACTTTCTTTTTGGAGCTCCTTAGAGAGACAGGGAGGTGGTGCTTGTTATCTAGGAAACACCCTCCTGAGTTATAAAAGCTTCAGTATACTTCAGTATATAAAAGCTTCACCTGTATACTTCCTTTTTTATTTTTTTTTGGTAGTTGCTGTCTCAGAAGATTTACATGGGGTGTGTAGTGCTCTAGTTTTCAGCTAATACCTGCCAATTTGTGATTTAAACAAGCAAATCTTGGGATTGGGTTATAGCTGAGGGGATAACAAAATAATGAAAGACTGAATTTTCAAGGGACTACTTATACTGAGTCACAAAGATAGCAGGCTGATGTTGTGAACTGACCTCCCCAAGAGCCACAAACACCTGCTTTTCATACAGAACATTAGTCATTTGGATCTGGATGATTTCCAAAGGTTTGGGATAGAGAGAGAAGAATATTATTCAGTACAACTCATCGGAGTCCCAGATTTAAACCTTCTGTATTAATGGTTGGAATCAAAAGGTGCCCATGAGGGTGAGATGCAGACAGAAAATCTGTCTCATACTTTCCCCTTTTTATTTTCTCTCCTCTCCCTCCATTTCTCCCTCAGCCCTCAATTCTGATTATGTCAAGAGCCTAAGAGGCTCTGCTTATATTGAAATATTAGGAAGAAAAGTCCAGGAGATTTATAAATGTGGGGCTTTGATTTTCAATCTAGGTTATGGTGCCAGGAAAACAGAACCAACTTCTTCTCAAGCCTCTGCTTTCAGATACTGAATACAAAGTCACTGTGACTCCCATTTACTCTGATGGAGAAGGGGTCAGTGTGTCAGCCCCTGGAAAAACCTGTGAGTATAAACCCCCTTTCCCTGGATAACAGTATGATTGAAATTTTATTATTTTCATAAATGAAAATTTTTATTATTTTTCAGGAGCATATTATTTATGCTCCTGAGAAACAGTTAGGTACATTCTGATATCTGTGCTATGATGTTAGCATTAAGTAGATGGTAGTATGAACCTGAGGTTTCCACTCAACACCATACATTCAGTCTGGGAATGTGTAGATTTCTCTGGTGAATCAGTTAAAAATTCAGCTCGTCCAAATTGGCAAAGATAACAAAAGACATAAATAGTCAATGTTAGAGGTGCTGTGGGAAGAAAGGTACTCTACTACACTATTGGTGGAGTTATAAATTGATCCAGCCATTTTGGAGAGCAGTTTGGAATTCTGTGAGGCAGCTGATCCTATCCTTGATCCAAAGATCCTAATCCTGGGCATATAGAACAAGGAAGTAGCAAGCACTCTTTTGTGTTAGCAAATAAGTGGAAACAAAATAAGTGCCCCTCCATTGGTGAATGACTGAAAGAAATAGCGGCTTATGAATGTAATGAATAATTACTGTGCCATAAGGAGTGGTGAATATGTGGAATTAAGAGAAACTTGAGGAGACTTATATGAACTGATGCAGAGTGAAGTAAGTGAACCCAAGGAAACAACATACTTAATGACTCCAGTAATGTAAATTAAAAGAACCCCAAATGAAGGCAGATGCAGTTTAATGGTGGTGACCAATTTGGTCCACAGAGAACATCTGAGGACATGTACCTCCTTCATTTCACTGGGGAGGTTGGAGACTCTGAGGGTGGAATGTTGCATCTACTTCCAGGACATTATCACTATATTGCTTGATTTTGCTTACCTGTATTTTTTTTCAGATGTTTATAAGGGAAAGCTCTCTGGGGAGTAGAAGGTGGGGCAAGGGGAGAAAACAAGCTAAATCTGGAAATAACTATGATGTAAAACCAAAATTAATCAATAAAACTTAAAGCAAAAAGCAAAAGAGGAAGAAAGGAAAGAAAGAAGAAGGGAAGGAAGGATGGGAGGAAGAAAGGAAGGAAGGATGGGAGGAAGAAAGGAAGGAAGGATGGAAGGAAGAAAGTAAGGAAGAGAGAGAAGGATAGGATAGGAAAGAAGAGAGAATAAAAAGAAAAGACGAAGGGAGGGTAGAAGGAAGAGAGTGAGGGAGTATTCAAAGAAGGAAGAAAGGGAGAGAAGAGATAGAAGGAAGATAGAATGAAGGAAGGAAAGAAGGAAGGGAGGGAGGATGGAAGGAAGGAAGGAAAGGGAGAAGGAAGGAAAGAAAGGAGGGAGGGAGAAAATCCAGCTGTTCATATTCTACTTGGCTTACAAAATTTGCAGTGGCTCTTCCATTTAATAGTACTATCATTTCCCTTTCCTCCTGTTCTGCTAATTTCCAGTGCTGTTCAATGGCTAAGAAAATGTAAATGGAATGACAGAAAATACAATGCCCCACAAAAAAGCATATTACATTTTAGAACTGCTGCCCAATTTATTTTAGATTCAAGACAGATGAATCAGTTTCTAGTTCCATGGGATTTGGTTGTGTTGAGTCTTACTTAGGTCAGTTCCATTTCCTTAGTTACATGACCTGACTTAACATTTTGACCATACTGAGATATTGTTATGACTCAAGACAAATGAGAACACAGAATCACAGAATTATATAACATCACAGAAGCCAGTCTGCTCCTGAACTGGATTCCCATCTATGGCATACCCAACAAGTGGTCAAACCACTTTCTTCTGAAAACCTCTAGTGAGGGAGAATCCCACCATCTCTCAAAATAGCCCATTTTACTTTGGGATCCTTGAATTGTTTGAAAATTTTTCTTTATATCAAGCTGAAATCTACCTCTCTATAATTTCAACCCATCATTACTAGTTTTGCCCACTCAGACCAAGCATAGCAATTCTGTTATTCATTACATGTAACAGTTTTTTAAATACTTGCAGACAGTGAACATGTTCTTTTGGCTGAATGTCTCCGGTTCCTTAATCAAGCAATTTTGAGGCAGGGGACAGAACACAGTGTTTTCAGAGAGCACTGTTACCCTGATTTTACCAGTGTCCCCTGCTTCTTGTCTCAGCTCCCTTACCTTATATTCAATTTATTTTAAAAGCCAAATAGACCCAATTTTAAGACTAAGCATCACTATTAGTATTTCTGTTGTATCATAGATGGTATGGCTCTATTATCTTCTCAGATTTTTAGAGCACTTTCTCTGAATCTCTCTTTTGTCTCTATCACACTCTACTTTGTACCATAAGACAAAGTTAGTAGACTATATCATCCTTGAGGGCAAAAGACTATAGGGTTTCTTTTAATCATTGTACACTTAGCACTCAACATAGTGCCTTTCACATAGTAGATACTCAATATCTGTTTACTAATTGAATTGGGTCAAGCCCCATTACAAAACAAAGGAATAACAGACTGTCCACTACATCTTTATAGAATAAAAAGATACCTAAGCATCTATTGATGGCTATTTTTTTTCAAGCAGTATTCACCACAATCAAATTTCAACCCAATGAATGTCAACAGTTATTCTGAGTTTGTTGCAATGAGCTTTGACTTGTATCAGCTGAACTATAGGAGGAGAATATGGGGGGGGTCTCTGATCAATTTGATGAGTGTATAGGGTGAAAGCATCTCCCTATGAAGGGTTTGGACATTACTATTAATATTTTATCAAAAGCATTAAAGCTATTTTAGTAATTCTTAAGGATTACTGAGAATCCCCAAAGCTCTCCTCAAGATGAATTGTTTAGGAGCTGCTTCTTGGTACCTACTGAAGAATGGGTTTCACTGATGGGGGCTTCTGTCAAAATGGTATCTTGGACTCTTAGGAGGATAAGCTACTACAAGGAGGAGTTCTTTTGTACTGACCTATAAAAAGAGGGCTCTTTTTTGACATTTCCCTTTCCTACCTTTAACTTCTCTGTTTAACAGCTACACAAGAAGAATAGATGAGTACAATACTTTACCAATATTTTTCTCCATTTTAGTGCCACTCTCTGGTCCCCGAAATTTACGTGTCTCAGATGAATGGTATAACAGATTGAGAATTACTTGGGATCCCCCATCTTCACCACCAAAGGGCTACAGGATTGTTTATAAACCCATTAGTAGTAAGTGCATTTTTAAAGATCAATTTGCTTTGCTCCATTTTTTTTTCAGATAACTATTTGATCTTGTCATTGTGTATGAAAGTAACATTGCCTCCTTGGGTAAGTTTCAAGTGATTTTCTTTTCTGCCAACTCCTTTATTACTAAAGTTCATTTTCTCTGTTCCTTCAGCTCCTGGCCAAGCATTAGAGACATTTGTGGGGAATGATATTAACACCATTCTGATTCGAAATCTTGTCAGTGGAACAGAATACAACGTGAAAGTGTTTGCCTCTTATCCTTCTGGCTTCAGTGATGCTTTGACAAGCGATTTGAAGACTTGTAAGTCTCATATTCTGCTGGTTTCAGTCTTCAGACATGACTTTGCAAATTGGTTTCCACCATAATCCTACCTTTTGGTTCATTGATTAATTATTCTTTTACAAATGGTTTTTTCTTTTTCTTTTTTGGACCTAGATCTTTTATAGAAAATAATATTAACATCCAGAACCTCATTAGTGAAACAGGGTACAGCCTATCTAGTGTTTGTTATACTTTTGTAAGGCAGGAAAGTAGTTCATATTTGGCATTGATAGAGAAGATTGACATTACATGAAACAGGTGGATGTGATAAAAGCTTATAGAAAAAAAATTTTGCTTTAATTTTTCAAATGAGGCAAAATTTCCCAAATTCTTTGACAGAGTCTACTGTCAGGCAGGAATAAGCCCTAGTCAAAATTATGCCATAGGGAGATTTGTTCTGCCTTTAAGCTGTCCACCAAATGAACTTGATTCACTTAAGCTTATCTTCTCTAGTAGGGGGTCTTATACTGTCCCCAAATTTGGGAGTTGTCATTGCCATGAACTCCCAACTATCTCCCTCCTCTCCCTCTGAATACACAGAAATCAATTAATACCTATAAAATTGATGAAGTGTATTTAAATATTCATCGTTGCCATGAAATAAATTTTATATTCCCTATTCATTAAATAAAACAGACCAAACTTCTGTGATGTCACTCCCAAATCCCAAAACTAATTTCATTAGTTAGCTCTTTTATGCTTTTAGTTTAATTTAAAATAATTTGCTTGTTAATATGCTTTTTATTTGACTCCTTTTTGGCCTTCAATTAAGATTTTGGGTGGATCATTGTCCTCAAATATAGAGAGCATCAAGGAGGAATGAGTGATTAAAAGTGTCAAAGGCTGCCCAGAAGTCAAGGAGGATGAGGGTTGAGAAAAGGCCATTGGATTTGGTAACTAAGAGCTCATTGGTAACTTTGGAGAGAGCAATTTCAATGGAATGAGTTTTTCTTTGATACCTTTGTTGATATTTGTATTTTATTTGTTCATTACTGTACCATAGTACTCTTCTGTTCCTTAGAGTATGGAATGCAGGAGCATTTCAGATATTATCTTATTTTGAATTTAATTCCAGAATTGTTTTTGGAACCCTAAACCTAACCCTAAAAATTTCATTCTGTATACAAATAGGACACTATAAAAGAGGACATTTCCCACAGAATGAAGATACTAATATTTCCATTTCATTCTAGTGTTCTTGGGAGTGACAGATCTTGAAGCAGACAGAATTCAGACAAATAGTTTGTGTGTCAAGTGGAAGCTTCACAATCATGCCACTGCTTACAGGGTCGCCATAGAGAATCGCAGAGGTAAGATGATGGCTTTGACAGGTGCTTTCCAATCACCTCCTTGGTGCTCATTATTGTCCTTGGTACTGTGGGGAGCAGGGGGGTAGGATAGAAAGATACACAGGACACAGTCACAGCTCACCCTGATGTAGTTCTGGGAGGTAGATTCTATTATTATATTCATTTTACCTGTGAATACACTGAAGCTCAGATAGGTTAATTGACTTACCCATGGTCACACAACTAGTAAGTGTCTAAAACAGGATCTGAGCCCGGGTCTTTTGGACACCTAGTCTAGCACTCTGTCCATGGGGCCATGTGGCTTCTCAGCAAGCTCCTACTCAGGGAGACCAGAATAACATACAATAAGATGTACTTGGGTTTACACCCCATCTGGCTGTCTGCATTTTAGTTTTATATTTTTCTTGGCATCACTCGGTGTAAGGATATCCCTTCCCTTTTTTATTAGTTCAAGTAACTACCTGCATATGGGATACGTGAGCTCATTTTCTCATGGGGGTTGTAGCTTTCAAGTAAACATAAGGTTTGTTTATTTTCTTTGCTCAATCATTCTTAGAATCAATCTCCTTTTCTAAGGGACTAAAAACTTCTTGTACAGAAAAAGGAGTTTGTTATTATTAACATGATTAAGCAGAATAACAATGTCCTCTTCATTTAGTGTTTTGTAATTAAAACATTCATCTGATCCTAACAATAATATGAAGGTGGCATTGAAAGTAGTATTAGCCCCAATTTACAGATGAGGGAACTGAGGCTAAAGTGAAATAACTTGTCCAAGATCACAGAAATAGTAACTGAGTGGGTTGAGATTTGAGGCCAGGGGATCTGATTCCATGATTAATGTTCTTTTTACTATATCACATTTGTTTAAAGTCTGCAGAGATTTCACTGAGGTACCAACAGAGTGAAAGAAACTGTTTTAAAGGACTTCCTATCAAATTAGTGGATAAGCAGAAGGGGCTCTTCTCTCATTACCAATTGAAAGAATATTGTGATGGACATTCATAGTAAATAACAATACCAAGATGAAACATAAGTGTGTGTGTGTACGTATATACACACATATACATATGCATACACACATACATGCATATATGTAGTTGTCATTCAGTCATTTCAGTCATGTCCAACTGGTTGTGACCCCATTTGGGATTTTCTTGGCAAAGATACTAGAATGGTTTGCTGTGTCCTTTTCCAGCTCATTTTTACAGATGAAGAAATGAAGGCAAATAGGGCTAAATGACTTGCCCAGGGTCACACAGCTAGTAAATGTCTAAGGTCAGATTTGAATTCAGGTGTTCCTGACTCCAGGCCCGGTGCTGTATCCACACTGTACCACTTAACTGCCTATATGTATATACCCACATACACAGGAGTGCACACACACATGTATTTGTGTGTATATGTATATATATAATATATAGTGTATACATATACATTATATGTAAGTATATAATATATATATATACTCTTCAGTATTTAAAAGGTAAAAATGAAGGGAAATTGATTTATGTAGACAGTCTCCACCTTTAAAAAAGTTATACAAAATGGTTCAAAAGATGAATGAAACTAACTGTACAAATACAATCAGTCAAATCTACAAGTACAAATCTCCTAGAAAGTTAGCTTATTTGTTGTACTACGTAATCAATGAACAGATAGCATGAATCTGGAAGCCTGAAACAAATAAGCTGTTTGTGAAGCCAAGATCTCTGCTGGCAGGAACCTGAGCCCACACTTCCTTCTTATCTGGGAGTTACCCCAACTTGTATTTCCTCAGCATAATGGGGGAGCAGCCAGAAATGTCTTCAGCGGATCCCAGGCTGAACGAGAATGAACAAAAAGTACTGTTCATTTTCTCATTAACATTTAATACACTAAAAGATTTTGTGATTCAATTAGGCCACAGCTCATTCACTCTGAAGCCCATTTCTTCATTATTGTTGCTAATCAACTCACTGGCAACCATTGCTTATCAGTAGCTTCAAGATAAAAGGGGAAATGTATATTTGGACCTTTTGTGAGGGGAGCAGAGGTCAGATTGGGTGACTAGCTTTCAGATAGGATGTTTTCATTGTCTTATTAACTCCACCCTTGAAAGTCTTCAGATGCCAGGAGCCTATTCTTCCACAGGAAGCTAACACAGGATTACCAGCTGTTTAGAAGCAATAACATCAGTCACCACCACTGAGAATGTTTACAGTAGGAAGACATGCAGTGATCCCTTGGCCCATCCTGGGCTATGGGAGATCCCTTTGGGCCTCACTTTGCTCAAGCCTCTATTGCAATTCCATCTCTAGCCATCCCACCACATGAGCACCAACACCCCTCCTGCTCCCACTTTTTCCCAGCTTCTCAGTTTCCCAATCCCCTTAATGTGCTGTTATCTCTCATTAGAATGTAAACCCCTTGGGGGCAGGGACTTCTTGCTTCTTTTTATGTATGTCCCCAGTCTTCAGCATGTCTGGCCCCATAGTAAGCATTTAATAAATGTGAGCTCTCTCTCTTTGTCTCTCTCTCTCTCTCTCTGTTTCTCATTCAGTCATATATATTTTTGAGACTAAATAACAATGCCACTGGTGAACTCATTAGTGTTGGACAGTGGCTAGAATGTCAGGCCTGAAGGCAGGAAGATTCCTCTTTCTGAGAGGTAAAACACAGCTCATTTATAGATGAGAAATTGAGGCAAACACGGTTAAGTGAACTTCTTAGGGTCACACAGCTAATAAGTGTCCGAGGCCAGATTTGAACTTAGGTCTTCCTGACTCCAGGCCCCAGCACTTTATCCACTGTACTACCTAGCTGCCCTAACTGTGGTTCATACAAGATCATAAAACACCATATATCCTGTCCCATAGCCAGCACTTAATAAATGCTTGTTGATCAGCTATTGACTGAACAGGTAGCAGGTCAGGATTTAAGCCTACTTCTTTTGTGTCCAATATCCAATATCCAATATTCTCCCCTTTGTGCTATGCTAGGTATTACCTATCTCACATGGTTTTTTGGCCATCAGATAGGAAGAGGTCATATGAAATCATTCTAAAAATATAAAGGGCTAAAGACTGGACCTATGAATTCATTGGCTTTGGGAACTCCCTGGTGGGGAAACTTCCTCCATTGATGCAGGTTGGCACCTTCTCTTCAACTAATTGCCTAGAATCTGCCGAGCACTGAGAGAGTTAAATGATTTGCTTGTGTCAGGACAGCATGTGAACTTGGGTCTTTCTGGCTCCAAGGCCAGCTCTCTATTCGCTATGCGTGCTAAATATGTTAATACAGTAGAAGGCACTGTATAAATGTAAGACATTATATCAAGAAGAATTTAGAAGGAATGAAAAATGCAGAAAATTTAAAGTAGTTGATAGGCATTCCAACATGCATGATTTAAAAAAAAAAGAAAATAATTACTGACATTCAAAGAATACTTTAGGGTTTATAAAGCTCCTTTCATACAATATCTCATTTGGTCCTTCACTGTGAGGTAGGCATGACAAATATTAGCCTCATTTTCTAGATCAATCAAATGAAGAATAGAGAAGTTAAGGGTTTGCTGAGGATTACACAGAGAGGAGGTGACAGAGCCAGGACATGTACCTCATTCTCTTGACTCTGAATCCAGGGCATTATGTAATGCAGATGTCAGAAGCCTCTCATGGATTCACATGAAAGCTAGATGGCTGCCCTGCCAGGTAGTCTAGTAATCCAAGCAAAAAAGAAGTCTACTAGGGGCAAGAGGGAAGGCAGGTTCCCAAGACTTGAGGCTTTATGGAACTACAGGCAACTGGTACAGTGGATTGAACGCTGGGTCTGAATTCAAATTGGCCTCAGACACTTACTAGCAGTGTCTGGGCAAATCACTTAACCTTGTTTGCCTCAGTTTCCTCATCTGGAAAATGAGCTGGAGAAGGAAATGGCAAACCACTCCAGTGTCTCTGCCAAGAAAATCCCAAATGGGATCACAGAAGAATCGGATACAACTGAAATGACTCAGCAACAACAAGGACTTGGAGTGAGGAAGACATGAATTCAAATCCTGCCTTAGGTACTTACTATCTGTGTAACCCTGGGCAAGTCATAACCTCTCTTAGCCCCAGTTTTCCTTATCTGCAAAATGGAGATAGTAGCAGTACCTACCTCTCAGGGTTCTTGTGGGGATCAAATGAGATAACACATGGAAAACACTTTGTAAACCTTAAAGTACTATATCAACATTAGCTATTATTATTGACTCCGTAGTACCAGAAAGCCCACAATCTACAGCTTCGTAGGTGATAAAGAATACCCAGATTCCTGGTCTCTCCCATTCTGTGTTCTAATCTTCAGGCAGGGGCTTAAGTAGGCATCAGCCTAACCATCCTTTTCAGGACTTAATTATGGGGCCAAAATAATTATGTCTTTGGATATACTGGTACAGTGGGAAGGGTATTCGATTGGGAGTCAGAGAACCTGGGTTCTCCACTATGTCTCTTACTACAAGGCAGTCATTTAATTTATTTGTTTGTTGGCCTCCTGATCTGCAAAATGAAGGCTGCATCCTCTTGGGTTCCTTCTGGTTCCAGATCTCCTGGTTGTGACATTGTTACATAAAAGAATTTGACTGAAACACTTTTCAGTTAAATTTGTTGTTTTAGTAGGTCATAGATTTAGAGCTAGAATTTACCTTAGAGACCATCAAATTCAATCCTCTTATAGGTGAAGAGACCTAGGCCCAGAGAAATGAAGTAACTTGTCCTGGGTTACACAGCTAGTACATGTCTGAGGCTAGATTTGAGCTCAGGTTTTCCTTACTTCAAATCTAGTGCTCTACCCACTGTGCCATCTAGGGATGTATCTATAAAAAAGAAGAGTATCGCCTATAGGATCCACCTCAGTGGTGCTAGCAACAACCATCCCAATTCTTATAGTAATTTAAGAATGATGAAGCACTTTTCTCAGAATAGCTTTGTTGTGTAGGTGCTGTTAACATCACTATTCTCATTTTATATATGAGGAAACTAAGGCCCTAGTAGGTGAAATGACTTGTCCAAGGTCAACCTAGGTCATAGTAAGTGGTCCACAGGTCCTTTGATTCCAAACTCATTGTTCTATTGCATTATACAGGCTGGTAGGAATTCCTGGGAATTTTCATCATATTGAGACAAATTCTCCCACCTCCTCTGTGTTAATACATAGAAGACTGTTCCACCTCTGACCTTGATGCCCTGGCTCTTTAAAGCCCAACCAAAACCCCACCTTCTACTGGAAGCCTTCCTTAATGCCTCTTAGTTCTAGAGCCTTCTTTCTGTTAATTATTTCCTTTTAATCCTGTATATGGCTTGTTTGTACATATTTGCTTGTTTTCTCTCCCTTTAGATTGTGAGCTCCTTGAGGGCAGAGATTGTCTTTTGCCTAGTTTTTGTATCCACAGTGCTTAGCACAGTGCCTGGCATATAGTAGGCACTTAATAAATGTTTACTGACTTGCTGACTGACCTGAGGCTGATTTCAGGTATGTCCTACTCTTGATTATACTCACATCCACACTTACACAATGGTTAAATTGTCGATCCAAAATGACTCTTTGGTCAACAGAGGCATCACTTCCGGATTCCTCTAATTGTAAACTTCCTTAGAATTAGGGAGTAGTCAGGGATTCATTGGAATAGAGAATTCCTGGATGAGGAAAGTCCTGCTACCAATCCAGGTCAGCACCTTCTCTTTGTTTTATTTATTTATTTATTTATTTTTGCTTTTCAGTGAGGCATTTGGGGTTAAGTGACTTGTCCAGGATCACACAGCTAGTGTCGTGTCTGAAGCCGAATTTGAACTCAGGTCCTCTTGACTCCAAGTCCAGAGCTCTATCCACTGCACTACCTCGCTGCCCCCAGCACCTTCTCTTTGAGTTAAGGCCTTCTACAGATGCCCAAAGCACTTAGAAGTGACTTGCTCAGCGTCACACAGTCACTATATGTCAGAGGCAAGACTTGAACCCAGGATTTTCTGACTTTAAGGCTAGGCCTCAATCCAACAAGTCACCCTGCCTCTCTCAACTGACTTATGGATTTAAACTATGATTCAGTTTGTTGAAACTCAGTCTACATGCAACCCTTCCACAACTTATCTGAAAACTTTGATAAGTCTCCCCAGGCCATGTATATAGAAAGTCCAATGGCAAATGACCTTGCTATGTATTTTTCTTTTTTTTTTTTATCACAGATGGGAAGAAGCAAGAATCTACCATGGGTGGAGGAACATCTAGCCATTGCTTCTATGGACTTATGCCTGATTCAGAGCACAAAATTAGTGTTTATACACAACTCCAAGAGATAACAGGACCTAGTGTAAGCATAATGGAAAAAACACGTAAGTGAACTGTGCATTCTCTCTAATAGATTCTCATAGAGTCATAGATTGACATTTGGGATGGGGTAGCCTGGCTGGCTCATAAATCAAGTTCCAATCTCTTCTCCAGTCATGAAATTCATTGCAGGTCCTCCACTGGTCCTTATTACTATGATTTTTTTTTCCCCACCCTTGGTACATGCTTCATAGGGGACTAGATATCAGTCCATAGGTTAACAAAGTCCCAGGTACAATGACTTATATTGTAATCAGAATCCATAAAGAAAAGTTTGTGGTATGTGGCAAGAGGAATAGGGCATAATAACTAGGTCCTGACATTAAAACAGTGGCATATTACCAGAGCCATGGTGGTGGGAATGAAGCCAATCAACTCCCATTCATTGACCCTCTGAGGAGTTATTGCTAGCTTAAAAAGCTTTCCCATTTTTTCCAACTTGGCTGTAGATCTGATGTGCCGAAGGGGAATATACACAATTAAAAGAAGGCATTTTACATTGTCCATTATTTGAAGATTTCTGAAGACCAGGGAGAGTGTTAGCTTAATGAAATGGCATATATTGGAGCCCACTAGCTTTCTCTTGATTTAAAGTCTGCATACATAGAACATTCCTTCATTTTAATAACTGTTCTGGGGGTAACCCTGATTTATACAACTACTCAAGGCTATACTTGGAATCTCTATGGAGGCAAGGAATTTGAACGCTGTATTCTTATCTTTATGTGTGGGTTGTTGGTTGTGCCTACATCTTTTAAGTCTCATTGGTTGAGATACAAAAAGCCATCAATAATGTCACTTTCCTTAAAAAAGGAGGGACAGTTGTTTAGGAAAGAGACTCAAAAGTTTGAGTCATAGACCTTCAGAACTGGGTGATCTCTTAGAATCTTAGGACTTTAGAAGCTACCCAGCCCAATTTCATATTCAGGGGAAACTTTCTTCTATAACATTCCTCATAATTATTCAGTCTGTGAGTGGTATTCATTAGAAAGTTCATGAATTACACCAAAATTTATCTTATTGCAACTTCTAACCCATTGACTTTTGCCCAGCCTTGGGGACCAATGCAAAGCAAATCTCTTCCCTCATTTACACACCACCTCTACAAATCTTAGAAGACAATTATATATATATGGTGAACAGCTCCTATTGAGCTCCACCTAGTTCCTAATGGCTCATTTTCACAAGTACACTGTTTTGGCTACTTTGGCAGACTTCCAAACTATAAAGAACCTATTTGACAATTTCACTTGAGTTTTGCTCTTGCTTTAAAGATAAAACATTAGCAATGTCTTAGTTTTTCACATTTTTATTGTGATTGTGTGTGTATTCATGTGGGAGAAGGGTTGATAATGATTATCAACGTACCATTTCTTCCAAAGATTTTGTAAGAATCAAATGCAGTGTCTTTGAGGTGAACTGTAATGACTTTTAGGAAACTTGCAAAAAATTTATTACACTAAAAATCCACATGAATTCATTTCATTATTGCTATTAGTTTAATAGTTAAACCTCATAGAATTGGGGGGAACATTAGAGACCAACCTAATATAGTCATTCATTTCACAGTTCAATGAAAGTTGATATTGAAACTTAAACACTTCTAATGCTCAAACCTCTAACTGCTCAAACACTTCTAATGACAGGAAATAAATGCTATCACAAGGAAGCCTGTTGGATTATCAGACAACTCTGATTGTCAGAAAGTTCTTCCTTATTTTGAGCTAAAATCTGCCTCCCTTTATCTACTCTACCCAATGGTAACTATTTTTGCCTTAGAAACCAAATTTTCTACAAATATTCTTTATTTTCTGTGATAATCTTTAGATATTTGAAGTCATCTGTCATCAATTTCAGTCTTTTTGTTTCTAAACTTTTATTTATTGATTAGCATTTTAAAAGATATTTTGAGTTTCAAATTTTCTCTTTCCAACTCTCTCTTACCTATTAAGAAAGCAAACAAGATGGTGTCAATTATACATGTGTAGTGTTTTCTCCAAACTAAGTAAACACACTCACGTCCTTTCATTGTTTCTCATATAATTCAGCTTCTAGTAGCTTCATAGATGTAATATCAATGTCGATGTCAATGTTCTTTTTGTTTTTGTTTTATTTTGTCCTTAGGAAATGTTTATTTCTTAGTCTAAAGGACCCAATGAAATTAAACAAATGGCCCCAGATTGCAGAAATAGGAGAAGTGGATGGAAGTTTCATATAAGCAGATTTAAGGTTATAATCTCAGTTATCCTGGACTGGCCAAGAACTAGTGGGTTCTCCCCACTGGAGTCTTCATAAAAAGCCTGAATGACCATTTGCTAGTCATATCCTACAGTTGATTTCTCTATGTAGAGTTCGAACACCTAAGATCAATTCCAACCTTTCCTAGTGTTGAATTCATGCCCTTCCCGTCCCCAACTGCCAGTACCATTCTTTCCAAGCTACTTTGTAAAAAAGAAAAATATATATATACATACATGTATATGTTTGTATTTGTTCCCTTTATATTTATAATGCATATAATTTATGTGTACTTGCATAATTCATTAGAATCCCTCTTTTTTCTTTCTTTTTTAAAATTTTTAACATTTCTATTTAAAGTTTTGAGTTCCAAATTCTGTCCCTCTCTCCCCATTCCATTCCTGAGATGGTAAGCAATCAGATATAGGTTATACATGTGCAATTATGCAAAACATTTCCATATTAGTCATTTTGTACTACTCAAATAGAAAAAATTAAAGAAAGAAAGTGAAAAATAGCATGCTTCAGTCTGTATTCAAACAGTATCAGTTCTTTGTCTGGAGGCAGATAGTATGCTTCATCATGAGTCCTTTGGGATTATCTTGGATCATTGTATTGCTGAAAATAGCTAAGTCATTCACAATTCTTCATCAAACAATATTGCTGTTACTTTGTACAGTCAATGTTCCTTTTGAAATGTAGCTTTCAGAATTTAACCCAGTACTACAGAGTTTTCAGATGAGCTTGGAGTATGGTCAGACTCTTTCCTCCCTCAGTCTGGATTCTGATGATGCCCAATTCAGTAGTATTGGAAGAAGAAGTTCAGTTGAACAAGAATTGATATTCTGTTGTTAATTATGTAGACAGAAGTTGAGCTTCTGCCTTCTTCTGTGTTTGAACTTGGCCAGTAACTAGAATACATTTTTTTCCAGATGCACTTTTTCAGGGGAAACGTACTTTTCCCAGAACTGTTGCACTAAATCAATGTTACAACCACTTTAGAGCTGACGGTTTCATTAAATTTGCTCCAGGTGGCTAAATGGAATTATTTGAAAATGGCACCCAGGCCTTCTCTCTGCAGATGAGGAAATAGATGAGCTAATTCCCACAAATTGTTGTTGATGTCTGTAGCCACAAAATTCTAAGGAAGAACAGATGGATGTTGTCAAAATAATTGAAGCTCCCCCCCAAAATAATTATTGCCTCTTTAATGATATTATCTCTTTTGGGCTCTTTTTAATTTTCTCCAATTTCCAGGACCAATTCCAACTCTACCACCCGCAACAACCACACCTCTTCCAACCATTCCTCCAGCAAAAGAAGGTAAGATAATAATAATAATGTACTTGCAGTTTTGAATTTTTGTCATTTTATTTGATTAGTTAAAAGCTTAAGTGAGCAGTCAAAGGCATCCTTTGTGTTAACTATTTTACTATGATTACTATTATATTATTGATATAATCTATTGAGCAAATGAAATATAATATTAATGAACTATGTTCTACATTAATTGCATATTATATGATGCACAAATGTGTTGTTTCAATATATCATATGTAATAATAAAGATGTGTTACACTGCACTGAGTTAGTACCAAAGCAACTGCATAAAGCCATAGTTCTTGTCCTGAAAGAGAATTATCTATTATAAATAGACCATTTTCATTCAATATGTTCAGTCTAAAGAACAAAAGTAATGAATGTTTCTGCCAGGGAAGAAAAAATTAGGAAGTTTATGAATAAACATTTACAATTTTGTTGTAAGGTTGTAGTTTGTACTGGTGGAAGGCATTCTCCAACCGATGAAGTCAGTTTATGTGTCAGTCACTGGACTAAGAACTGGGGATATATAGAAAGGCAGAAGGCAGTCCCAGCCCAAAACGAGTTCATAATCTAGTGGGAGATGGGGAGAAAGATAACATGCAAATAACTAATACTATCAATCTTTATAGAAGAAAGGCACTAGAATTAGAAGGGCTTAAGAATGGATTCCTGTAGAAGGTGGGATTTTAGCTGAGACTTAAAGGAAGCCAGGGAAGCTAGGAGGTGGAGGTGAAGAGAGAGAACATTCCATGAATAAAGGACAGCCAGTGGAAATGCCAGAGTTGGGAGATGGAGTGTGTTGTTTGAGAAATAGCAAGGAGACCAGTGTCACTAGATCTAAGTATAAATGAGTGGTGGAGGGAGCTTAAGCTACAAGGAGTTTGGAAAGGTATGTGTTTGGGGGAAGGAGAGTGGACTAGGTTTTAAGGAGCTTTGAATGCCAAACAGGATTTTATATTTGATCCTGGAGGTAATAGGGAGCCACTGAGTTCATCGAGTAGGGTGGTGACATGGTTGAATCTACTCTTTAGGAAAATCACTTTGATGACTGAGTGGAGGGTAGAATGGAATGGGAGGAGCCTTGTGGCAGGCAGACCAACCAGCAGGCTATTGCAATATTTCAGATCTGAGAAGTTGAGGGTCTATACCAGGGTGGTGACAGCAGCAGAGAAGAGAAGTGGGCTTGTTTGAAAGGTGTTAAAAAATATAAAATCAACAGGATTTGGCAACAAATTGGATATAGGGGTAAGAGATAGTGAGTAGCGAAGGATGACAGATAGGTTGCAAGCCAGGATAGAGGGAGGATAGTGTTGCCCTCAGCAGTAATAGGGAAGTTTGAAACAGTGGGAAAGATAATGAGTTCAGTTTTGGATATGCTGAATGTAAGATGCCTGTGGGACATCTAGTTGGAGATAGGGGCCTGAAGGTTAGAAGAAAGGTTAAGATTGGATAAGAGGGTTTGAGAATCATCAGCATAGAGATGATTGAATCCATAGAAGCTAATGAGGTCACCAAGTGAAATAGAAGAGAAAAGTGGGAAAGGAGAGGAGACAAGGGGTCAAGATTGCCTTGTTCATAGCCCTGACACCTTAACTTCCTACCTCACAATCTGCTCCTAAAACAACTAAAAAGAGCTCAGAAATTCATGCTACACTGCAAAAGACACAGTCTGATTTTATAGCTTTTCTTTACAGCGCTTTGTGCTAGGATATTGCTGCACAAAAGCAGCACAATGACCCAAGTCTCTAGCCTACCTACCTTCTATTCAGGCTTTCTCATACAGGTTTCAATGCATAACCAGAGTTACACTTGCACCTGCATGTCCATACTCAATTACTCTCTCATTATCTTAAAACACTCTGACCATAAACTCATTCTCCATTTACACTGTTATTTTCTCACTTTTAGCATGTCTCCAATATATTCCTAGAAAAACTCTCCTCCTAAGTTCCTTTGACCCCCACTCCAAAGTGATGCTTTTTACCTCCTCACTTAATTAAAATCAGTGGTTATCAGAGTTTTTGTAGGAGCTAATGGATATTTAGGAGGATAGCTGGGAACCAGTATTCATGGAGCAGAATAAAAATGAATTTTCACACCATTCCCTCTGCCTTCAGTAAGTAACAATGTATGATGATCAAGACCTTAAGACAAAGGTTCTTGACCTGGGCTCCATGGTCCTCCAAGAGGCCTGTGGATAAATTTTGAAGGGTTCATGAATTTGGATGGAAAAAATGGGTCCTTTTTTTTTTTCTACTAACTTCTACCTAAAATTTAGAGTTTCCTTAAATTGTAAATTTAAAAAATTATTCTGAGGTATCAGTAGGCTCTACCAGACTGCCAAAAGGGGTCCATGACACAAAAATGATTAAGACCCTCTTCCTCAAGAGAGACATAAATAGAAAATTTCTTAAACAATTCTTGTTGTCCAGTTTGTAAGGCTGCCAAGGCAGACCTAGTGTTCGTGGTGGATGGATCCTGGAGCATTGGAGATGACAATTTCAATAAGATCATTAAATTTCTATATAATACTGTTGGTGCCCTGGACAAGATTGGAGTGGATGGAACTCAAGTAAGTCTCACCAGTCAATTACACCAGTCCATTATTTTGTAAAACTAATGCCTATGAAAATGTAGTGATGAAACTGTTTTTTGTCTTCTGTCATTGTTTTGAGAACACATAAAAGCCTAAAGTGTACCAGAAATAAAGGCAAATGGTAGAAAATGGACCTACAGTGACATAAATGTGTCTGTAACATTCCCCTGATTGGCCTTCCCAGATTTCAGTGCTCTTTAATGTAGAGAACAGAGAGGTGAAAGCCATGTCTGTATGATGATAGGCGCCAATGAAAAGTATAGAATTTGGCATGTGTGTGTGTGTGTGTGTGTGTATATCAATATGCATACATATATGTATAATAACACACATTTGTATAAACTTATGGTTTGTGTATATATAAAGATATATACACAAATAAAATATACACATATAAAACATACATATCTATATCTATAGATATAGATATAGATATAGATATATAGATACGTCTCACCAGATGGATGATTCAGTCCATTCTATTTCCAATGATAGTTTTAAAAAGTTAAAAAACTGACTTGGATAAAGAATGGTTGACTTGACGACCACATAAAAATATAGTGTCAGTAAAAATATAGTGCCAGGGGAACATGAGTTTGTAATTTAAAAAAATATTTTCTTTTTTTCCCTCATTACTTTCTTAAAATTTATGCAATCTCATAAATTCCAAAGTGAAATCTAATGAACTAGTGGTCCAACGTGGCATGGAACTGGGAATATGGCAGTCTGGGCTTTTCTCAGCTCAAATTTTCTGACCTTTGTCAAGTTATGTGACCTCTTTATAACATGTTTTTCTGATCTATAAAATAAAATTCTATCAGTCATATGGAGGTTTTATTTTCCTCCTTATTTTTTCATATGGCATTTGTAAGAATGAACTTCTTATCTCCATAGACTATTTGCAGGGGAGGAAAGTAGTTTTTAATCCCATTCTCAATTTTGATCTCCACTATATAACATGTATTAAGTAAAATATCAGTTAAATTTATGAGATAAATTAAGCAAAAAGTAAAGACTTATTGATCCTTGAAAAATGTTAACTAGTCTGAAGTAAAGTTTATGCCTTCTATTCTCAGGTGTCCATTGTTCAATTCACTGATGACCCCAGAACAGAATTTAAACTAAATACATATAAAACCAAGGACACTCTCCTTGAGGGGATTAAGAATCTTTCTTACAAAGGCGGAAATACAAAAACAGGTAAGGAGAAGCCCCAAAGAATGAATGATTATCACTTAATTACTGAAAACATATTTTTGAAGTCCATTTGTTATTATTGACGTCCACTTAGTCAGGGAAGTTTCACTGAAGGTTTCAAGTTTTTTGGTTGTTTTAATGAGAGTCATTCTGAAGTTGAGCCCTTTACTTTTTTAAACTCTTTCAGGAAAAGCGCTTAAGCATGTTCGAGATGCCTTGTTTACTGCCGAAGCAGGAACAAGAAGAGGCATACCCAAGGTTATCGTGGTCATCACTGATGGGCGATCACAGGATGATGTAAATAAAATTTCCAGGGAATTGCAACTAGAAGGTAATTATACATATAATGATAGCGGAAATAATTCAACTTCATAAATATTAATTAAGCAACAACCATATGCAGAACCTTGTGTTGCCTGCTGGGAGAGATATAAAACTTAAAAGGGGACATGCTCCCTGCCCTCATGGAGTTTATAATCTAGTGCAGGAGTGGGGAACCCTCGACCTCGAGGCCACATATGGGCCTCTAGGTCCTCAAGTAAGGCCCTTTGACTGAATCCAAGTTTTATAGAACAAGTTCTTTTATTAAGAGGATTTGTTCAGTGAAGTTTGGATTCACTTGAAGACCTAAAGGGCCACATGTGGCCTCGAGGCCGAAGGTTCCCCACCTCTGGTCTAGTAGAATAATATGATACACACACACACACACACACACACACACACACACACACACACACACACACACACACACACACACACACACACATACACACAAATAACCGTAATGCAAAGTGATGTATAAGAAATTCAGAAGGTGGGTACAAGCCAAGGTCTCCATAGGAGAAAGATCATTTCTGATTTGGACAAGAGGAGGGGCAGGTAGAGGAAAGGCTTTATGGACAATGTGGAATTTGAGTTAGGTCTTAAAGGACTTCAACAAGTGGAAATCAGAAGAAGGATTAGGGTATTTTAAGAGCAGAGAACAGCATGTGAGAAGGCATGGGAATGGTCCAGAATGAGATATGCACAGAGGTTGGCAGGAGAATACTATTTGGTTAGAGTATAGTATATATAAAGGTGAATAGTTTGAGATAAAGCTGGTATCACATTATGGAGAACCTTGAATGCTGTGTTAAGAAGCTTAACATTTATAGGCAGTTGGGATTCAATGAAAGGTCATAGAGGAGTGATATGATCAAAAAGTATAAATGATGGGGCAGCTAGGTGGTCCAGTGGATAGAGCATCGGCCCTGGAGTCAGGAAGACCTGAGTTCAAATCCGGCCTCAGACACTTGACACTTATTAGCTATATGACCCTGGGCAAGTCACTTAAGCCCATTGCCTAGCAAAAACAAAACAAAACAAAAAAAAAAGTATGTATGATGAAGACTACCTTGGCAAGAATATGGACCAGGCCAGTAAGGTGTGTGGGAGAAAGTGGAGGCAGGTTATAAGATTATTACACCTCTTTTTTGTTTTTCTTTGCACAGAAAAATGTTCTTGTTGATGTTTACTAAGTTCATGAGAAAGAAAAATTTTAAAATAAAAGGAACAATAAAAAAGGTTATTGTAAAGGATAATAAAAACAATAATGGTAAATGATAGTGAAAACCTAGATTAGGGTGATGAAGAAGGCACAGATGCAAAAGAGATTTCAAAGGGAGAAATGACCAGATTTGACAATTCATTAGGTCTGAAAGTTGTTGTTATTTGTCCTTCATTCTTGAAGAGGACTATAACATTGGGGAGGTGATGCCATGCCATGAAAGTGAATTGGATTTAGGTGAGGGAGGGCTGTGCAAAGTCACCAGCCTCACTCTTTCCTCTGGAGCCATCTGGGCAGCTGGAGATGGCCCTGGAGGCAGTGGAAGACCTTGACCTTTTTAACAGGTCTCAGTTTGACTGAGGCAATGCCCATTCAGTGATTAAGGCTAGGTAAAAACTGAGGCAGAGAATGGCCTCCTTTACCTAGTCAAAAAAAAAAATCAATCTGGAGGGGAAGACCCTCAGGGTTTCTGGCTGAAACAGAAACAACTGCTATTTGCATTCACTCTGAGCCAATCAGGGCCCAAATAGTAACCAAGTGGGGGACCTGTTGTGGGCCAATCAATGAGAGCCAGAGTGATTTGAAGGTAAGGAAGAGGAAAAATCAAGAACCAAGTTTTCTAATGTCAATGACTGACTGAATGGTGGAATCTCTAACTAAAATAAGTTTTCATTGTTTCCTAAATCCAAACTCACATGAAATATATGTGTAAATATTACATATATTATTAAATTATTCTTGCTATCCACTTTTTGCCTCTTATAGACTTCAGCAATCTGCCATATATGATTCACATAGACCGCCCCCCAGGCTATTCCCTCAATTTGTATACATACTGTTAGGGGTGGTGGTAGAGGGTGGTGGTAGAGGCTAACCTCTGGTGTGGGTACGGATGGAATGATGGGGGCAGGATTTGAACCCAGATCATTTGAAGCAAACCAAGTCTTGTTTTGCTTCCAACTAATCAGAAATTAGGACATAATTAGCTCAAAGCAAAGGCCTTTATAGCACAAAGAATAGTAGCAAAAGCGTGAGTGTATACATAGATTATATATGGTGGTTTCTATACTAGTAGAGAGGAAAAGGGAATGATATGTGGCCTAGGCAACACATTTCAATGCTCTGATGTCTTTTTCTCTTTATATGGTGTTCCACAATAATACAATCACAGGTCTGGATAAACAAACAAATAAATATCAATTTCATATTGGTACATTTTAATATCAGAAGATTCCTAGGATGAAGATAGTAGAGTCAGAGAATCTTAGAACTGGAAGGGAACTTAGTTTCTCTACATTTTTCAGAAATAGAAAATTAGAGGGGCAGCTCAGTGGCACAGTGGTTGGAGAACCAGCCCTGGAGTCAGGAGGACCTGAATTCAAATCCGACCTCAGATACTTACTAGTTGTGTGACCCTGGGCAAATCACTTAGGTGATTCCATCAAAAATAACCAAACAAACAAAAAAGAAATAGAAAATGAGGCACAAGTAATATATGACAGATCATAGAACAATCAGAGAAAACTAGACTTATTACCCAAGGATACTTGAAATTGTACTCATGGAGGATTTGCTTTGTGTACTACACTACTTCTCCTGGGCATAGCGTCTCTTTTTTTGGGTAGGATGCTCAGCTAGGCTCCCTCTCTACAACTCAATTCCTCATGGCCAGGGCCAACTCTCAACTCATAAAGTCTCTCCTGTCCTATGCTTGATTCGTGGATCTGCATCACCTGAATTTTTAGTGTCTTAATTTTTAAAGGATTTTCAGGGTTATGAGTGAGCCTGAATTAGTCAATAGCTAATTGCATCAATTTTGATAAAAGAACTTCACACAGTGAATTAGAAAGTTAAGCCCTTATTTACTCTTCAGTGATTTTATGTGCTGGGCTGAAGATAAGTAAATTGATCTGGGATATCCTGATCAACTCCCCTCTATGCCACTCTGCGTACAATGCACTGTCTACACAAAGGAAATCCTCTATGAGTACAATTTTAACTCTCCTTGGGTAATAAGTCTAGTTTTCTCTGATTGTCCTATCACCTGTCATATATTACTTGTGCCTCATTTTCCATTTCTTTTTTGTTTGTTTGGTTATTTTTGATGGAATCACCTAAGTGATTTGCCCAGGGTCACACAACTAGTAAGTGTCTGAGGTCGGATTTGAATTCAGGTCCTCCTGACTCCAGGGCTGGTTCTCCATCCACTGTGCTACTGAGCTGCCCCTCCAATTTTCTATTTCTGAAAAATGTAGAGAAACTAAGTTCCCTTCCAGTTCTGAGATTCTGTGACTCTACTATCTTCATCCTAGGAGTCTTCTGATATTAAAATGTACAAATATGAAATTGATGTTTATTTGTTTGTTTATCCAGACCTGTGATTGTAATATTGTGGAAACACCTTCCAATGTTACCAATAGGCAACTAGTTTGTAACTTACAGTTTTAGAGACCTGTCTGGTACACTGAGACTTTAATTGGCCTCTTCATGGTTGCACTACTAATATGTGTCTGAGGTAGAATCTTAACTCAGATCTTGCTGATGCCAGGGCAGGTCTTCTGCCCACTCTGTGAAATGTTAAATTATATATTTGTGAGAATTATATTGTGTTGCTATTTTCAAGCTCCTTAAAATAGAAAATGAGTAGTAATCATGAAATAATGATTATGTTTTCAAATTAGTACATAAATTACGATGAATTATAATAAATACTTTGTCCCACTTCCTTCTAGTTATATATTTTATACTTTGGGCTAAAGACAAGAAAATTGTAGGTGTTATGACCTTAGTAGTCATATAATCCAACTCTTCCATTTTATAATAAAGGAAATTAAAGCACAATTACTTGCCTAAGGTCACACAGTAGGATGACAATCCTATCTGATTCTAGGATCAGAGCTTTAGAGCTGGAAAAGACCTTAGAAGATATCTAGCTCATCCTCACCTCATTTTACAAATGAAGAAACTGATGCCCAGAGAGATTAAGCAACTTGCCCAAAGTCACACAGGTGGTGAGTGATGGAAGCAGGATTCAAACCCAGGTCATTTGACTCCAAATCTAGTGCTCTTAAAGACTAGACAAGTCTTGTTTTGCTTGAATTTTCCCCTCCTCTTCAGACTAATCAGAAATCTGGTCTCTTTCTTCCACAGGCATCAGCGTTTTTGCAGTTGGTGTCGCTGATGCAGATTATGCAGAACTGGTTAGCATTGGCAGCCAGCCCAGCTCGAGACACGTCTTCTTTGTGGATGACTTTGATGCCTTTAAGAAAATTGAAGATGAGCTGATTACTTTTGTCTGTGAAACTGCATCTGCAAGTTAGTTCTTTGAATCTGTGGCTGCTTGTTCATTGGGTACTTGCAGGCTGAAGCAGTTAATCCTTGTTGAATAATGAATCCCATGCTGATTTCAGGAAGAATTGTCAACTTGACAAAGGCTCTCATAATATCTTTCATCTCAGATGCTACTTTTTGTAGAAAAGAGCACGTGGGGATTTTACTGTATTTTTGTTTTTCCCACTTAGGGGTTTTAGGTTGATAAAGGCTTTTCCTAATCAAATGGGTGTTAAAGACCAGTTTGATTTAAAATAGTTCCTATAAATACTTTTCAGAAAAATACCAGCACGTTTCCTTTCTCCTCATGCTCATAATGGCCCATTTATTCTAATGGGCATCAGACTGGCGCATGTGCACAGACACAAGAATAGAGTTCTGGGGTTTTGCTTTTAATAGTGGTGGTTAGTTGAAATGTTTGGTATCTTTGGGAAGCCAGGGAAAATAATAGCCACATATGACTTGGAGGCTTCAAAGTAATTCATCTTCATAGAAATTATTTAACTTCTTTTTCAGGTTAGGGGTGAGGGGAGGTTAGAAGTGGGGAAAGTACATTTGGAAATATATCTGAGCGACCTTCCTTTTTTTTTTTTTCAGCTTGCCCTCTGGTCAATAAGGATGGCAACAGTCTTGCAGGTACAGTGCTATGGGCCGTGCCATTTTGCAAATGCCAGAGGATAAAATGAATCCTATCTCATGTCCATTTATTTCACTGAAGTCCATTCATTTTACTTGTTAAGATCACAGCTGTAATCTGGAGATAAGTTCTCTTTTCTGTCATTGTCTGTTCAATTCAACTCTGACCTTTCCAAAATGTTATGCTTTTCAGGATTTAAAATGATGGAACTGTTTGGTTTGGTTGAAAAGGATTTTTCAGCGGTAGAAGGGGTTTCTATGGGACCTGGCACTTTCAATGTGTATCCATGTTACCAGCTACATAAAGATGCTCTGGTTTCCCAGCCTACCAAGTATGTTCATTTTAACTTCAGCATATCAAAGTCATTGTTCTTTTAGATCTTAAAAAAAAATAAGTTATCTCATGCTATCATTGTCATGATGTGTTTGGGAACATTCTTAGTAGAATGATACCAGATAAAATTGCAACACCAAAAAAATGTCGAATTTGTTCATTCTTTTGGAGAATAAGCTCTCAAAAGTTTACTCATAGACTCCGTATGCCAAATCTGTGTCTGTTTGTGCCTCATTTCTCTTGTTAAGTTGTTTATGTAATGTTCCACTAATATTTTCCATATCTTAAAAAAATAGAGCATAACCATACCAAAGTTTAAAAAAGAGGGAAAAAAGTATGTGTATACTTAAGCTCTTAGGTGATACAGTGGGGAGAGTGCTGGATTTGACAGCAACACTTAAATTTGAATCCAGCTTCAGACATTTACCAGCTTTGCGACCCTGGGCAAGTCACTTAACTTTTCTTAGCATCACTTTCCTCAACCTATCCCGTTGGAGATATCAAGTTGTGAGAATCACAACTTGTGAGAATCATGTTAGCTATTATTATAAAAAGTAGAGTAGTACCCTATCTTCAAACTCTTCCTGTCTTAATGGTTTCTTTGCTATTGCTTACAAATATTCCTAGGTGTCTCCCATGCTTTAAAAAAAATCCTCACTAAACCTTGCCATCTCTCTAGTTGTCAGCCTATATCTCTCCTCTTCCTAAATCCATTGTTTCCACTTCCTCTCTTCTCTCTCTCTGTCTTTTCTATACCCTTTTTTAATCTGTCTCTTATATATTACTTCCCTTCATGCATTCTATAGCCTATCTATAGTGATCTAGTTACTATTTCTCTCCTGTCTCTGTGTCTTAGCATGAGTATCACCTCTTCCCCTTGTAATCACTGGCTTTCTTGAAGACAGTCCAAACACCACATTCTGCATGAGGCCTTGCCTGACCTCCTTGCTGCTAGCACCTTCTCCACCAAAGTTACCTTGTATTTGCTTTGAATATGTCTTGTGTATAACTATAACTGTAACTATATATGTGTGTATGTACCTACGTAGTTACATGTTCTCTTCCCCATTAGAATGTAAGCTCTTTGGGTGAAAGAACTTTTCACTTCTGTCTTTGTATTCCCAGCTCTACCATAGTGCATGCCACGTAAGAAGTATTTGATAAAGATTTGAATTATTAATTCATTGGCTCAGATTGGAATGAGAAAAAGCAGCTTTTTCAGACATATGAAAATACAATTCCGTCTAAAAAATTATACATTTGAGATCAATGTTTCATTACAGTGATTTACAAGGACCATCCACATTCTTTTGTTGTGCTCTCATGATAAGTGGTGCTGGAAATAAATAAGCTATTAGCTTGGGCTTAAAATCATTTTTGGTCATTTGAAGATTTTTATTCTCTTCACATTTATTATGTCATTTAATCTATAGGACGTGTTTTCACGTTGACATCTGAAGTAATTATCGAAGAGCATCCTCTTTCTAGAAGTTAATATTTTAAATAATAGAGGTGATAGTTGTAGTTGGTATTTGAACAATATTGCTTTGAGGAATCTAAGTCCTAGGATCTTAGAATTGGAAGGATTACAGGATCATAGAATCATAGATGTAGTGTTGGAAGGTAGCAGAGAGGTCATGCAGTCCAACAACCTCATTTTACAGATGAAGAAATTGAGACCTAGAGAAATTATCGAGGTAGTAAGTTTGAGACTACTTATCGAGGTAGTAAGTGACAGAGTCAGAATTCAAGGTCCTCTGTCTTCCAATCTAGTACTTTTTCCCCCATTGTACAAAGGAACTTTAAGATCCAGCTCCTAGTTTTTTTTGCTAAATAGAACTACAAAAGCTGATGCAAGATTTCCTGCATAAATGAGAATGGTGGCTGAACATATGGAATTTGGGGATTTAGTGCATGTCGCATTCCCAGTCTCTTATCTCAAATTTACTCTAGAGACAGTTATTATTTAAAACATTGTGATCTTCTCTCCTCTAACAGATATTTGCACCCAGAGGGATTGCCTTCAGACTACACCATCTCTTTTCTATTCCGGATATTGCCTGATACTCCTCAAGAACCATTTGCCCTCTGGGAGATTTTAAATAAGGACTCTGACCCACTTGTTGGAGTCATCTTAGACAGTATGTTTATGAATTTGGATTGTATTTATGTGTGTGTGTGTGTTCAGTTATTTGTGCATGCGTGTGAATACCACTTTACAATAGAAATTTTAAAGGCCAGGTGCCATGCTGTCTGTCATCCTTACAAAGATCTGTGTTTTCAGCCATGTGGGTTTCCCTGATATGATGCAAATTATAACCCTTCCTCACCCAAGCAATGGGTCTTTATGAATTGCTGCAGTCAATGTGGTGCTTATCATTTGGACTATGAACCTCTAGGCTAGTTCTCATGCAACAATCTGTTGTGACAGTTTGCTTTCTGTAGGACCAAAGATCCCTGCCACCATAATGAGGCTTCAGAGGAACACATTGAATACAATTTACATAGGGCTTTCATATTTCACAATTCACCTCATTAAATTCTCTTATCAGGAAGTACAGAGGGCGGATTTTACCCCCATTTTAGAGATAAGGAAACTGATCCTCAAAGAGCTTAAGTGATCTGTCCAAGGTTGTATTGGCAGCAGCTGGACTTGATTATTCTTGCCTTTAGTCTAGTATTCCCTTCTACTAACTTTTGAACAGAAGAGTCACTTTATATACGTATATAAACTCTGGCTTTATATATTGGTTCTCAAAAGCTATGCCTCTTGGCATATGGCCTGGTAGGTTCTGGACAGGTTTCAGTTAAAGTCCTGGCAATAGACTGCGTTGGCTTTCTGGGTTCCAGGTTAAGTAACAAAGGCTCAGCACTATCAGACTGACCATTTGGTTATCAATTTTTTTTTGACCATGGCAAGCCATGGAACAAAGGAAAATACAAAATGGTCCTCAATCCTCTGCAGCTTTTTCCTGTTTCTTTAGTGATGGTGTCCAACCATAGACAGGTAGAAAAGGGAATAGAAGGGGCGAAGAATTATGCTTTTTATCCTTGGACAGATGCTGGTAAAACATTTATTAGATGCTTCCTGTGTACCAGGCACCATGCTACAAGTTGCCCAGGATGGGCAATCATGTAAAGTCCATGTCATTGGTAGTGAACCACTAGTAGTGTAGAGCTATTAAGGCCTAAGATTGGAACCAAGAAGATTCTGCTGATAGAATGTGTCAGCTGTTGAGTTTTGAGCTTTGGAAAATTGAAATGAGTGTGATCTCATAGGCTCTGCTTTAGAAGAGAGAAAGATGACAGAATAACCTCTATCTACATTTTTTGAGAGAAGTACTACCTAGTTCTCTGTGTATTAAACCATTCTAGCACCCACAAAGTAGGTTATTAATAATTATTCTTTTACCCATAATTTAAATGTGTCCTAGACGCAAAACTCAAGGTCAGCAGCAGTTTATTCATAATAAAAAAGTTGATGTTATTTCATTGTCCCATCTTTGAATTTTTGTCTTTATATTCCCAGTAGTGAGCAAAGTACCTGGCAGTGGTAGATACTTAATAAATAATTGGATTGAATGGAAGTGAATTGGTGTATCTTGGGGGTATCTTGGAAGTGAGTATCAATCACTATTTAGTTCAGTTGCGTGGGCCAATGAAGCCAAGGTTGTGAATATTATTTTTATGAGGATCATTGATTTCATTCCATTCTTTGGTCATAATTTGCAACTCTTACCCTGACTAAACATTTTTCAGGCCTGGGCTGTGGGGAGGAACAAGTGAGGGTAGCAAGGTATATTGGAAAGAATACTGGATTTGAAGTAAGAGGACTTGGGTTAGAATCTGTATCCACTATTTACTATTTGTGTGAAGTCTGAAAATGCTTGGTTGGAGGTTAGACTTGGACATATCCAACCTCCTTGGAAAAATGATTCAGAATTTGATGGATGGAGAACTATAAGTGTATAAGCGAGAGTGATTTCATCTTCATGAATGGATAGCAGCCTAAATGCATCCTGGAGAATGTCAAAGGACTAATAAATAGCAAAGGCTTAGTAACCATTTTGTATTTAACTCTAAAGTATGTTTCAATTAAGTTTCAAAGGGGAATATCAATCTCCTCAGGCCTGGGGAAGAGAAATCACTTGCCTATTTTATGATGTAATCATGTTTTAATTATGTTCATTTTTCTCATGTTCGTACAATGTTCATTGTCCCACCAAACAGATGGAGGCAAGACAATTACCTACTTCAACTATGACTACCAGGGGGATTTTCAAACTGTAACCTTTGAAGGGCCTGAAATTAAGAAAATATTCTATGGAAGTTTTCACAAGGTCAGTTATAGCTTTTATTGTTACACAGTATTGGTCAAAGCAAGAGAGTTAGTAAAATGTATGTGTTAATGTGTGTGTTGAGTATAATATTGTAAGAGCACAGCATAAATATGTAGAAAGATTTAAGTATAAAACAAGGCAAACTTCCCTGAAGGATCTCTCTTAAAGAATGAAGGACAAACAATGACAACATTCCCACTCTGAAAATATCACCTGTAGCCACAGAACAAAATACTTATATATGTTGAGTGGAAAGGATTAGTGGTCTCTTTAATTATTTCTGCACATACAGATGAATATATTTGCAATTGAGGCATCTTGGAAGGCTAATCTGCACACACACACACACACACTCACACACACGTGTCTATGTTAACCCCTTTAGTTTCAAAGAATGCCATCCTGGAAGCTTTGTAAAAATGTAAACATGTTTCGTCCTTTTTTTTTTTAAACAACTTGGCATCTGTGACCTAAACCCATTACTTAAACTTTCATTTCTCTGTAAGACAGAGCTCTAGGGACAAAGAAACACAGATTAAAATTGGAAGGAACCTTAAAAGTCATCTGGTCCAACCTCCTTCATTTTATAGATGAGGAAACAGACTCAGAGAGAATTGCCCAAGATGACATAGAGGATATAGTATAGAAGGGCTGAGAATTGAACTCATGGCCCATTACTCCAAATTCAGTGTTCTTTCCACTGTACCATACTACTCAACTTCTACTAAAAAAATAATTACAGCTCCACTGGAACACATACTCAGAACCTTTGACTTAGAAATCCAAGGAGTTATCCATTGTACCATGGACCCATAGGGAAAGACATACTTTTTGATTCTCATTTTCTATGTATTTAGTTAAGGATCATTATGAGATTCATTGCTATGGTTTAACATATGAGTTGTAAAGGGAACAAGGCTTCCTAATTAAGATACACACAATACCCACACTAAAAAAAAAAAGTTGAAATTAAATTAAATTAGTTTAACATCTTAAGAGAGGCACAGGATCCAGAACACAGGAGTTAAGTTCCCACTTAACTCTGCCCTGGTCAGACTACATCTAGTCAGTCAGTCAATAAGGAGGGTACAGAATTCTAGCTGTGTAATCCTTTTAGATTGTGAGCTCTTTGAGGGCAGGGACTGGCTTTTGTTTCTTTTTGTATTCCCCCTGCTTTGGGAAGTGCCTGGCACATAGTGGATACTTAATAAATGTTTGTTGATTGCTTGCCATAGAAACAGGTAGGTTAGGCATGCTCTGAAACATTTTTCCTCACTCAACACGAAACTTTTTCTTGAAGGACTCCAACTTTTACAATAAATACTCCTCAGAGAGTTTACACTTTCCATTTGTGGCACTTAATCATTTGGAGGGATTTTCTTTTCATAAGCTTTCCTCTAAATCTTATGTGATTTCTTCTTAGCATTTGGCACATGGTACTCTAACAAGGAGAACCTGGGGTTATGCAGCCTAGAAAAGAGACAATCTAGGGGGCAAATTGATAGCTGTCTTCAAATATCTGAAAAAGATGTCCTGTAGAGAAGGGATTAGTTTTGTTTGGCTTGGCAACAGAGGGCAGGACAAGGAACAATGGGAGGAAACAGGAAAAAGGCTGAGTTTAGCTTTACATGAGGGAAAACTTCTTAACTTTTAGAGTTGCCGCAAAGTAGAATGGGCTGTCAAAGGACTTAGTGTTGATTAAACCCTTCCCTGGAAATCTTCAAACAAAGGCTGGACAACAACTTGCTAGAGATTTTTAAAAGGGAATTCTCCATCAAGAACAGATTGGAAGAAAAGTCGTCTGAGGCCCTTTTTACTACTAAGATTCTGTGATTCTTACCTCTTGTTTTCTTACTGTATACTACTTTCTGAATTTAGAATTTATGTTGAAAGTTTCAGAACTCTCATCAATGCAGTTACCAATCTTGACTTCAGAGAATTTATGGTAAAGAATACTTCTCATCTCATGGCAGGGAGGTGGTAGACCATAAAGAGGCATATCGTTGTCAGACATTGCCAATGGATTTATTTGTTTTCCTTAATTGTACTTTGTTATAGGAGAAAATTTGTTTATATAAGTATAGGAAAGGGCAGGGGTTAGGATTCATAGGGACAGGTAAACAATGTAAAAAAGAGCATCTATAAGTTTTTTAATTGAACATTAAATGCAGTAACATAATTAATATATTTCTTTTTCATACATGGAGTTGAATATGTGGGCCATATTACCAGAACTGCTCTGAAAGGCCTCATAAAGTGAGAGATCATGTAATTCATGGCCAGAGGTGTTTCCTTTAGTAGCCCCTTTGAATTCACTCTCATTTTCTCCTAAATTCTACTTGGCATTGATTTTTTTCCTGGTCAGAATCTAGAGCACAGCTCCAAAGGAAAGTTTGAAAGAAAAAAGCATCGCATTTGAAATTTCACAACTCTTAAAAAGCTAGCCAGCGATATCCTGTGAAGTATGATGAACTTGTAATATTCATTCCAAATAATTTTTTTTCTGAACCTTAGGTAAATTTTAAGTTCCATACACATTGCCAGCAGAACTGAGAGACATAGAATAAGTGAGCATAATTATAAAAAGGCTTCCTGAAAGCCACAAACCAAAGCCAAGTTCTTTAAACTGTGCAAGAATCCTTTTCCTCTTATTTTCCTCTTATTTCCTCCTATTTCCTCTGTCTCCATTTCAGACAGCTTCCCACCTAATATCTCTTCTTTAAAAATATACGTGTACCCAAAAAAGGTGAGAGCACACTAAATTTTTCTAAATCTGATTCTGTTCTCTTCATGACTGGAATTATCTCTGAATTGATAACATTTTTTCATTTCTGATTTAACCTCTAGTTAGTTTTAATTATATACTTTTTTTATTTCGTAGTTTCTCTTTTATCTGTTAATACTTAAATGTACTTCTGAGATTCCTTTTGTAAAGTTTTTTTTTTTAATGTGAATCGATGCTTTCTAGTTTATCAGCTTCATAAGTTTGGATTATTATTTACTGGGTTTTCTGAAAGTATTATATTACTTACTCTAGTGATAGAATGAAGAAAGATTTACAGGCTTGAAATCAAGAGAGGAATAAGAGTGAGGCTCTCCAAATGATTATTAGGATCAAGTTATTTTTTTATTTTTACTTTTTTGGATCAACTTATTTTTCCTCACAGAATCTGAGTTGGAAAGGACCTCATAGGTCATTTAATCTAACCTGTACCTAAAAGAGAATCTTTTATCACAAACCAGACAAATAGTCATCCAGCTTTTGCTTAAATATCTCAAATGAAAGGAACTTCCTGTGGCAACTCACTATGCTTTTGTATATCTATCTGTGTTGCAACTTTTCCTGACATGAAGCTTAGATTTTCCTCTTTTATCAATTCTACCTGTGACTTCTACTCTGGGGCTAAGAAGAATAAGACTTCCATACAGCAAGCCTTCATATACTTGAAGACTGCTAGCATAGTCTTCCAAGTCTTCTGGCTAAATCTTTCTAGCTTTTTCATATTTGTTCTCATGTGGCATGATTTTGAGGATCTGTATAATCCTGGTCACTCTCCTCTGGACAGTCTCTAGATTGTCTGTGACTTTTTCAAAATGTGCTTCCCAGAACTGAACACATTATTCCAGATGTGATCTGACCATAATATCATCTGCATCTTTTAATACAAACCAAAAATCTCATTAACTTTTTTGGCGGCTGTATCATACTGTTGACTCATCAGGAGTTTGAAATCCATTAAAACCCTGAAGTCTGATTCAGATGATCAGCTGTCTAGACACATCTCCCCCCAATCTTGTAACTGTGAAGTTAATTTTTGAACCCAAATGTAAGATTTTATATGTATATATATATATATATGTATATGTATGCATACACACATAGATATGTGTTGTTATTGTTGGATTGTTTTCAGTCATCTCTAATTCTTTGTGATCCCATTTGGGGTTTTCTTGGCAAAGATACTGGAGTGATTTACCATTTCATTCTCCAGATCATTTTATGGATAAGGAAACTGAGGCAAACAGTGTTAAGTGACTTCGCCAAGGTCACATAGCTAATTAGTGTCTGAGGCTGAACTTGAACTCACTAAAAATGAATCTTTCTGACTCCAAGCCCAGCACTCTATCTACTGGGCCACCTAGATGCCTCTGGGTGTTTTTATGTGTATAAATATATAAATAAAATATGTTGTCATGTCATGTCACAGCATGTCATGTCATATCACATCATATTGCATCATATCATATATCCTATCACAACATATCATATCTTACTAGATTTGGTGCAGTATTCTTGCCTACAAAAATCTTTTTGGATCCTAACTCTGTCATCTAATCCTTCCTAAATTTGTGTCATATGCAAATTTGATAAGCTTGCCTTTAATCCCAGAATCTCAAGGTTAGAAGGGTGTCAAAGGCCATTGAATCCAGCCAAAGCCCAAACAAGAATCCCTTTTACAAGGTGTTACCTGACAAATGTGTTTGCCTGAAGACATCTAGTAAGGGGAAAACCCACCATCTTTTGAGGCAATACATTCCATTTTTGGATAGCACTAATTGTTAGGATTTTTTTCTCTTGTAAAGCCTAAATTTTCCTCTTTGCAATCTGCACTCATCTGTATCATTATACAACTTGTTGAGAAAATCTGTAAGATGTGCAGATGTACAGAAAACAGAACAGATCCCTTTCCAAGTTGATATATTAATTAATTACAACTCTGTAGGTTCAGCTTTTAGACTGTTTCTGAATCTACGTAACTACTGTCATTTAGTTCACAGCTCTCTCTTGCCCACAAGATTCAGTCAAGTGCTTTGCTTAAATAATGAAATGCTAGGAATTTTGGAAATTTGGTACATTCTAGTCTATGAACCAGAGCCCCTTAGAAAATATACATATATCTTACACAGACTTCCAGTTGTCCCAATGACAAGATGAATTCTCATGTCATCATCCTTAACAAAGCAGAATATCTGAGTATCTCTTATCTAGATCACATCTGGAATAATGTGTTCAGTTCTGTCCAGTAGAATATAAGTTCCTTGAGGGCAGGTATTATTTTGTTTTTGCTAGCCTAGTACTTGGTGTATGGTAAGTGCTTAATAAATGTTTGTTAACTGGAATGGAATGGAATAAGATTGAAAGTTTGACAGTGATTATATTTTTTTCTTGTTTTCTTAACTGAACTTTGCTTCCCCCCCCCCCCCCCCCGCTGCATATTGTTATTAGCAAGACTTTGGCCAAAGTGTATATTGACTGCAAGCAAGTGGGTGAAAAAGCAGTAAATGCATCTGGCAATATCACTTCCAATGGTGTTGAAGTCCTGGGGAGAATGGTCAGATCAAGAGGACCCAAGGAAAACTCTGCTCCAGTAAGTGAAAAAATAAGTGAAATTTCAAGAAAATTTTATTCAAGGAAATTTCTGCTGCCCATAGGAATGTGTGATTGTTGCCAATTTTGTATTGTGTGATTAATGTTATATTTTATGTTCCCCTCAATTACTTATATAGAAGGACCAAGACACAAAAAATTTTAATTTTACTTTGGAATAAAAATTTTCATCCTACCATTTCTATTTTCTTTGTGTTATGGATTAAAAAAATGTAATGTGTCAATTGATACAGGTTGGTACTTTGAAGTAGTCTTAAATTCTGATCCTTCTAATGTTAAAAACTCAAACCAAGGCTCACTGTCTTCATGAACATTTGCCTGGCCACTCTAGTTCCTGCATGAGCTCTTTGTCCTCTGATCTTTAGCATGTACATTATTAGAGAACAGATTTTTTTTCTTAATTGTGGAGTTTTTCCAGGGGAAACATTCCATAAGTGAAAGTATCAGAGAAGGAAAACTCATAGCTTCCAGGCCCTCAGCAGTAAACCTGCCTCTGTTGTGTTTCTGAGGAAAGAGCCTCTAGGATAAAGTGAACTTCATTTTTAAATTCATCTTTTCAGTCTTCAAACTTTAAGCTTAGAATGTAAAATAAATGTAAAATTATTCTGCTGTCTCTACCATAGCAGTGGGAGCTGCAGGAATTTGGATATCTGTTAGTCAAGAATTGAGTTTTAAGGAGATCTAATCTATACAACTATGGAAGAGCCATGAGAATACACCTTAATTTTTTATATATCTTTAGGGGAAAGAGCCATCTTTCTCACAGCTTGATGGAAGAATTTATCTATTGGTGGAATGAAAGCTACCATGAGGAAAATTTTAACTAGGTGGGCCAAAATGAATATATATTTGACCAACACATTTTTTTTCCTGACAAGTTGTACCTTTCATGATAGAGTGAGAAACTTAAATCTTGAAAGATTTCCAGTTGGCCAGGGAAGCATATTCCTTTCATTACCTACATGGCAGAATCCTGAACACATGTTTTTATACCACACAATAACACCACCCATTCACTGCTAATTAGGATGTTCTGTCATTTGAGTTATTCATTAATTAGAGCTAACAGGCATTTCATTTGAGCAAGCTTTTTTTTTTTAACATTTCTAGAAGTCCTACTGTTTGAAATTATTTCCGCTCTTACCTCCAAAAATACCCACATTACTGGGGAGATATCTTAAAACTCAACATGTCCAAAAGTGAACTCATTATCTTCTCCCCAGAACCACCTTCCCTTTTTCCTAACTTGTGTGGGTCCAGTCACCCAGGTTCACAGCCTTCTCCATACATTTTTATTGGTAGTAGGCAGATGGATGGCACAGAGTACTGGACCTAGAGTCAGGTAGACCTGAGTTCAAATCCTGCTTCAGATACTTCCTAGCTGTGTGACTCTGGACAAGTCACTTAGCTTCTCTGTGCCTCAGTTTCCTCATCTGTAAAATTGGGGAATTAATAATAGCAGCTGCCTTGTTGTGAGGATAAAAGGGGATGATATTTATGTAAAGTATATTGCAAACATTAAAACACTATATAAATGCTATTATTAGCTGTCTCCTATGGCTAGAATGTTTTCCTTTTTCATCTCTGTCTCTTGGCTTTCTTAAGCTAAATGAGATCATCTCAAGTATATCTTGTTTGTATGCAGTTTTTTGCATATTCTCTCCCCCATTAAGGAGAGGTCCCCAATAGTAATCTAAATAAATATAGCTAAGGAAATATTGTTGTTGAAATGAAAGAGAGAAGTTGGTTAGTGTGGTAGAGAAAGCATTAGATTTGGAGTTAGGAAGACCTGGGTTCAAATACTGCCTTGTATTAGTAGCTGGATAACTAAGCTAACTTCCTCAGGGCTCAATTTCCTCATCTGTAAAATGAAAAGATTGGACTCAATGACCTCTAAGGTCTTTTCCAGCTCTAAATCTATAATCCTGTTCATGGAATTGAACTGAATATCACCCATTTGCATCATTCACTCTGCCTTGCCATTAGTGGTATGTTCCAAGCATGGAACGACAGCATTCCATCCCCATAAATCACACTTTTTCCTAATTGCACCACTTACATAAAACTTGGACTCTAAATGTCTAGCCAATCATCTATGAAGGAAAAACAAAAAGGGTCTTTGGAACTCAGGCCTTTGGATGACAAAAGTTGTACCCCTGCCACAAGAGAAAAGCAATTCAACAGAGTCCCTTCTGTGGTCCAATTCCAGCAATAACAGACAAAAGGCAAATTTACAGTAGTCAATCATCAAAGGGGTTCTTTGTAAGGGCAGTAGAAGAGAAATAGTTGCTTTTGTTTGAACCTAACAGCCTATAAAGGATTACTTAGTCAATTTGCAAACTACCCACTCATCAAACAATTTGATTGTGTTGAAATGGACTCTGTTAAAGGGAGAATTGGAGGCTCAGGTCTATTTATCCGGGGAGTGAAACTTCTTCATTGTCTGTGAGACAGATAACACAAAGTTCATTTCTCAAGTTGTGGCATGCGTAAGCCACAAATTAAGATGTTTAAGCTCAAATCTTGCTGTCATAGATAGGTGCTGAATTTTCATGATTTTAGGTTTATGCCTGTTCCTTTATTTTCTGATTTAAAAAGTTGGGGATGGAAGGGGGAGGAGGTAGAGGAAACATGCAAATATCTGGTTACTCCAGACAGAAAAATGTGGATCTGAGAGGGTTCAGCAGCTACAAAACAAACAAACAAACAAAACCAATTTAGGCTTCTTCGGATCCTGACCAAATTTGAAATGAGTCACCAAGTACTGCCTGATTATAGACAGCTCTAGAGAGCTAGCTACCCAGTCATGCCTCCCCCTTCCCCAAAAAATTCATTTCAAAGGCATTTGAGTGGAGCAAAGATGAATAGCTTGAGAGACAGAGAGAGAGAGAGAGAGAGAGAGAGAGAGAGAGAGAGAGAGAGAGGGAGAGAGAGAGAGAGAGAGAGAGAGAGAGAGAGAGAGAGAGAGAGAGAGAGTGTTAACTACTGTATTAAATTCACACATTCTTAGATGGAAAACAACTTGCAGACGAAATCTCAGCAGGCAAGATTTTATAAGGAATGGCTACTCTCTCTGCTGAGACTGAAATAACAAGCAGGTCTTAACTTAGCTGTCAAAACACATATGGGTGGAAACTTAGATAATTCGTATACCATGTCTTTGACCCTGGCCATCCATTTTATTTTTGCTTCTTTATCCTACTCTGGTGGCTAAAAGGATAAAAATACCACCAGTTAGGGCAGTGCCTAGACATTTGCGAGCCTGTCACAAGACTTTATTCCTTAGTCTCCCTTCCCCACACTCCAATTCTCTTCCAGTTCCTGGCATGACTTATTCCAGACATATTTATTAAATTTCTCCACGTATGTCTAGCATTGTGCTATGTGTTATGGGAAATACAGGAATATGGACTAGACCAGTGATTTCAGTAGTATATAGGGAACTCCCAGTAAGGGTGTCTCATTCTGCCAATGCAGGTCTGCACTTTTTTTGCAATATATAGCCTTAAGGAGTTGCCTGGGGCATTGAAAAATTAAGGGCTTGCCCAGGGTCACACTGCTATTATGTGTCAAGGAGAGACTTGTACCCAAGTCTTCCCGGCCCTGAGACCAGCTCTTTATGTATTACACTACATTTACTGCCTATCTACTATGCCATGCTGCTAGGAAGCATAACAAGAAATGCTATTAAGCATGAATTATGTGTGGCATTTCTAAAACTGTCCGATCTGCAAGGAAAACCACTGAAGCAGAACTCTGAGCCAATGGCACTTTATTAAAGGATCCCTAGCCCTCTCTAATGAAGTGGACCTCAGATCTTCCTCATGATCTGAGATGCCCTCTTCCTCCAGGACCTTAGTTTTATAGTTCTTGATACCCAGACAACACAGGTGGAGCAAGTGTGTCAGGCACAGCAACGTCAGTTGAAAATGGCTCCCAGTCCTCCTAGAGTGTATAATTTAGTAATATAGTTTCTGGTCCGGCATAACTTAAAATCCTGTTAGACAAGACAAGGGTTATATACATGAAACAAATTGACAGTATATTATCAAATACTTATTAATAATCATAATACTAATATTTCTATATAGCACTTTCTAGTTTACAATACATTGTCACTTACATTATATGCTTTTATACTCTCACCACCGAAATTAGAGGAGTATAAGTAGTATTCCTTTTCCATATATGAGTAAACTTAGATGTAGAGAATGAAATTGTTTTGTCCAAGTTCATATTATGAATCAATTGTTGTTCCATCGTGGCTGACTCCTCATGATCTTATCAACTGTACTGTCCATGGGGTTTTCTTGGCAAAGTTACTGGAGTGGTTTACTATCTTCTTCTCTAGCTAATTTTACACATGAAGAAACTGAGGCAAATAGGATTAAGTGATTTGCCCAGGGTCACATAGCTAGTAAGTGTCTGATGCTGAATTTGAACTCAAGTCTTCTTGACTCCAGGCCCAACACTCTATCTACTGAACCACCAAGATGCCTCATCTTCTTTCATTAGCATGTGAATTTCTGAGGACAAAGACTGTCTTGTTTGCTTATTCATAAAATGGCATTTTACATGATTATTTCCCTTAGTAATTGACTGTAGTTAACAAGAGGGTGTGTGTGTATGTGTGTGTGTATGTTGTGTGTACCCATATCAATGAGATCACAAATCCCCTGGAATATTGGAATACAGACATAAGTATATCATAGGTGTCCATAGAAAGTAGGTTGGCTATAATAGCACTGCCTGGATGAATATTGCCATTGGTTTATTCCTTTCCCCTTAGTGAAAAGGCCAATCAGAATGTTAGGATGGAGTGTTGGCCCACCTAGTTCGTACTCTGATACAGGGGTATGTGTATGTATTCTAATATTTCAATTCTCCAATGGATCTATGCTCTCTGTAATCTGAGTATTCCCTCCAGGGATACATATCACAACTTATCCTTGCCTGACATAGGTGTGTCTGCAAATGGTTATATGTATAGGTTCACTTTCTTTGAAATAAAATGATGTTAGAACATTTGTTTGGTGGATAATCAGGAATACACACTAAAATAAGGGAGAAAAATTTTTGAGTGAATGCAGAGGACTCTGAAATAACAACACTGCAGACACCTGCAAAAAATACAAAGTATGTGCAAAGGAAGCATCGTTCATTTCATCCAACGTAAATCAGAAAAGACAGCCCACGTGGCATTTTTAAATGGCAGGATTGATTTCATTGAGCACATATGAGAATATAGTTAAGCAAATCAGATGGTGAATTGGCAGATAATTCTGCAGTCTCTCCAAAAACTCTTATCTATTATGTATTTTTCCGCAGTGGCACATTTCAACTACTGATAAATATTTTATCACTAGAGATGGTTGGGTGGTATCATTTTTATTGTTTAAAAAAAAACTTTCTCAAGAAAGAATGATGTTATCTTAGAATTATTAAACATAAATTAGAAATTTTTTTTAATTTTTTTAATTTTTGGTGAGGCAATTGGGATTAAGTGACTTGCCCAGAGTCACATAGCTAGTAAGTGTTATGTGTCTGAGACTGAATTTGAACTCAGGTCCTCCTGACTCCAGGGCCGCTGCTCTATCCACTGTGCCACCTACCTGCCCCGATAAATTAGAAATTATTAAACATGAAATGCGTTTTCCCATTGATGGCTCCATACCAAGATAAATAACCCAACCTCTTGGTGCAGGAAGCTTTCACATGCTTAATAGAATCCATCTGATGTTGTCTTCTAGTGGGCTTCAAATGTTTTCAGACAAAGCAACATGCTTAGGTTAATCCAGAGTTTCAGCATTTCAACTTTAGCCAAAAGACTTGGTTCCTTGAAAAAGAAACCAAAAGAAACCTTGAGTTTGTAGGTTTGGGAATTAATAGTGCTCAGATTTCATAGTCACAATCTGTCTTGTTGCCAGGAGTTTTCTCAATAGAGTTCTTCGACAGATTAAGATGATTTTCACTTAGAGGTAGCTGGAAATAAGCTAATGATCTATTTCTGCACCATCATGATGAGGGTCCGTCTTGATACAATTCTTGGCTTTCCAGTAACTCCTACATACTAAAGGATTCCATTGTGAGAGAAAGATGTGGGAGGTTTTTACACCAAATTTCATTGAAATGTCAATTTTCATTCCATGTCTCCTTGGTTTTTCTTTATTTGTTTATATTAATAATCAGCAGGAAATGGCTTTAAAAAATTTGCTGTTTAGTCATTTTTCAGTCATGTGTGATTCTTCATGACCCCATTTGGGATTTTCTTTGCAAAGATACTGGAGTGGTTTGCTATTTCCTTCTCCAGTTCATTTTATAGATGAGGAAACTGAGGCAAAGAGGGCTAAATGATTTGCCCAGGATCACACAGTAAGAGTCTGAGGCTGGATTTGAACTCAAATCTTCCAGACTCCAGACCCAGGGTTCTTTCCACTGCGCCATCTAGCTGTCCATCCTCATTTGTAAAAAGAGAATAGCCTACCTCCCAGGGTTGTTGTGAAGATCAAATGAGGTAATAACTGTGCATGCTTAGCATGGTGCCTGGAACATGGTAAGTGCTATATAAATATTAGCTATAAAAACAAAATAAGGAATTAAGAGGTTCTGGTAATACTAAAGTTAAGAAAATAAACAGGTCTGTTGCCAAGAAACAAAGCTTTGATTCGTATCTCCCACCTTTTTTGGGGGGTGCTAGATTATGTTTTCTCCCCTTATATAAGAAAAATTGTACAGGATGAAGAGTGGGGATGAGGATAGGATGAAAATTAATAAGACTGACTTATTAAACTTTTTCTTATACTCCTAATAAAGCTGAGTAGGGTAGGGATGACAGTGTAATAAATATTGGTAATACATTCTAAGAGCAGGAAGTGAATGTATCTCTTGTACATATGAGTGGAGATACACTGTTTAAGTCACCATAGCAATATTACTGCAGAATTTCTCACACTAATCTAGCTATGACATATTTGGGGCTTGAAATATATTGATAGACTCTATAAATATCAGTTCAGTTAGTCTGGAAGTATGTGACTATTGGAAAGGGAAGAGCATGGGGGAAATTTTGGAGTAAAATATTGAAATATTTGGCATCTGTTGTTAGGATTTGATGCATATATATTTAATTTAATGTTTCCATTAATTATTTTATATGCAGTATTTTATAGTAGAAATACTACAAACATAGAAATGTTCTCATTTTCACATAAAAGAGAGCATATTTAGGGAAATACTGATTTACTAAGCTTTTTTTTAGACCTTTGTCTGCTTTCATGTTTACAAATGTATGGCTGTTAATGTAAAAGCAGTTGTGATCATAAATTTCTTGTATTTAATAATTTTTTTTAATTTGGTTAATCCCAGTTTCAGCTACAGATGTTTGACATTGTTTGTTCTACTTCATGGGCCAAAGGAGACAAATGCTGTGAACTCCCAGGAGTGGTAAGAATTCTACATTTGTTGTCTATTGTATTTTTTTGAAAATCAGAATTCACTGATGTCATATTTAAATAGCTCTTAAGATAATGTTTACTCCCTGTGTGAGCCATGCTTTCCATTTCTATGAGGATACGGTCCGAATGTGAATGCAAGTTATTTATTGTTGGGGCAGAACTGTCATAAGAATTGGGTCGCCGGTGACTGGTTGTCCTTTATCCTCGAAGAGGACCAAAATGACATCACTATGTTGGAGTCAAGGTACAATGCATATGAATATGGCTGATCAGACCAATATGAGTTTGGAAGACTGTACCATGGGTCGGACACAAGTGGTCCACATGAAATGGTGACTACTTAACAGCCAAAGGGCACAGCGAAAGACATTTAGAAGGAATAGAGGTGGGTTTGGGATGCCAGTGGTTTCCAGAAGTAGTCTTAGTAGCTTCAAGTGTGTTTCTGTTCAGAAGTTTCTGCCCAGAACTGAATCTTCTCCTTCAAAAGCCTCTGTTCTAATACCTCTAGCCCTCCCAGGGCACTCTGAGGCAGTTTACCAAACAAAAATTTAGCCTGAAGCGGAATCCCTGGTTGCTCATTGGATGCTAGAAAACCCTATGAGGTGGCATTATAGCTATTAACTTCATATTACCCTTGAGGAAACTAAGGCGCTGCCAAATTATGTGATTTGCTCATGGGATCATTAATTTCCCAAACATGATCTAGTCAGCTTTTTTCCTTCTGTTCTGGGTTCAACTCTTTGTCTATCTACAATGCATGGCTAAGATGGTCTTTTCCTTCATTACTATCAAATATCATTCAGGCAGGAATTTATATATATAGATATATATACACACACACACGTACACACACACACACACACACACACACACACGGCTAATGGACAATGCACTAAATGAATAGATTCATGCCCCACCTTTTAGAAGCAAAAGTTCTCAAGTAGATTTTGTTAGACAATAGTGGTTGGTACCTTAATAATCAAGACCTGATAAGTGTAGAGAAATGGATGTGAGGAAGAAGTTGTACATAATGGAAAACACCACGATTGTTTGAGGACGCCATCGTCCTTCCAGGCACCAAGATTCACAACCTAGGAATCATACTTGAATCTTCATTTTCTTCTTACTGTCCAATATCTAATTAACTGTCAATTACAGTCAGTTCTTCTATAACATGACACACCTGTTCCCCAAAAGCATAGAATTATGCAAAATTATGCAGTTAAAACCACAGGGCTTATGGAGGAAATGGGGCTGAGGGCACAATGCTCAAAAACTTTGTCAGGACACATTAAAAAACAGATAAGGACCTAATTTTAAAAATGGTAGTACAGTTGTATATATGTTAATGGGTAAGGAATACATAAATACTACAGTAGTGTGCATGTCAGTGGCCTCAAGCTGCTGTTTGGCCTATACCCCTGTTGCTGCAGGAATAGGTTAAGCAGCCCAGCTTGGGGGATGGGGAGGTGGGAGAAGGGAGTAGGGGTGGAGGTGGTACAGACCAGTTCTCCTTTGCCCACAGCTTCAACCTTACTGAAGATATACCATTAATATGGCACTTTACCTTGAAAAATACCTGGCTTGTTTCTGGAAGTGACCATCAGAAGGGTTGTAGCTTGTGAATTATTGTGAAGTGGTACAATTTCTTTTGCATTCTAGATATTTCTCATAGAAGGAATTGAGCAGAAGAAATTTGAAATTCATCTTATGTTCCCTAATAAATCCATCACATTGGAACAAATCCACATTTTTTAAACATGTAATGTATTACAGCAGAACTGACTATACTTCCACACATCTCTCATTTCTACCCCCTTTGTCTCCATTCACACAGCAACCATCCTAATTTAGACGCCCATCGCCTCTTGACTGGACTGCTAATATAGCCCCAGTCTCCATCTCCTCAATTCTCTAATTGCTATTCAGAACAACAGCCAAAATAATCTTTGTAAAGCACAGATCATACTATATCAACCTTTGTGATTCGCGAATCTTCAGTGCCTCTTCTTTGCATCTAGGACCAACTCCTCAGCTTGCCATTAAAAGCTCCTTTTTTCTAGGCTACCTTTCCAGACTTTTTTTTAATATTATTCCCTTTCACATATTTTATAATGTAATCAAACTGGTTACATTTGTTGTTGTTGTTCAGTCATGTATGACTCTTCATGATTCTATTTGGGATTTTCTTGGCAAAAATACTGAAGTGGTTTGCCATTTAGTTCTCTAGCTCATTTTACAGATGAGGAAACTGAGGCAAACAGGGTTAAGTGACTTGCCCAGGGTCATATAACCAGTACGTGTTTGAGGCCAGATTTGAACTTAGAAAAGGGAGTCTTTCTGATTGGATGCCTGGCACTCTATCCACTGTGCCACCTAACTGCCATTGGCCTACTTGTTGTTCCCTAAAAGCAACTTACTACCTCTTGCTTACACATCTTTGCTTAGAATCCTGAGCTTCCATTCTGTCTTCAACAGACAGAAATGTAGGGTGGGTGAAGTCCCTCTCCTCCTTTAAGGTACAATTCAGACACCACCTCCTTCATGAAGTCTTTCCTCATTCGTCCAAGTGAAAGTGATGTGTCCCTCTTAGTTTTCTGGGTTTTTTTTTTCTGATCGCTTTGCCTGGTTCTCTTCTGTCACATTCTACCTTGTACTTCCTGGCTTGTGTATATGTTGTATCAATTCCCCAATGCTAAGAGTGTAACCTTCTTAAGAGGACAGGGTCTGTGCCAGTTTTCACCTTTCTGTCTCTATCACCTAACACAATGGCTAGCATACTGAAGGTGCTTAAAAGGCAAGAGATTTAAAAAAAATTTTTTTTAAAGAAAGTCAAAGTCAGTCAGTTAACAAACATTAAGAACTTATGTGCTAGGCACTATATTAAGCACTGGGCTTACAAAAAAAAAGCAAAAGAAAAAAATAAATAAAAACAAAGAAATTTGTCTAGCATATTAATTTATTCATTCATTTATTTATTGAAAATCTTAACCTTAAAATGTTTTAAAATGTTTCTCCTGGGTTAAAAAAACTACTGGCAGAGGATATTTATTAATATTTGGCTATTTCTTTTAACAGAGGGATGAGGAAAATTGTCCAGCTCTTCCACATTCCTGTTCCTGTTCTGAAATCAGCAAAGGGCCATCAGGACCTGCTGGCCCACCTGTAAGTGCTGAATAAATTTTGGTTTTCCCCAAGAAGAAGAAAGACCTCTAATATTTACATTTGAAACATTTGAAATCATTTCTTTCTAAGCCCCAGAACTTGATTTCTGACTGAATGTTTCCAACATGAACACTTATAGTGTACCTGCAAACCTCTTCCTGTGCTAATCCTAATTTATATACGCCCAAGGAGGTGTTTGAGGCATGTTAAATAAGTTATTTCCTAACTGGGAGCAAAGAAATTCATCACTTTGCCATGCATTTTTTTTTCTTTCTTTCCTTTTTTTTTTAATCGTCTGAAGTTAGAATGCTATTACAAATGGAAAGCTTTATTCTTCTTAGTGCTATTTTGCAGTATATTCTAGGCGTCAGTGGATCTGTGAGATCCTTTTCTACATGTGGGCACTTCTTCTATTGATGCAGATTGCAACCCATTCGTTCCTTCTCCATTTATACATGTCTTGCCCATGCTTCCTTCGGGTTCTCCACGGAGGTCCACCCAAAATGCTAATGGCCTTCCATCCAGATTGTCTTATATATCATGGTTACTATACAGTTGGAGGACTGCCTGTCTATTGCTCCTATGATATGACCATCCCACCTCTTTTTCCAATCATATTTCCTCAGTGATATCAATTATGCCATGTGAGAGGCAGAGTGGAATAATGTGGAAAAAGAGTTGGCCTTGGAGGCAGGGAGCCCACAGTGCAAGAAAACCCACCGGCTGCTTATAGTTCACCTCATAGTGCTCTAGCCAAATGTGTTGGTATAGGTCTTTTCTTCATTTCAGAAGTCTCAGTATCAATGAAACCACAGTTCCAGCCCCATTGCCTTGTGCCAGACCCATGTGTAGAGGGCTTTATTGGACATATGCTACAGAATACTTGTATTTACCATGCATCTTTCTATTGTCCTTTGGGTCACCCACAACTTTAATTCATTGGAGATTGTGGCACTCCAGGTTTCTTAATCATATAGCATCACCTGGGGAACATTTGTGCTCAAAAAGATAGTGTTTTTATGCCAAAGATCAGCTTGAAAAGATTAAAACACTGCAGCTTCCCACATGTAATCCAGAAATGCAGATGTTTAAAAATATTGCGTAGTGGTTAGAGTGCTGGACCTGAAGTAAAGAAGACTCATCTTCCTGAGTTCGAATCTGGCCTCAGATACTTACTAGCTGTGTGACTCTGGGCAAGTCATTAACCCTATTTGCCTCAGTTTCTTATCTGTAAAATGAAGTGGAGAAGGAAATGGCAAACCACTGCCGTATCTTTGCCAAGAAAATACCAAATGGGGTCACAAAGAGTCAGACACAACTGAAAATGGCTAAACACACAAAACTATTGCTGATGAAAAGAATGTAGAATTTTATCAAGTTGAATATTAGTTGCTAATGTTGACATCTTGCTTTACAAGTTTGGGGATGGGGACTGGACCTGTTTCATTGATACAAAAAACTCCTAAGTGAGGGAATCTCCTCTACCAATACAGGTCAGCACCTTTTCTGCAATTTATACCTTTAGAGAGGTGCCTAGAGCAGACATGTAAGACATGCTGCCTGTGACCCCATTGTAGCCTGTAACACTCTTCAGATTAAAATATAATTGAGAAATATTTAGCAAAATAAATAAAAATATAATAAAACACAGACACTGGTTTTCTAAGTCCCTGTGTGGATCTTTATGTATTGTCTAGTGGCACCCATTTCTCTTTGAGTTTGACACCAGTGGCCTAGAGAAAAGAAAGATTAATTGACTTGTCAAGGGTCACAGAGCCAAAAAGTGTCAAAAGCAGCATGTGAACCCAAGTATTCCCAGGTTTAAGGCCAGCTCTCTATTTACTATAGAGCAGCTACTTCTTTACTGCTTTACATATATCACCTCATTTGATCCTCACAAGCCCTATGAGGTGGGTGGGTACTGCAGGTATCTATTGTTACCTCCATATGACAGATGAGGATAGCTCTGAGCTCTCTGAGGCTCAGAGGTTAAGTGGTTTGCTTGTGGCATCATTTAAAACACTATGCTATTTCCCAAAATCAGTGTTCTTCCTTCTGTTCTGAGCTCAATTCACTGCCCAACCAAAATATATTTACTGATGTATTAACTCGAGAATGGCCATACAGCTGCTGGTCATAATCCTGTACATTAAGCATTGCATTTCTCATAAATTCAGTTTTTCTTATAGTAGATTATTAGGCTTATCTCTTTTGAGTAATCATGGATCTCATTGTGGAAGCCCTGTAACACTCTAAGGATGAAGATAATCACCAGATCATCCCCCAATATGATCTGCAAATGGGAGCATATGGAGAACTTCAACATCTTTGGTATCATTGATACAGAGTTGGAAGGGACCTTATAGGCAATTGAGTCCAACCTCCTTATTTTACACATAGTGAATGTGAGCCATAGAGAGGCTGAGTGACTTGCCCAGAGTTACGAATCTAATAAGTATCTGAAACAGGATTTGAAATCAGGTCTTCCCATGCCAGATCCAGCACTCTATTCATTATGCCACTTAGCTGCTCAGGGAATCCTTATTCCATTTGCACCTTCTACAACACATTTTCCATAACAGTGGTAAATACCTTTGGTAAGCATGAATTTCCCTGTTTTATTCCTCTTTACATATCGTTACAAAGAAAGGAAATGAGGGAAACACAACCAAATTTAGAATAATTAGAAACAGGGGGTTTACATCCTTCTTCAAAGACCTTTTTGTAACGACTTCCAGTGATGCTGTTTTTCACCTTGTGCCAAATTGTCAAAGCAAATGTGTGTTTCTTTGAGAAGGACAAGATATCAATACTTCATTGTCAGAGAACTGCAAGTCTGTTGAAGCTGATGGGACAAGAAAACAGCGTCCGTAGTTTGAATAAGTAGTGAAAACCAGAATCTTACAGGATAACTTTTTTTTTCCAAGACCTGTCATTTAACGTTTGACTTTATACTAAACAGGACTGGCATGTTAGACATTTCCACAGTAGATAACCCAGACTGACAGTTGGCTTGCAGAATGAAAGTTCATTCCAGGTTGGCTCCAATCATATAAATTTTCCTACTTTTTAAAGTTCAGCAAATCTGTTTTTTGCACAAATGAAGAACTTTCTGGAGTTATTTGGAATGGATCCTGGCAATTCCTTTTTTATCTTTGGCATGAAGAAGCATCTCTTCAACATTAAGCATGCAATCCAATTTTCTCCATGTTTTATGGCATACATTTACCTATCGTTTTCTATTGAAAATAGTAATTCATTCTCTGCATTACTCTAAATCACCCTCAGTATGCTAGAAAAACAATAAAGTCATTCCATTCTTCAGATTATTTAAAGATTTTCTGCCCATGGCCAAAATCATCCTTCCACATGTATAGAGCTAGCCTCGAACTCCATGAAAGCCACATGTGGTTCTAACAATTTACTGCACAGAGGAGCTATACCCTAAGGAGGTCATGTGCAAGATGAATTGTGCCTGGTCCCAGAGGACATAACTAAGAGTTGAAATGGGTAGAAGCAGTGGGTAAGTTATTATTCCTCATGGGTTGTTAGACAGTTGGTAAAGATTTTCTGGACAGGTTTTGAGAATAATCCTTATTTTCCTGAGGCTTGCATGAAATACTTCTGAGTTTATTTGATTTCTCTAAGCTATTTCTTTGCTAGAACTCAAGGGAGTCATACAAATAACTTCTAATGTAGAAAAATTTGAGAATTAACCATTTTATATGCATTAACATTCAAAGTTAATAGAGACAGCAGAAGGTGAAATAAATCAAAATAGGAGAGAAAGAGGTAAGGAGAAGGAAGATGAAGTCCCAAGGAAAAAAGGAATGACAAATTTCAAATATGAATAACAAATTTTATTTAGAAAGCTTGAGAAATAGGATCATGGAATCATACAATGTCAGACTTGGAAAAGACCTCAGAGTTGTCTAATCCAACTCATATCTAAATGAGAATTCCTTTTTAATATTCCTGGCATATAGTCATCCAGTCTTTGCTTAGGTACCTTCAGGGAAGGAGAATTCATTATCTCCCAAGTAGCCAGTTCTACTATGGGGTAGCTCTGATGGCAAGCAAGGTTTTTCTTACAGCAGGCCTTCCTCTCTATAATTTCTACGTATTGTTCCTTGATCTGCTTTCTGAGGCCAACTAGAAAAAAATTTAATCCCTCTTTCATATGATAACACTTCAAATATTTGAAGATAGCTATCATATCCCCACCTAAGTCCTCTTCCAAAGCAATCCCACCCAGAACAGAACAGTTGTTACAGAACAATTTGTGAAAAAAAATACCTATTTCTGCTGATAAAACTTAATTCTTGGTTGGTAGTATATGGTTGCTGGAAAAGAATGTTAAAGTAAAAGCTGTATTATTGCATGCATGTGTAAAGACTTGTACTCTTGCTTAGATTGACCTTTTCCTCACTTTACTGGAACATTTAACATTATTACCATCATTCAATGAATAGGGTTTATTTAGGGTATACCATGTGCACCAGCGCTGTGCTTTGCAGTGGGGGACATAATAAAAGTACAAAACACAATCCCCGTCTTCAAACATTATGCCTCAGACATGTTCAGATAATACGATTATACATTAACATTTCAGGAGAAGCCATCCAAATTTAATTGGGGAAAAAAGTATCTTGGATGTTTGAAGGAATGAATGTCTAGCTCTTTGTGAGATCTATATCATTGGCAAATGAGTGTAAAGACCTATTGATGTTGCCACAACCCAAGTCTGGTGAGGCCCTCCTTAGGATCTTTTGCACTGACCAGTAGAATACCTGGAAAACTGACTATTACTTATAGGGACACAGTTTTTCTCCCAGGGAGTGAGGTATTTAAATTGCAGCCATGAAGTATGTGGATCATCAGAAGAAATTCCTAGTTTAATACAAACACGTAGGTCTATGTCATGTAATAACAGGATCCTTAACAACAATTCTAAACATATAAGAAACAATTATTCTTGAAAAGGAGGCAACAAGTATTTATTAAATATCTACTATTAGCCAGGCACTATGCTAAGTACTGAGGATACAAATACAAGCAAAAAGAAACAACAGCCCTTGCCCTCAAGGAACTTACATTCTAATGGCTGGAGAGGACACACAAAAGGGAACTGAAAAAAGATGGAGAAGGGAAGATATCCATAGGAGAATGGTGTTCAGAAGTCTGGAAAGTCAGAATTGTAACTTGGAAGAGAACAGAACAGTATAGTGACAAGGCATAGAGAGGAGAACCAAAAAACTTCTACTCTCTTGGCCACCACGTAGAATAAATGAGCTAAAATGGAACCAAATGCCTGCTTTCCTGCCTAATAGGCATGGAAAGGAGCAATCTCAGAAAAGCAATGTCTTGAATCCCCATCTACTCTGTCCTTTATAGTCAGGTCATTTACTTTCAACTGTGTTATTTTTTATGGGTTCTAGCCCTGCTCAGCTCTGACTTCTTGAGGACTGGAAGAAACTCTATGCCTTTTATGGAGTCCAAGCCCTGCCACCTCTGAAAGCCATTGGAGCTGTCCCCTTCCTTTTCTACAGGAACAAGTTACTTTTGGACCAAAAGAGTCCTGTCCCATTAGTAAACAGAAAACTGTTGCCTCAGTTCAGTCATCATGACTCATTGGGGACTATCCTTTTCCTAGAACTAGCGTGTTGCCTGGACACAAGTGAGGGAGGGCTGGGTTATTTTGCTTCATCCCACCACTCCCTCGCTCCACTCCAGACAGATGTAACTTGGTGTCAGTTAACAACTTCAGATATTGCTAAAGCTAGTTGAATAGGCATCCTCCTAGTCTTCATTGAAATGAAAGTAGAGCCAAGTGGAATGCTTTTATTACCAAATCCTAAGTGAGTTTAGGAAAAAGTATTAAAGTCAATAAGCAAATTTGACATTCACTTGGCTGATAAACAACAGGAAGGGAGATCTTGCATCTTTTTTCTTTAACATTATAAATCTAAAGCACCTTAGATAATATGTCTAGCAAATAGTACATTTAATTTTATTGATGATATGTCTTAAAAATCACCAAGAAATCCACCTTTATTAATTTTATCCCTTCATTGGCCATTGTTTGTCTTTAAAAACAATTAGTTATGTTTTGTATGTTTCTGAAGGAAGAGGTTAAAAAAAAAACCTAAAAGAATTTTATGCTTATGAACAAACAGCACAGAAATACTCAAGTTTTAAATATTTTCCAAGATATTCAAAATGGATAAAATTATGAAATGGAAAAAAATTTTCTGGAGGCTTAATTCTGGATAGATTTAACTGGCACAGTGGATAGAGCACTGGCCCTGGAGTCAAGAAGACCAGAGTTCAAACCTTGCCTTAGATACTTACTGTGTGACCCATGGCAACTCATTAAACCCCTATCTGCCTCACTTTCTTCATTTGTAAAATGGGGCTAATAATAACACTTACCTTTCAGAGCTGTTGTGAGGATCAAATGGGATGATAATTTATAAAGTACTTTACAAACCTTAAAAGACTATGTAAATGCTGTCTATTATAATTATTGTTAATAATAATGATTTTATTGATGACAATAATCATGAATAATGACATTCCATGGTCAGGTCTAAATTTTGTCCTTTTTTCTTCTTCTGAAGTTTTACCCTACCCCCCCAAAGATATCACATTAACAACAACAACAAAAATTCTAAAAAGGGACATGAGGGATCATCTAATCCAATCTCATTTTAGAAATCAAAAAACTAAAATTTCAGGCTTTTTTGGTATGTGTGTGCACGTGCACATGCGTGCTTTTTAAAGTTCAAATGGATAATTTCAAATCATAATTCTGCTGTGTTTTATATGGTATTTTGGATCAGAAATTAAAGGAAAAATATGCATCTATCTACTTGCAATGGGAATGTTATATAATTGTTAAACATATCCAAATCATTTGCCAAGGCCTGAAAAAGTTTTGGCAGGGAAAGCGTTCTCAAAATTTGAAGTCATCTAAAAGGTGGAAGAGAACTGATCAGTGCAGATATTCATCTTTGGATGATGATGAAGCTATAACATGATCGCTGTATATTGGCGTTTATGCCAAATGGGAATGAGATATTCCATATCATTAAGGAGTAAGATTGAAACATACTTTTTGAGGTTGGCCTTTGAGCTGATATTTTACATATGTTTTCCAGGGTGGTCCAGGACTCCGAGGACCAAAGGGCCAGAGAGGTGACCAAGGTCCGAAGGTAACTTGAGTTTATTTGCTTTTACTATGGGAGAGATTTTTTTTTTGTGTGTGTGTTTTTTGTTTCTTGGGGTTTTTTTGCTATTTATTCTACCCAACCCAAAGCTCCCTTGGTATGACAAAAATTGAGCCTGAAATCAGTCTCTTATTCATGGAGCCTCATTCTTCCTTACTCCAAAGAGCCACCCATAACTTGGATTGAATGAAAGCTTTCCAGGTCAGGAATGAGGCTTCCCAAGGCCACACTATTCTTATTTGATGAATGTTTTCTCTCATATTCCTAACAAGCAGACTTTGCCACAATTGTCATAAGAACAGAACTTTAGTCCATCATATGTAATTCCTCTCCCGCATCACTTTCTGCATCCCAGGTCTCTTATTTGAGTCCTGCTTTCTCTTTATGCGGGTGACTGGCTACACTGCCTTACTGTGTCGAGCATTTCCTTTTGAGCTATCCTTCTAGTTATTGTAAAGATTTTGTACTGAAATGTCCTTAGTCACATCCATTTCCCTTCCTAACGGCACATCTGAGTATAAAGGTCATCATGTTAGAGAGCCTTTAACCTTGGAATGGAACAAAGATAATTGAGGGACAAACCCACAACATTGACCTTGTTATCGCTATGTCCTAAGGAAATGAACTTGAAAGCTATTGACAAATCTTCTAGCTCTTTATCAGGCCAGTAGCAGACAACTTAGGACTGCCTTTTATTTTTCTTAGCAGTTGACCATGAATGTATCCTAAATCAGAAATTAGATATGTAGATGGATAGGTAATTGAATGATCGATGATAAATTGATAGATGATTGACCAATAGATGATATAGATACAGATACAGATGTATAGATATAAATAGCATTTATTAAGCTCTTACTATGTGCCAGACACTATGCTAAACACTGAGTACACAAATAGAAAAAACAAGAAAATGCCTACCTTCAAGGATTTTATATTCAAATGAGTTTCTAGAAAGCAGAGGGTGAAGCATGGTACTTGCATTGGGACTGGGAGAGAGGCCTCAGGAAGATAAAGCAAAAAGCTTACATATCAGTCAGTTATTCTAGTGAATTCAGCTCTTCTTTCTAATTATGCTGAATTGTCTCATGTTCTTCATATTGGGCTTCATATTGGGCTTCATACATGGGCTTAATGTTGAAATCTCAGCTTTAACGTCAGTTAGTTGAAATGTGGTTATTTATTTTTTTTACCATGTCATGGCTTATAAATGTAGGACGTGAAGTACTGAAAGGCAGAAACTGTGTTGTTTTGTTTCCCAGACAAGACACTTAAATATTGAAGAGAATTTAAAACCTAGCTCAAATTCCTCCTCACAAGTCCAACTTCCTCATTTTACAAGAGAGAAAACTGAGGCCCAAAGACTTGAAATGATTTGCCCAAAGTCACAAAGAGATAGATATCAGAACTAAGATTGAATCTTCTATCTTTGGACTCCAAATTCATTCATTATTCCTTTGCCTCTTTTCTATAATCTCCCCCTATATTAATGAATATTCCCCTTAGCCTTCAGGTAGTACTTTATTTTTGTGCCTCTCTAATACTATAATCACTAGAGAGCAAAGAATCCTTGTGGAGTTCAATGAAACAAAAAATACTAGGTTTGGATTCAGAAGATCTGGGTTCAAATCCTACTTATTCCCTATGTGACCTTGGGCAAATCATCTGACATCTCTGGGCCTCTTGTCTCATTTGTATAATGAAGAGGGCAGATTAAGTGACCTCTAAGGTCCCTTCCATCTCTAAATCTATGACATTCTACCTATTTATGCTTATGTCTTATTGCTCTCCAACACTATAAACTCTATATGGGCAGCAGCTTATTTAATTAATTAGATTTATTTATTTGTCTCTCCTAGTACCCTGCACATAGTAGACAAAATGTAATAAATTGAATGGAGGAATTACATACATAGAGCTAAGAATTATTGGCCTATCCATTTTTCATTGATTTTGATTAAAATTCTGAATTATTAAGTGCTGTAAAAAAAAAATCTCACATCAAAGGGTTTACTTTACTGTCTAAATGACTTCTCTCTGCTCCCTTCCAGGGACCAGATGGTCCTCGTGGTGAAACAGGTTCTCCAGGACCTCAAGGCCCCCCTGGCCCACAAGGACCAAGTGGACTTTCCATTCAAGGCATGCCGGTGAGTTGCATATAAGTAAGTTTTGCTGAGATGTCAGATTACTTTAACTTTTCTAGTAAATAATTAGTGGTGAAATCCATCTTACTAAGAAAACTTCAGTCCTTCCTCAACCTGCATTGAAGTACATTTGACAGTAATTTATAAAAGGTGGCCATTTCCCTAGCATAATAGGACAATATACAACAATATATGCACACAGACAAAATTTGCTCAGAAAGTTTTGTGAGTATAAGGATAACCAAGTGAGATCTACCTAATACATCCTGCCTGTTAAACCAATTACATAATGGCTACAAAGGATAAAAAAAAAACATAAAATGCTATATATGTAAGTTCTTATTAATTAGCAATTTTGATGGTGAAAGACAAAGTACATGTCCTCCATGGACTTAGGGTTCTTGTCAATTTCCACTGGCATCCAAGTGAATTTCACTTGAAAGCTGATACCTAATCCAGTGGTTATTGTTCCCAATAAATTTAAAACAAACAGCTCCACACTAGGAGAATCTGTGTTTCCTCAGAAAGGATTCATGTCACATTGAAACACATTATATTCTACTTACTGATCTCTGTGTTTCTTGCTTTAGCAGAGGTTTTTAACCATTGTTTTGTGTCATGGACCCCTTTGGCCATCTGGTAATGCTGATGGACGTTTTCTCAGAATAATGTTTTGAATGCCTAAAGTAAAATGATAGAATTAAAAACGAAGCCAACTTATATTGAAATATACTTATTAAAATTCTATTTATTCATGTTCTGTTTCATTCAAATTCTGTTTATTCATGTATCCCAGGTTGAGAACCCCTGCCTTATAGAAATCAAAATTATAATTCCTTATATGAATCAAGACTAGTTTTACCAAAAATTGTTGCTATTTGTTGATTTTGAAACAATAGTTTTCTAAAGATATGTTTTGTAGCCACATCTAAGTGATTTTGTATACTCATGGCACTGTTGCTCTGGCTGTAACTTTTCCTTCTTGGAGTATTCCTCCCATGGACCATACTTTGGAAACTATTCTTCTTTACACATATAATACATGCCAGTTTATGTGCACATTTATGTTTTCTTCACAATAATCCTGTAAGTTAGATAGTATTATCCCTATGTTGTAGACAAGGAAACTGAGTCACAGAGAGGTTAAATGCATTGCTCCTGGTCACACATCCAATAAGTGTCCGAGGCCACATTTAAACCTAAGTCTTCCAACTCCAGGCCCAGTCGTATAAACAGCACTATGCTGTGCTGCCTCTCATATACTTCTAGCAGAAAAAGCAAAAATTTTATATGTCTTGATGAAATGATTAGCTCCAGAAGATAGTCAGTACTTCAGTTATTTTGATCCCCTTCCGGAAATCTAAGGACTTAGAAGAACAAAGACCTGGTTATTACCTCTATAATTCTATGCTTAGACTGTCCCCTTTTCTGGGTTATATTAATGTCTATGATTTTTTTCCAAATACTTGGTATCCTTTCTTCTGAAAGATGATCTGTTGCTCCATGCCCTCAAACTGTTCCTACATATCAACCTTTAAGTCTGTGTTTATGTTGGTATGAGGTCATTTATTTTAATATTTAATATAGTATGAGTATATTTAATATGGTATGTGCATATTGGTATGAATATGACCTAATGTTGACTAAGGAAGAATGGTTGGTGGGAAAAAACAGTATGTGAATTGACGTGTGTGTTTAACTTCATGTGGTTTTCGAATCTTCAGGGAACACCAGGTGAAAAAGGAGAGAAGGGAGATCTCGGTTTTCCAGGCCCACAGGTATTCTTTTTAATTTCTTGCTGTCATCATGAGAGACTTATGGAGGGCAATGGACTTTTGAAGTGGGTTATGAGCTTGGAAAGCACAGTTTCTATTTTCAGCACAGTACTGCCTTAGGCCAAATTCATTTACCTTAAATTCTTTCCCCCCATGAGTCACATTGAAGTTCCTCACCATAAGCTAAGTGGGGATTGGGGAAGATAGGGAGACATTTCTCTTCTATGAATCACAGTTATGTACCAAGTTCTAAAGACCTCTACCTTCACATCTCCTCTGCGGTTTTGAAGTATTTCAGTGAAGCAAGTTAGGAGTATGGTGGGTGCACTGTTCATCTGACCTTTTTTTTGGTCCATTATCTAGGGTATTCCAGGGAGTACTGGATCACCGGGACGTGATGGTTCACAAGGCCAGAGGGTAAGAAAATATTCAATAGTTTGTAGCGATGTTGTTGTTTTTCTTTAGTACTATTGTTTTATTTTCCATGGAGAAGTCTACTTGAGGCAGGCAAATCTCTTTTCCACACATATCTTTCTTTTGCTCAGTCTCCTTCTGCCTCTCTTCTCTACCCATCCATGCCCATAAAACAGTAAAACACCATATAAATATGTTTAAGTGTTTCAAAACTTAACCTCTTCAAATTCTTTTTCACCATTCCCAATTTTCTTAAAATGACTCTACAGAATGCAACTTAATTCATCATTCTGAGCATTGATTATGGTACTGTGCTACATTATAATGATGCCATCAGGGACCATCTAGATTTACGGATAAACAGGGTTACACCAAATGGCTCCAGATTTCAATGTCTCTCTTCTTCCTGCTTCCTGCATCTTACTGTCTAATTCTTTGCATTATTTTATTCATAGCTGTTTGGATAAAGGCAATGTGGATGAAAGTCTTCACCTCTATCACGGTTATCATGTGATGTGCACGGGCTTTGTGACAGCAATTTGCCAGTCAAGGGTTTCTTTTTTTCTATTTCTTTTTGAGGGAGATGGGTACTTCCATGTTCACAGCTGCATGACAAGAAATCTTATCTCTTGACTAGGGGTTTAGAATGAGACATACATCTTCAGACATGGTCAAAGCATTGACTTGTGTTGCTTGGCTATGGTTTTTTATTGCAAGGGAGGACTTCAACAGAGGAGGGGCTGAGTCATTAAAAAGTGCCAAAGATTAGAAACATCGCTAAAAAATTTTAAAAAATGCAGAAGACAAAAAGATCAAACCCACAAGACAATTGTGGCACTTCTTTATTAAAAATATGCTTTAAATATGTGTTTAATCTATAGTTTAATTAATATTAACTATAGACTGGTGCTAACTTGTGGGACTTGTTGAGAAACCATTTTATGGCAGATTTTGAAGATCTTTCTCTTTGAAAATAACTTAATGAAATTAGATAAATAAAATAATAAATAAACAATAATAATATTATAATATAATATATTACACATATAATAAATAAATTAAATAAATATGTTAAATGTATACTTTTTAAAACTATAGAAAAAAGTCTCATCTTTGGTTAAACAAATGTGTTGCTATATATAAATCCTTTCCACAGCCTAAATAACATGTCTGGACAAGACAGCAGGAAATCTGTCCATCAATACATTCTTTAAATTTGTTATTAGATAGAGTAGAAACATAGGCAGAGAGAAGGTTGAGCAAGGGAGTTGGTATTCTTTGTTGCTGGCCCACCATAAATTGTCACTGGCCCCACATGGTCAGTGGTCTGAATATTTTGTTAGATTCTTCTATAAGTGTCAATCAGTTCCAGTCCATTTAAAAGAAATGTATTTGATATTTCCTGGTATATTTGATACAGCTTTGGACATTTAGGTAAGCATTAACTAAAGACTCCAGTTCTTCTCTCAAACAAATATGACCTTTAAATCAGGATTAATGCTGTTGTCAAGGAACAGGAATTTATTGGGATGGAAAGTAGACTTTATTGTGTCTCTATGAAATTAGTTAGGTTTTAAAAAATCATTTAACATGTCTTAAATCTCAGTGTGGTCCCTGTTCCCCAAACTGAATTAATCCACTCTGTACATAACCCCAAGTGAATATTTCCAAAGGAAGAATGATGTAAAGGTGAGATTTATGGAATTTTCTTGTACATGTGGTATGAGTATATAAATGAATTTATATATTTTGGCAAAGGCCATAGGCCAGGCCCCTGAGTAGTTACATGCCTAGATTCTTCCATGAGCCCTGAGGTGCTGAAAACTTTAATCCAAAAGTTTCATTCACTTAATTTATTTGTCAACTACAGAGACTAGTGCTGATGAAGAATCCTCCAATCTGACTTGTGGGATTTGCTGTTGTATTATTTTATGCCAGAATTTGACATTCTTTTTCTTGGAAAACTGTTACATCAACAGGGAATTTTTGTGAATGTTGGGAACCCAGGAGAGTGGCAAAATATGTTTTTATTTATAAGAATGAAAGGTTTGGAACTGTAATAAATAGAAGGATAAGAAGTAATATCACTGAGATTCCTCTCCTCTCCCCACCTCCATATCAGTCAATTTAGCAATAAAACTTTCAAGGTGATCCCAATTCCCATTTTGAAAAATTTCAGGCAGATTTGTTGCTTTGGTAGAGAGTACAGGGGATACAGACTCCTTCAAGAATCTGTTGGGAGAAATTGGGTGGGGTTGGTCACATCTCTGCTATATGACCTTGGGTAAGTTGTTTAATGCTTTTGAACCCAAGATTCCTCATCTATAAATGAGGGAGCTGTGCTAATTGAACTCCTTAAAATCCCTTCCGGTGATACAATTTATGATTTTTTATCTAAGTAATGAATTCTTTGGATAAGTTCCTTGAAAGAAGGGGCCTTCAGTCAATATTGGTAAAAGTAAGAGAGCATAAGAAAGTGAGAGAAGCAATTATACTTTCTAAATATTTTGTGTAGAGCCATTTGTGGGCATTTGAAAAAACAGCTGCTTCAAGTATATACAGTTGAGGGTACAGATGCCAGTGTAAGATGAAAGGAAATCAGGAAGCCAGGCTAATGAAAATGAGGTAACAAAAAGACTGAGAAAAATTTTAATGTACTTTGCCTCTCCTTTTTTAAAAAAAATTATGGGACTCTTCATGTATTTTCTGTAAAGTGATAGTGCATGTGTTCTTTTTAACATGTGGAATAGATCTGTAAATAGGACTTATTTCACTTATAGCCCCTGCACCCCCCAAAAAACAGTTGAAGGTACAAGAGGGGATGGGGTGGCCCAGAGGATGACTTGCTTGTTGGTCAAGTAACCCCAAAAGAAATGTCTTCTAACCCTCATCTCATGAAGGTGGGATATGCAGTAGATAGGTGAGAGGAGGAACACCAAGTGCTTAGGGGTATTTGCTGGAGGCCACAGGCAGCTCAGGTCAGAAGAGGATCATAAGTCAAGGTGCAGGAACAGATGTAGCCATGGGGAGGAAGGTTGACTTTCAAGGGAGCAAGTGCTCACTGGGGAGGAAATTCCTCTACACGCCCGTGTAAGTGCCCATTTGCTTTGTGCTAATTATGGCCCTGATACAGAGTAATAAAGAAAGGCATTTGGCTGCCCAGGAATAGATAAAGGTAGCATCAAGTCAATCTTATTTGGAGTATAAGTAGGTGACCACCAACATGGTGTAATGTCCTCCATTGGTTTTCATTACTTATTCCTTTTTAGTAGCTGATGATAACTGCTAAAATGTAAATGTTATTTAGGGGTTGGGAGGGGAAAGGTTAGGCTGGTACTGGCTCTTAACATCTGAACATATTTTAGTTTATCATGTTTTTTTATCCATTTAGCAAATCTAGGAGGAAAGGAATAGAGGGCAGATGAGTTTTGATGAGACAAGTAGGAGGCACAATAGCTAGTCAACCGCAAGAATTTATTAAGTGCCTCCTATGTTCCATGTACTATACTAAAGGCTGGAGGTAACAAAGAAAGAAGCTCACAGTTTAATGGGGGAGACAATATAACTATATGCAAACAAGATGTAAACAAGATGAATTAGAGACAATCTCAGAGGGAAGGCCCTAGCATTAAAGGAGGATCAGGAAAGACTTTTTGCAGAAGTGGCACTTTAGCTGATGCTTGAAGGATCCCAGGGCAGCCAGGAGGCAGAGATGAGGGAGGGAAGGGCATGGAGGGACAGACAATGAAACTGGATGGATATAGACAGAGGGCACAGAGTGAGTTGAATATGAAGGGACGATATCTAAAAAATAAAATTAAAGGGTGAGAGAGGAATGTGTTAGGAGAAGGAGAAAGGGAGAGGTAGAATGGGGTAAATTATCTCACATAAAAAGAAGCAAGGAAAAAGCTTTTACAGTGGAGGGGAAGAAGGGGAGGTGAGAGGGAATGAATGAACTTTACTCTCATCGGATTTGGCTTAAGGAGGGAATAACATACACACTCAATTGGGTATGGAAATCTATTTTACCCTACAGGAAAGTAGGAGGGAAAGGGATAAGAAAGGGAGGGGTGATAGAAGGGAAGGCAGATTGGGGGAGGGGGTAATCAGAAGCAAACACTTATGAAGAGGGTCAGGGTGAAAGGAGAGAATTGAATAAATGGGGGGTGGGATAGGATGGAAGAAAATATAGTTAGTCTTTCACAACATGACTACTATGGAAGTGTTTTGCACGACTACACATGTAAAACCTATATGGAAATTGCTTGCCTTTTCAATGAGGGTGGGTGGGGAAGGAGGAGGGGAGAGAATTTGGAACTCAGAGTTTTAAAAATGAATGTTAAAAATTGTTTCTACATTCAACTGAGAAATATGATACACAGGCAATGGGGTATAGAAATCTATCTTACCCTACAGGAAAATAGAAGGGGAAGGGGATAGGAGAAGGTGGGGGGGTGATAGAAGGGAAGGCAGATTGGGGGACGGGGTAATCAGAATGCACAGCATCATGGGGTGGGGGGAGGGGAGAGATAGGGAGAAAATTTGGAACTTAAAATCTTGTGGAAGTGAATGTCGAAAACTAAAACTAAATTGGGAAAAAAACTGCATGGGAGATAGCACATGAAATTCCATAGGCAGGGAACAGCAAGGAGTCCAATGTCATTTGGTTGCAAAGTATATGGCAGGGAGTCAGGTGGAAGAAGATTGGAAAGGTAGGAAGGGACAGGTAATGAAGGACTTTAAAAATAAAACAGAGGATTTTATATTTAATCCTGGAAATAACGGGGAGCCACTTGAATTTATTGAATAGGGAAGTAATATGGTCAGACTTGTGCTTGAAAAAGATGCTTTTAACTGCTGAAAGGAGGTCAGACTGGAAGGGAGAGAGAGGCCAGGAGGAGAGACCAACCATCAAACTATTGCAATAGCCTCGAAGCAACATGATGAGGGCCTGCACCAGGGTGGTGACAGCGTCAGAGGAGAGAAGGGGGCATATGTGAGAT